AGATATTTGTGACATATTTTTTGTTTTTTAGTTCACGTTGGAGACATCAACACAACAAGGCCACTTTTTTACTGGAAAAGTAGTTCTTGATGAAAACACATAAAATAATTGTATGGCAATTCATTAAAACAAGCTAGAGTATTAAGGCTTTATTTAATTTGAAAGATTTATTGCAACATCAACAACGAAAGAAGTACAAATGTATGGATTGGAGAGGGCTTGAGCGATGACACCAAAATCGATCTACTCTTCTGAGGGGTGGGGGGAGAGTTAAAAATATGCATTTTGCCATTTACCATTTGTGATTACCAACCATATTTTAAAAATTTTCCCTCATGATGGTGAATGTCAAGATTGTTCTGATGAAGATGCTCTTGTGCATTTTTTCTTAAATGGTTATTCAATATCTTCTGCAATTTAAAAGATTTTGAAAGAGTCAAAGAATGGTCCCGAAAATTCTCTGTGTGTAATGATCGAAGGTATGCCAGAGACGGCCAAGTTGCTTTTGGATAAATGTATTGAAACTAAAGAAAATCGTGGAAATGGTTGCATGGTAACATATGATTTCTTTTGTCTTGAATCAAAAGGTAAGTCTATATCTAAAGAGATCATCTTTTTTCCTGCAATATTAGTTATTAAAGGATGATTCAGAACTACATGATGTACATTGCCGTAGTAAAGAAACTTTGGCTGCATGAAAACGTTGGTTGTATAAAAAGTATGGTTGGATAGAAAACATGGTTGCACAAATATAGCCTTGGTTGCGTAAAACCGTTGGTTGCATAGATACCTTGAACTTGGCTGTATAAAAGCTTTGCTTGCATTTACACTTTTGTTGTATAGAGTGAATAGAAACAGTGCTTGCATAGAAACCTTGGTTGCACAGAATTCTTGGTTGCTCAGAAACCTTGGTTGCATAGAAACTTTTGTTGTATAAAAAGCTTGCTTTCATAAAAACCTTGGATTCATAGAAACCTTATGTAAATAAAATCCTTGGTTTTTGCCTGTTATCTAGCTATGAAATCATTTTCATTACAGGAAATTTTTAAAATATACCGATTTTATATTCTAAGCTACTTCGTATTTAATGCCTGTTTTGAACATTAGCAATATAACGACAACTTGTGTCAACTCTACTATGTTTTTCATACTTAATAGACAATAATGGTGCATGGCCAAAGTTTGCAGCACTGGAAATGATGACAAAACAGGCTTGCGAGATCTGTTTACGGCATCCAGTTTCAAAGAAATATGTCGATGTAAAGTGGAAGAGACGTGGTTTTAAATATTTTGTCAGCTTACTGATATTCGATTTGGTTTTTCACATATTATTTCTTGTTTATACTACCGAAATTATTGGCGGGTTTCATTCGTACAAGCACATTAACCGTTAGTAAAAATTATACACTTGTGCACGTTTTTATTGAAACATCTTTAAGCAAAACATTCGTTTTGTCAGTTGATTCTTGTCAAGTTATGGTCCCAGAATGATTTAATTGTTTCTGAGAGAAAAAGTAGTCGATATAGAAAAAATTGGCCACACGTAATTTATTTGTTGTCGGACAAGAGATTGAAATTTGATCTTATGATCCATAGTTATCCATGACTATCTATGTTATGGATTAAATTTAATAAACATGGGTAATCTTTACATATTCGTACTTAATTAAATGGATTCAAAAACAGACATTTTAGTTATTCCATCGAAAATATTTTGTATGTGGTAAACTGAAAGAAATTTCAAGACACATATTTTGTCCAAGAAAATGCGAAGAATAGACCTCGCCTTTTTACCTTCAACTAGACCAGAGTAACTGCCATTGCTTAAGTATGAACCAAGTCAACTTAAGCTGCTACTGAGAAGCAAATCTAGGGAAAGAAAACTTAGCTAAAGTGGCTATTTTACATTTTCCCAATGTAAAAAGATTATAATTTGCATGAAGAAAGAAAATAGTTACCACCGCTTTTTAACATGAACGAACAGCTCATTCGAATAAAGCGACCTTTTAATAGAATGTTAGTTTTTAGTGAAATATTATGATTCTAGTGATACATCCGTAAACAGATTCTGTTTTACACTAGGTACCGGAGGGAAAAATATAACGATGACAGAAAACAAACGTAGGAGTCAACCACCGAATGCATCTGCCATGATCTTCCTTCTTGTGATAATGTTGATAATAACATTTGCCTCTTTAACAAAAGAATTAGTTCAGGTAAATGATTAAATCAACAAACGTCTGATAAACCACAATACACAATACAAATGGTAATCTGTCATGTGGTTGTCTTAGCTATTTTTTAGTTTGCTTCAAAACGTTTGTGATAATGGCACATGTTCAAGGCGCACGTACGACTTTTTTTAAATTAATATTTTCGCTGCCTCTGATTAAGTATGGACTGCAGTTTGTAAGTGAACATTTATGTTGAGACCGGAACATACTTGATCTACACTACAATATGTCCTCATTTTTGATTGGGATGAAGTCGATGCATTCTAAATCAACATCGTGTTTAGCTCTTTCGCTTATTTTGGTATAGACCACGTGACTGACGTAATTGCGATTTTAACGAATCAAAATACTTCATAAATATACTTTCTTACTTGACATACATTCGATATAATGTTTGCTTCGTGGAGGATTGAACGAGAAAATTACTCTAATACTTTCTTTTGCATTTTTGATATAGATTTTTGTGGAGCGCTTCAACTATTTCAAGGATTTTTATCATTGGCTAAGGCTTGTGCTAAATCTGTGTGTGATTTTTTACTTACTACCTGTGAGGCAAAAGTTGACTACCAGTGAAATTGGCTTTGGTGCCATAATTTGTTTGTTCTCGTGGACAAACATCATGCAAGTCTTGAAACTCACCCCTATTTTTGGCTTATACCTTAATCTCATTGAAAAGGTTGTCTGGACTCTTATGAAGGTTGGGATTGAATTTTCACATGATTAGTGAAATTTTTCTAGCCACTCTATACGCATGCAAATGTGTACCGGTGCTTTCGCCAATCTTTCTAAAAAAGATGAGCAAAAAACAATACATACGACGAAACGAATCATTTTGTGGTATACCCTTACAATTTCAATGCAACCTTATTCAACAAGGCCTTTCAGTTCACAGGAAAAACCATATTATATTTGTAATGACTCGCAGCAAAATTTGCTAAGTGCTGTGTTAGTTGAAAAACTACTTTGTTGTCCATTAAAGATAATAAATTTCACACGAAGATATCAGTGATTCAAAGTAATTTAGGCCTTCAATATCGAGGGAATGAAAGGTCCTAAACACTATCGTATCATAACTCAAAAACAGTTAAAAAAAAGTTCTACATATTTTGATTTTTTCTTCTGTAGATTTTTGCTGTTGTTGTTGTGTATATACTGACCTATTCCACCACATTTTACATTCTCCTCGCAGAAGACCATTCATTTGGGAACATGTACATATCGTTCTTCTCAACATTCGTTGCTATGATGAATGGCTTTGAGAACAATGATTTGTTTTTAAAAAAGGGAATGTATCCTCAGTTATTTCACATAAAACTCTTTGTTCTTCTCTTGTTTTTGCTGATAATGTCTATTGTGGTTCAAAATGTGCTTATTGGCTTAGCTGTTGGTGATACCCATGAAGTTATGAAGTTGGCAACCTTTGGTAAACTTAAGAGACGAGTAAGTTCATAACTTACTGTTCTAGGAAACCTTTTGGATTTTTATTTTGATGCTCTCCGAGTTTACGTAGGGAAGAAATCGAATTGTATAGCAGTAATGCGATAGCACTATTTAACTGATCTTCGATAGATCATTCATCATCGACAAAAATAGCTCTAATGACAACGTTGACTTTTGCTTTTGTAACAACTTGCATGCAATGATGCGTCGTTCATAAAATGCACGATAACTTCTTCGAGATTTTTTTGGACACACAGTTTCAGAGTAGCTACGCTTTATATGTTTGTTTTTATTGAAAGATATGCAGACTGATCCCCAAGTATCCAGAAAAATTCATGATGTACTCCATTTTGACAACTAATTAACAGGCAACAGATCAAACACAAAAACAGCCTATTTTTCACGTGGCCACCTCAGGTGTACTATATGTTTTAGTTCAAAGCCTTAGTAAATTATCTTTCTGTATCATGATTACCTTTTGTCAGGAATGAGCATTGGTTATGTTTTTGCTTTGCAAAAAAATAACAAACTTTAAAACATAAAGTATTTATCCTCAGAGCATTAAATTTTTCCATTTTTATTTCTTTTCTTATAGGCAAAGTTTGTCATAAGACTTGAGAGAGCTCTGAATAAAATACCGTACTTTAGCTCCAAGGACGATCAGTGTCTCGTTGAATTTTCAAGACAAAAAGAGGATTCGACTCAGGACGTCTTGGATAAAATTATTTTTTCCGACATTGAACTGGACGATGTTGAACTTGAAGATAAAGATAATCACTATAATCGTGAATTTGAGGTGGCGTTGGAGGATCATATTGAGAATGCAATGAATATGAAGCTTGAAAATCTTCGTTCCGCCTTGATGGATAAACTGAAAGAAATGGAAGATGAAATGAAGTATATGGTAGAAGAGAATATTGACAAAGTTTTAGCAAAGTTTGAAGAGCAGCGCTAAACGATAGCAAGGTGAGAACGTACGACATATAATCCAACTTCATTAGGAAATACGCCCCTGGCTTCTCCAACGATGGCTGGCAAATTAGTAATAATCTGGAATGTGAAGTGGCAAGTTCCTGGTATATGTTGACTTCTTACTTCAATTTATTTCCAGATCCTGATCCTAAACTTTATAAATTTATACTTATAGATTATACTAATAATTAAATAAAGTTCATACACTACAACAGCGAGTCATGTTAATTATTGTGACTTCCATTTGATTGCAAAAGCATGGAAGGAGCTTTTCTGTTGATTTTCACCGAATTATTTTTTCATTTGTAATAGCCAAGTGTATTAAAAGCAACAATATTATACTCGGAAACTATCTTGAAGATTTAATTTTGCTGGTTTATTTATTGATATGAAAATATCCTTCCTAAAAAGCTGTTATTGCATTACCATTAAGACTATTTACAACCGTAAAAATCATTTAAATCTAATCATTCTAATCTAATCTGAGGATTCTACAACCACATATATATCGCCAGCTTCATGTGTCGCTCGATCCAAAACCACTTAGTTTCCTTAAAATAATTTTACAATACTCTAATCTCGTAGCGACACTCTGAGAGCAGCCATTTTGAAGGATGCTTGACAGTAAATAGTCAGTGTGCTCTCGATTTTCATTAATTAACGTTATAAGCTCCTCTCCACGGCCAGGGTTGAGAATAATTTTAGTGTGGTCACCAAAAAAATTTACCTGTTGAAGAAATAATGTTAAATAAACGAATGTTATTACTAAAACTTTGAAGCAAAAACATTCTTTCGTCAAACACTGTTCACAAAATATGTTTGAAAATATAAATATATAATGGTCTTTGCGTTTAGGTCGAAGAACATGAAGCATGGGATGTTGTGAGGCATGCTCCGACCCCTTTTTTAAAGGAAAAAAATAAACTTGATGAAATTCAGCGACCTTTTTACAGAGCTGGTCTAAATATTCTGTGTGGTATTCCCCTCGCCTTTTGAGCGAGCTTTACAATCCCTGTACGTAGTTAATGTATATAAGCAAAACAGATATCTTTTGTTTAAATGCAAATCTATGAGTTTCGAAGATCAGGCCAAATAAAGGACAAGTAAACAATACGCCATGTGATTAGCATTGGAAGACCTAAAAGGGTAATGCAAGAGGTGTACCGACTCTCCTTTGAGCTGGAATATTAAAATGTTTAGGTATAAAGACATGTTGAAATGATGTACTCCTTTCTAAATGAAATTCTGCATCCACTGTTAATTTGAATCGGATGAATGTTGGAAAACGACTTGATTAGCACGAGTTAATTTTGTATAATATTTAGAAGTGTATTGTTATCTTCTGAGTCTTACCTGTAGGACACCGTTGCTTAAGTAGATAACCATTGCTTTTTGTGTACGTATCCATATTGCAAGAAAAGGGGGAAATTCATCTTCATTTTTATTCATTGTGCTCTCGTGAGGTGATCCCTAAACAATCACCATGTGTTCAGTGCGAGTTAATATGTTTTAAAAAAAACACGTGCAACTATTTTAAATACTTGCTCTTTCTAAACAGTTTCATGCCCATTAAAAACATCATGAATTGATAAGGAGAACAACATTCACAAATCTCTTAAGGTTATTCATACCTTTAAAAGATGCTTTTCCATATATGTGGCAAAATATTCCAAGAGAGTGACCTTTCTACCAAGATTATCAGGTGCTGCCTCGGCGTTAAACGAGCTGACCTGCTTATCTGTGTTGCAGAACCAAATTAATCTAAAGAACACAAATTTCCACTGAACTCAAAAATTGTCAAAGTTGCTAAAAATATTGTCACCTCAGACACGAATTTGAGGTAGCGTTAACAAGCTACGTCCTTTGATTGTGTTTACATCTTATGCATATAGGTCTAGTTAATACAAACCATTTGAAAACTTACAATAGCAGAGAGCTACTTCAAGTTATAATCTAGCTGGCATACAGTTAAAAATTTTGTCAGATTGTTATTATATATATAAGTATACGTGTTGTTAATGACTAATTCGCATTACGAAACAGTTCATGTCTATCATAATCTTCGTAATATTTTGTACACTTACTGCCTGTCTTTTGACAAAGTCATTTTTGATCCATCGTTAAATCGTACAAGTACACTTCCATCGCAGAGTTCAGCACCAAAACCATATTTATTACTGTAGTCGACCCATTTACAAACAAACAATTTTCGAGGAAGCTCCGTCATGTTTGCAGCACTTGTAGAAGCTCCATTAAGCCATCCATTTGAAGTAGTCGAACTATCCATGAATTCATCCGCCTTTGGCATGCAACTTAAGCATGCACTAAGTTTGTGATACAAATCATCTGGCGGCACGAAATGTATTGGCGATTCTGTGAAAAATTCGGCAAATTTAGTTGTATAAAGTATGTGCAATTACAATGAGATTGTTATTACATCAAGCTTTTTATGTGTTTTATCTAATGTATTAAAAAAATTCACTCAAAGAGTGCATTTTTTAACTCGCCCTCTCAATTTCATTGCTGTCAGATGACAAACTTTAGCTTTATTTAGTAAACTTATCGTCAAGCGATAAGCTTCATTTAACACCTTGCTAAAAAGTCAGCAAAGTAAATTGTTGATGTTTGCATGCACGGCAATACACAATCAGACTAAATCAAATGAAATTCCTGTAAAAATTTTGTGAATTCAGCTGAACACCTTTTTAATTGATACTTTCATGCTCAATTGACAAATATAATGCTTACCTTGTGATTGAAATGAATTTGTAACACGAATTTCTTTCTCCACACTGTTCGCCCTCTCATAGTTATCGCTCAAGTGTAGCTTCGTGAGAATATGGTCGACTTTGTCATGATTGGTTTTCACATCTCCCGTCTTCTCACACGATTCATTGGGAAGAGCTGTAAATCGTGGTGGTACCATGCAACACGATGGTGGCAGTGAGCTGGGTACAAAACCTTTTACAAAAAATTCATCTGTCTCACAAACTGTCTCCAGACATGGCCTACTAAGAGGATTATTACTGAGAAATTTTTGTATTAATCTTGCAGCAGATTTGGATACTCTCGACGGAATGACGTATTGGTTAGTTTTAATACGAGCGTATGTCTCCTTCAGTGACATTGTTTCAAATGGAGGTCTACCAACCAAAAGAGTGTACCTATGCAGATTATATGTATGGTCAATTATTTGGTAGAACGTTCATGCGCACACAAACTGCAAAACGCAAGTAATCGAGAGAAGGGATACAATCAAAAGTTATGAATTTAAAGGAATGTATGATGTAAAAACTACAAATATTTTGCAAATTTTTTGTATCCAAAATCGCATTTGCTTTGATTGCACAGTATTTTGTTTAAAGTTGTCTCACCGTGAGACTCAAATATTTTGAATGCTTTCAAAAGTTTGTCTCTCATAAATTACAAAATGATTGCACTAAAACATTGCAGTTTACATGTATTGACAAAAGAATGCGAGTATGTGACTTTGTAAAATGAACTTCTGTTGTTATTTGTCACTGAAAATCATATGTCAATTGTTAGCTTAAAAGAAAGCAAAACCTCACGAAAACTCAGTGTAGAGGTCATTGTTGAGTCATTTTTAGTTTGCATGCAATTGAAGATTTGTTTGATTGCTTAAATGTGTGAGTTGATAAACTGGTTTAATTTAAACCAGAAGCTCTGAACGAAATTTTATAAATAAATAAATAAAAGAATACATCGCCTAAATTTCAACCTACATTACACAACCAAGAGCCCATGTATCGACTTCGTAACCATGTCGACCTTTCTTCAAGACCTCGGGGGCAATGTAATTGGGCGTACCGCAAACTGTCCTTTTTCAAAAGAGGGAAAAAAAAGAAACGCGATATCATTAGTGTTGAAAAAATAGCAAGTCTACAGCAAAATTCAGAAATGTCTTTTTCAATTTTCCCATGGAACCTCAGTGAATTCAAGCCATAACAATCGGGTACAACAGTAGCACTTGTTCGTTGATTTTATAAAAGAACTCATACAGTAAAAATCTATTGTGAAGCAAATATTTTCATCATTGAAACAATATTCTCTATTCAAAATTTTTACATAGAAACTGTACCTAAAATTTTACAGGCACTCGATTTCCGTAGCATGCAAGGAACAAGGATACATACATATCATCATCTTGGGTTGAAATTTCTCCTGTTCTACAAGCCAATCCAAAGTCACCAAGCTTCAATTGCATGTCATCATTGATGAAGAAATTTCCAAGTTTGATATCACGATGAATGATGTTCTTGGAGTGGAGATAACAGCATGCTTTAATCGCTTGTCTCATAAAATATCGAACCTCGGGCTCCAGCAAAGACTTACGCTGTTTAAGAAGTTGCACCAATGACTATAATGTAATTGATTGTGGTTAAGTTCGTTTAAGTCTTGGTTTCGTTGAGGTCGCCATTTTTAAAATGTTCAAATGATCATTGTCATCATGCAAAAACAACTATGCTAAAACCAGAGTGCAAAAATGGGAAATTAAATCTGACACTTCATTCTCTCGAAAAAAATAACATGCAACCATAAACTGACACAATTTTATTGCATACATTACGCTGCACTAGACAATTGTTTCTTTCAGCTACAAAACAACTGAAACTTTGTCAACAGATGTTAAAACGAAGTCACGTGTGCACGAATGTAGAATTTACTGCTATTAAGACTGAAAATACAGATCTTGCAAGTGATGAGTTTTTTAACATATCGTATTGATATTACACATTCGTCTTTATCCGTCAATATAATGAGACTTGAATAAACGAATCATACTCACTACACTCCTTTTGAACTTTTGTAATCTAATTTGTATGTATCAAGGAATGCGCACGAATTGAGGAGGTTTTACATGCATTGATCTAAATTATGTTTTTGAAAACATCATTGCCCCACAAACATTTACAAATTCTGTTTATTTAGATACCTGCTAGCCAACACCCATGCACTGACTTTGTTTATGTTTACGTTTAACAAGAAAGGCGAAAATGGAGACGTCTATTTTATGACTGACATACAATGTATAAATAAAAATTTACAAAACGCTTTAATGAAATCGAAAGTGTTGTAACAAAAATTTTATAATTAGTTAGTCGACTTAACAAGTCACATTATAACAAGCAACTGGTCATATTGTTTACAGACTTGAATTGCTTATGAGCTTTTTGCAAAAGTTCACAAAAACAATTTTCTTTCTCAGTTTTCTATGCTGTCTGAAATTTTCAATTATAAGAATATGCATTTTGTGCATCTCTTTTAACAACTTAATTTCATGATAGTACATTGATTATAGATTTGGTCGTAAGCTTCATGACAGGAAGGAGTTTTTGTTATAATAATTTATTTTGGCATAATTTGACCATTTTATAGCACTCACTTTGCGCGCACATAGCTCCAATAAAATGTAGACATTTTTATTATCTTCGAAAAAACCGTGAAAGCCAACCACGTAAGGATGATTCAGCGATCTGTGTAACTCAATTTCGTTCACTATCTGAATTAAAATATCGAAGCTATCCATTTATTTGCGTTCATAGAGAAATAATCACATACTTATTTGCATAAGTAATTTGAGGGAAAGCAGTTCTGCACACAAATGGTTGTTCAATACCTTTTTTCTCTGATGGGGTTTTGTAATTCTTGCTTTTGCAACAACTTTGCAAGCATAAGCATGGTTTGTTTTCATATCAGTTACTTCGTAACATCGAGCAAACCCACCCTACAGATCACATAAAATCGAGCGAAATAGTGGAATAAGAATAAATGGAAAGTAGTATGTACGTAAAGAGACGTTAGATGTAAATGAGTATTGAGTAAGAAGTGGAGTAAGAACTAAGACGTAGAGTAAATGAGCAAGAAAAAGGTAAAGAATTTACAAAAGTTGCATACCTAGAAAGATAAGTCTGAGAAAATGAAACTTTCACAAGAAATTAAATGCATAATAGGATTTGATTTGTATGTTTATTATATGAAAACAACCAATGTAGCAATTAAGTTCCGTCGAATATGATGATCGAATGGGACTTACCTTTCCAAGCAGCCTACCGCGAAAGTAACGTCTTTGTGTGTCGGAGTCCGTAACAACTTGTGAAACGTCGGGAAGTGGGTAGCATTTTTCTGCTTTAATGCTCCTTGTTCCTTTGTAACTAGATAGCATTTTTTATATGCACACCGATTCTTTGGCCTATGCCAAGTGTAAATAGAAACAAAACAATGATTAATATCTTATCATCATCCACATTACATTTTTAATGGATGCATTCAATATTTGAACGCTTGTTTTCGTAGATAATTTGCTCTTTCTCATTTGCTGATTGGCTGATTGACGCGTCATACGCCAATAAGGTGCCTTACGACATTGGGCGCGCACTTGAATGTCACGTGAGCCAAAATAAAAACCGCCAAACGCTTTGTTCACGTTCAAACAATAGTTTAAAGTTTGTACCTGTCGAAGATTTGAATAAAAATAAAGAGCTCTTAAACTACGAAATAGCAAGTTTAACAACATTGTTTCTGATAGTGCGTCATTTAGTTGGTTTAGTACAAAATTGGTTATTTTTTAAACAGCCGTAAATGTCATGGATACACATTTGAGTTAATATACAAGTTATAAGATTCTATCTTACTGCTACAGGTAGATTCTGTCATCTCCAACTTTTTCTTCCATAGAATGACAACAATATAATTGATTCAATCCAAACTGTGTTCTTTAGTGATGCAATAGTGAAGAAAATTAGTAACGTACATGCAATTGTTTATGCAATGGACAAATTCTCATCTACATGTTTGTATTGTCTGGACTTATCTTAACATTACAGGTGCTCAAATTATTCTGGAGTGCAAAGCGTAAGCTTCAATAAGGGTTTATTTTCCGGCCGGTATTGTTGGCAGAAGATTGCTTCATATCTAGATATGTTGAAATTATCGGGAATAAATTATTTATAGGCTTACTAAGCTTATATGTGTGATCACTATAGATCGTAAAATGTATAGAACATCATCTGCATGTGATCCGAACTGAAATTTTTTAACAATCTTTTACAAACATCGAAAATTGCATTTTAGCTGATTATAAATTCAAATTCTGCATAATTTGCGTAAAATGGTGCAATTAATTCAAAAATATTGTTGCAATCAAAAAATGATGGTGGTGTACACAATACACGTGTGTTTTTCGAACTACCATTGAAATAATCCCAACGCATTTGTGTTTGTGTGCGGCAAGCTTTCTACTGAAGAAAGAAACAGAAGAATCGTTTTATCGTGGTATCAGGGGGGTTCGTTGCTAACTTTCTATCAAACTCAAGCCACTTGACCTGGTTATGTACGTTTGCGCTCGATGCGACATGTATACGTTCTTTCATGTAGTGTTTATAGAGGTTAGTTGTTTTTGAAGGAGGATAAACACCAACTAAGATGACTACCTACTGAAAGCCGTCAACTTCGACAGAATCCTGGTTAGTATTTGCATTGACAAGCAGACAATTTCAAATAATACAAAATAAAACAAATTCCGAAGACATCATCACACTTATGGAATAAAGACGAAATATTACACCATCTTTTGTTTCAAACTCTTGTAATATCTTGAATATCAAGAAAACGAGATGTCCCTCTTCGGAATTTGTTTTATTTTGTAGTATTTGCATTGTAATCTGAAAAATTGATTGTTGATATTTTCGTTTTATAATCGAGTATCGACTGCGTTTTCATGGCTTTTTATCTGAGTAAGATGTACTTTATTTTAAGACAACTTTGGTTTGTTTATATAGTTCTATCTTGTCATGTTAATGAACCCAAACCGTTTTAATAATATTGTTGTTTTTGAATGCATATGGTTTTATAGACAATGCTTGAACAGCATGGCATTGTTCATGAACCATGAATTTAGTAATAATTATAAACAAATTAAACATAGCACAATTTGAAATTAAAATTATGGATAGTAAAAAATATCTCTACCCCAAAACATTGGCGTTAATCATTCGGCTCAAGAATAAATAGAAGATAAAGTTATTAAGAAGATTATGTTCTTGTTGATGTAAATGATATCTTATGGTTATTGTAAAGCTTGTCATGGCCTATTCATAGACTCACAATTTAACAGTTGCTATTTTCTACAACATCTTGGCAAATAAAAGCAGAGGACATAAAAGAAAGAAAATTTTGGGGAGTCTATATTTTGCTAGAGCATGCTTGACATATTGTATAAAAATATGATTTGTGTATGAAGTTCATTTAGTATATTCTCAAGTTCATTTAGATATACATAATTTTACCTTCAGTCAACATGCTTTGCTGAAAATGTCATATATTATTGTAATATAATCAGGGACTATGGAGCAGGATATGGCTGGGGCATAGCAAAATAATCCTGCTTGCGGAGTATAACCGAAGAACTTTGCTGTTATTTTCAATTTTTTAATTTTGCCTTTGGACCCCATACTTGTGCCAAAATTTGACAGTCAATATCCCCCAGTATAATATATTTTCTCATGGTCCATGATAATGATCAACCATAAAAGGTCAAGTGACTCATTGACTATATCAAGTGATCTAATTTTACCGCATTGTTACACCCTTTTATTCTATTCTTGTGGTTCACTCTTGTGTTTGCTTTACTCATTATAACATCAAGTTATGTAGTAAAAGCAACATCAATGAATCAAGATCATCTAATGTTTATATATTTGAAGTTGCCACATTTCTTACTCATCAGCTGATTAAGCATTTGCTAGTATATTTATGCACTTGAATGGCTTGAACCTGGCAGTTTCATTACATGTTTTTGAATGAAGATTGTCCAGGTTTGTGGTGTCCTGAGAAGGACTGTTTGTGTTGCTGGACATTTTGACATGATTAGTAGGCCTCTTCAGAGTCAAGTAAGAAAAGAGCGTCACGTTTGCAAAATTTGTTGTGTCATTCCAGGTTATGGTATTGTGTGTAGAGGAAATGTGTTGGTGTGTTGATGTCTATTGTGTCACGTCACTCCTCACTTTACTTCGCAGAAGATGACGTCTGCTAAGGTTGTCAAAACTCCATCAGCTTATCTTAGGACTCTACTAATATGAACGACCTAAATACATCTACAAATATACATTTATTCTTGTAGTAAACAATGTTTGACAAAGGCATAGATGAAATATTTTTGACTAATGATACTGTATACAGAAGGTTATCTTCATCTATGGACGCCGAAAGATTAATAATTGGGCGGAGGGGAATAGCAGCATTCCTATATGCACCTTATTATCCTTAGAAAACAATGGATTTTAAAGGAATTTAACCCGGTATATCATGCATGTATTAATTTTGCTCCTCCTCCCAAAATCAATGTTTCTACTTTCCTGCCTTTAGCGTTTTTTTTTCAAGCGCTACACTTCTTTGATTTTAACACTCTTCTGTAGTGTAGATTTTCGTTACAATGATCTGTCTCTCTTTTATCAGGACACCACATGACGTCTACGACAGACAACTCGCAAGAGATAACTAATGGTTTTAGATTGATGAGATTGATCATCGAAGGTGGGTCAAAAGCATTGAGAATCACACTGAGAAATCAAACAGCAGGTAATACACTACTGAATGTTTTAAACGATCCAATAAGTAGTTCGATTTTGACAAATCTTAAAAATAGGAAAATACTCAAGCAAAATCAATGGGACCTTCTGTATCCAGGTCCTCTAGGTGTACCCAATGATAATGATTTTGATATTACATTGCTCTGTCTACTTTTGTCAAACGTTTGCGGTTTGAAACCATCAAATGATCCGGTTTGGAAGACAGCGCCAATCCACTCCAACCATTCAACTGAAGCAGATGTTACTCGTATAAGGTTATTTCGAAATAAGTATTTAGGTCACGCATCTGATATCGCCATAGGCATCGACGAATTTGAAAATTTGTGGTTTGAAGTTAGCAGACCTTTAGTTCGCTTAGGATTAGGCGAGAGCGAAATAGATCGGCTTAAGTATCAGTCATGTGGAACTAAAGACGTTTTAAAAGTATTGGATCAAATAAATGTCGTGAAAGAAAATTTGGAATTAATGAATGCCAATGTTGAACGTGTTAAGGAGGATTTTTACCAAGTTAGTGCTAATTTTGAAAGCATGAAAGAGGATGTTCATGACATAAGTATGAATTTTAAAACACTTATGACACAAATTCAAGAAGGCTCAGATGATGATGTTTTAAGGAAAAAACTTGTCATGTGTAATTTTAGTTGTGAAATCGAGCATCATTATGGAAAGTTTATAGAGCATACCCGGGAATGGGTTTTCGATAAATTTATGGCTTGGTTCCATGACAACACATCAGAAAAACGCGCATTCGTCATATCAGCACTAGCTGGCATGGGTAAGTCGGTAATTGCAGCTGTTCTTTGCAAGCGTTTCCCTAAATACATTGCCGCAGTTCATTTTTTTCAGTATAACAACAGTCAGTACAACAAAGCTAATGTTGTACTTCAATCCCTAGCTTTGCAGTTAAGTCGAGCTTTCCCAAGTTACAAAAAACGCTTGCTGAAAAAGCTTTCTGGAAATCTTAGTCAACCTTTGAATAGCATGAATGTCGAGGGCTTATTTTCTATTCTTTTTAAAGAGCCGCTCTCTGAAATATTTGAAATTCCTACACCGATGTTGGTTTTGTTAGATGCTGTTGACGAATGCGGGTCCCTGGAAAGACCTCATCTCGCAAACTTGATTGCAAATCACTTGCACAAACTTCCAGCTTATCTTCGATTTGTGATCACAACACGACCTGAGGAAAATCTTTTGTACAAGTTTGAAAATTTAAATCCACTTTTCATTAAGTGTTGCGATGAACGAAACTTGCGTGATGTTAAATTCATTATTCAAGAAAGAATTCGTGACAATGCTACCATTTCCCAAGGTCTTTTAAATGATTTAGCTAATAAGTCAGAAGGAGTGATGCTTTTCGCTTGCCTTCTATGTGAACGTCATAACGAAAATCCCGAGTCATTTGACATCAACAAATTGCCAAAAGTTCTTGAAGAACATTACGAAGCGTACTTGAAAAGATTGGGCAAGGAGTTAGATTCATTGGGCGTAAGTGAGGACAAGTTTCACTTCTTTTTAACTGTTTTAGCTGTCGCTAAAGAACCTCTTCCACAAGACGTGTTCAATGCAGCGTTTTGCTTGAATTCGAAAGCGAAATTAAACAAAATAAGAAAAGTCCTCTCATCTCTGTTCGTCACCAATGCAAAAGGATCAGTTTCTTTCTTTCATAAGTCTTTAAGTGATTGGCTAACAGGCAGTTTGTATCATGATTACTCGGTTGATGTCATCGAGGGGCATAATTTTCTTTTTTTGTGTTCATGCCAAACTATGGATATGCTTAAATCTTCAGGTGTAAGTAGTGATGCCATCGAACAAGCTTCAGTAAGGTATTCACTCATGTTTTGGCTACATCATATGCTTGAACTTCCTGATTATGACCATTCCTTTTATGTTAGCAAGTATCTCGTTGACTTAGAAGTTCTTTTTGCCTTGGTATTGATTGACGTCGACGTTGCTTTGAGCAATATAATGATCCTTATTAGCCACGACATTTACTTTAATCTTCCTCAAGATATTCGAGCGACAGTTACCACCATGTATTGTCTCATTAAAAGGAATCAATACATGTTGGAGAAAATTCCCAAAGCTTTTTTACAAACGGTTGCTAATGAGTTTAGGTGTCTTTCGTCGAAAGCAACTTCCCTGCTTCGATCTCGTTTTATGGATATCGCTTATCTTGAGCTAAGGGAAAATGAAAAATCTACCACTGGCCTTGAGTCCCAGTTTTTCTTTTCTAGTGGAATACTTTCTCTCGATGTTTCCCCTGATCATCGTTATGTGGTCTGTTGCAATTCGAATAGTGAGGTCGAATTGTTTTCTTTGACAACGGAAGAGACTCTCTGGATAAGAAAAGACTTTATTTGCAAAGCTGAAAAAGTCAGTGTTGTTTTTCATCCATTTGAAAGTTTAATCTTTGCGGGTAGGTTGGATCTAGTGATCATGATGGATGGTAAGACATCTCTTGGGCCATTCGATTGTAGCGGTTGCATCTCTGTTTTCTATACAAGATGCTGCTACTCAAAAGATAAGACTATAATGGTCACATATTATGAAAAGAGTATAACAATATGGGATGTTAACAGTGGGAAGAAAGACCGTATTCTTGAATGTGAATCTCTGATCTCTTTCTCTTTTACCTTGAGTGGATTGTATTTCGGGACTTTTGATAATAACAAGATTTTAAGAGTGTATGATGTAGTAAAATCGTATAAAGTAATTGAGTTTGAATGTCCAACTACCACTGATGGTGTACCTCCAGATTATATAATTTCCACTCTCGGACAACATTCCTGGTGCTGCAAAGCACATCACATCTTACTAATTGTGAATCCTACTGGTGAGAAACTTTCTGATTTGCATTTCGACAACATTTATAATACCATTGTCCCAGTTGATCCTTTCTTTTCTATCTTGTCTGGAAGGTCTTGGTTTGCAAGGGTGAAACCAGCTCTCGGTCGTGGTATTTGTTCGTACTTTTACTTAAGTGATCAAAAGTTGTTGATATTTCGATATCGTTATTCTCAAATGAATTTGGTTTCTCTCAAAACTTTAAAAGACTTTCGCGAACCCGACGATCTCCAAGATTGTAACGTCTTTTCGAACAGAAATGGTGACATTTATTACATAAATAGTATTGAGAATGAAAGCTTAGTTATTCACAATGTTAATACAAAAAACACTGTTGTCAACGCAGGTGTCTTTAACGTTCAGGTTGTGGTTAGGAAAGGTGTGATTTTACTTACAAACGGAGGGAATGTACAGCTGTGGAATAAAGATATGACGTTATGTGTCCATAATTTTGATCAACTGAAAGGGATAGAACGAGTTTTGAAAGTCTCCGAGGATTTGATTGCATGTCAACTTCGTACTTCTGTTGTATTCTTCAATGTTTATTCACAGCAGATAGAATCGCAAACAGATTTCAATGAAGTCCTTTATAAAGTACATGCATGTAGCGCTAAGTATCATGTTCTTGCCAAAACAAAAACAGAACGTCTTTCGTTGCGGCAACATGGAACAGACGTGGTTTGCTTGGATGCTGTTTTAGGAAATCATATCGGATCGAGAGGCCTTTATATTCCAGCTGCGTTTTCTCCAAAAGCGGATAAACTTGCGATCTCTGGCAACCGCATTAATCCCTCTCCTTCATTGTTGATAATTGATGTGCACAAAATCCGGGTTTTGTCAGCAATTTCCCTCTTTGACTTTATCCCTCCAGATGAGATATTTTTTCTTGACGGTAGGTTCTTGATAAGTAAAATGTTGTATAATTTACAGTTGGTCGATACGGAGCATAGCGAGATATCAAGTTATGTACATCATGACGTTGTTTTAAATGGTTTTGCGATATGTAATCAACGTAATGCTATTGTCTGTACCAATCGTTTTGGCGAAATCGTTACTATAAACTTCCATTTGCCACGTGACAAATGTCTGACGCGAAGTTAGGTTCTAATTTAGACTCGATGATAATGAACTGCATAGCATCGAAACAATCAACAACATTACAAAAGTGTCTTACAACTCTGTGACCGATTATATACAGAATATTATAGTTGCATATTATGTTCAAATGAGGATATAGATCCTTGTGGCAAGACCACAACCAACACGTCACACAGTTATTGAAATAATCACTTGTTCGTTTTTTTTAATTGCATCCTCAACTTACTTGAAATGTTTTACATCCAAATTGATTATACTTTCTGCATATTTTCACACATCCCTCCCTCAACGACTTGGCAAGCACATTTAAGGATTTAAATCAACTACTCTGACCACAACAGTTAGATCAAATTTATCTGTTTATTAAAACCTTATATCAACGAGTTTTACTCATTTTGCTGTGATCATTAATTAATATGGTAGTAAAAGTTTTTTCATTAATTTGAGTTCATTGCTACATTTGCATATTTGCATGTTTATGACTGATCAGTGTTGGAAATCTCGGTTCACCCCCCTCTCCACCTTCTGCAGCACTTTGTGTGCTTATGTTTGTACAGATCGCTTTGTAAAAACAATAAATTTACGATGCTTTGCCCCCACCCCGACCTCCTTCATAACTGAATTTCCGCCACTGTTACGGATTTGAATTGTTCATTTTCGAAAAGAATGATCTCTGACTTCTATCATGGTAGTTTTATCTTCTAGTTTCAAACATTTCAAAAAGTTTTCTTTCCTGGATTGTACTTTTACTCAATACTTGGTTTAGGCCAAATTCTACTTGATCGAAGCGAAATTGTTTATAAGAAAAGCCATGATAGAAATTTGAGGTGTAGAAAATAAGAAAATGATCGTATACCTTTTTAAATTGTGCTATATTCTTTTGTGAACTGCGATGTCTATTGCGTGGCTGGCATAACGAATATATAAAAGTTCTTAATTCCAAAACTGTGTTTATCTGGCGACTGTCAAAAAAAACAAGAGAACAAGTAAAAGTTTTAATTGTACACCGATGGAAAGGCGATGATAATTAAATTTTAGTTGTTGAAACTTAAAAGAATATTTTGAGGCTCTCTGATGATGCCACGGAATAACGTCTCCATGCAAAGAAGCTGTCGGTGCTGATGCATGGTTATGCTGCTCTGGGTCATGAATGAAAAAACTCATTTTCTGTCAGAAAATCCTGTGTTTTTATTGGTGAAGCGTATGACAGCTTATTTGCTGAAAATAATCAACAATAAAATTGCTCAATGCTTCAGAAAAATACGAATGCACTCGTTCTTCAACAAACTGGTGCTGCCGCAGAACATTGATGAGTGTGGTGAGTTACCAACACATCCTGAAGAGTGTGGGGAGTTACCAACACAGGCTGAAAATTGTGCGATGATAGTTCGCAATGCTTTAACAGAATTGAATTGAACAAGTACTTCCGAAGTGTCTTCTCTCTCCTGAACTGTTTAGTGTCCTGATATACACCAAAATGTGCATTTCAGTATCAAAGTGCACGTGTTGTCAAAAGTTCGTTGAAGATGATCAAACTAATATTTTTTAGCTTTGAATTTGTTTTATTTCAAAAACACAAAAAAGCATCATGGCATTAACGTTATGCTGACATATGAACGTGACCTGACGTAAATGAACGTGACTTGGTGATGAGAAATTTGTGATGTGAGTCTCGCAAGGCCTATATTAAAGTATAAAACTCTTTGTGGAGACCTTTTAAATTCTTTGGTAAGCACTTGAAAATCACTCACAATCAAATTGTTATTTGGGGATGCATGGTGGTACTTGCCTGCTCTCCACTGATCAACGCGAAAAGAGCGTTGTTTCATTTTGGCCATTCGTCAGCAGCACGCCGTTTTCTTTGAAAATTGGTCGTATGGGATTGAACAGGACGGAAACATCGACTAATAGCTACACTAAATAATTATATTGAGCATATTATTTGTATCAGTGACGCTTTACGTATAGAATAAACTACATCAGCTGATTTTTTGATGCTTTCAGATTTCAAAATACCTTTGATGAAGGGATTTTTTATTCTTTGCATCATCGTTTTTATGAACGTACAATGGGTCGACAGGAAATAGCCCTCCATAAACAAATAACACGGTTTTTTAAAATGATCTACAGATTTTATACTTGATGATGAAGAAACTACTGCGCATATACCCAGAAAACACAGTATTATTCTTTATGAGGCTACTTTTTTGTTAATCCATTGTTCATAAATTTTAACATTTAGCTGCTGTAGCTTATTTTATAAGCAAAGCTAGCTTGGTTTTTAGTTGTTCAATAAATTGATTCAATTGCGAGGGTTTTTACTCACGGTAGTTTTAATTTTTCGACAGAAATTATTGATTTATAATTATTTAAATATGTTATCATACCGAAAATGTAGCAGTGAAGTTGCTTGTTGAAAGCTTTTGTGCCATTTTTAAATTTTTGTTTTTTCTTGCATACAGTTTATGTGTATGGAAATGATGCCTTGTCTGCTAAAATAGGCCTTTTAATTTTCGTTTTGTACATTGTATATAATATATTTTATGTGACGTCAAGTGATTTTTTAGTTAAAGCCTCGCTTTTTTATATTGTCTCTTGAATTTATGCCTTGTAGTAAAATTATTTCTAGTCTGTAAATTTGTAGCATAAGAAAATTTTAATGTAAAGTTGTGGCAATGAAATAATTTATTTCATATTAAATTTTCAGCCTAACCTATTGTAGCGTACTCAGTTCGTGTGTTGAATAGCAAGGATGACAGTCTCAACGATTTTGAAGAGAATTTCTCACATTTTTTCTAGCTGCCTGAAATATTTTTGTGCCCTAAAAATTAGAATTTTATGCATGTATTTTTGTTTGCGTTCCTAAAATCGTCGTGTTAGCATTGACAAAAGTCTTAATTACGTCAGAAGGCAGGAACGCGCAGTGAATTTTGGACTTTATTGTGTGACTTGGAATTATGTTCCAAGTACCACTGAACTTTTCAAAAAATCCTTCTTTTACCAGTCGTTAACAAACAGCTAGGGCAAACAACCAGCTGATAATTCCCAAAACTTCTTGCACGGGAAATATCAGATTAAAAAGGTTTCCCGTGACAATCAATACAAACTGAAAGCAAAACTTTCACTGAACTTTTGCAGGTACATATAGAAGATAAATCATTATCAGCTGATTGTTTTGAGAGCAATGACAGTCTTTATATTATTTTATGGTGAGAGCACGTTTATCAAAATTGCCTAGAAAAAGAGCAAATTGAAGATGCGCCCCGCATGAGTTGCGCTGAAATTGCGGCTCAATTACCTTGGAATTGCACCAAAATTGTGAGAACCTTGCCTAGACAGACATCATGTTCTTTCCATAGTTTGCTTATGCTTTGCTAAAATGCACTTATAGGAACTCCTTCACCTATCTTTCTTCTGTAATTTGACGTTTGAGTCTACAGTCTATCTTTTGTGCTTGTATTAAAAAATATGCAATATAGGGTGTCCCACCATAATGGCGATACGATAGATTACAAATCATTTTATTGCTCGTAATCTTCTACTTCTACACATATTATTCCGATATTATTTCAATTATTTCAACGAAAATTCGAGAAATGATGATTTATTTCATTATTACTGTGACGCTTTTCTCTATCATGAATTACCATGTGCAGTTGTGTGCAGTTGATAAGCTATGGTTTCTCTATCATGAATTACCATGAGTGTGTGCAGTTGATAAGCTATGGTTTAGTAAATTCATTTAAGCCTATTTTCTATCCAAAAATAATTAAAATTTTATAACTAAGAGTTGAAAGCGGGGTTCAATTTAGACTATAGTCTTTGACTAAATTATTTATTCCAACATCAAATGAGCCATAATGGTTTGCTTGTCATACATGAAAATTAGTCGAATAGACGAGAATAAATCCATCATAAACTTTGCATTGACAAAAATATTTGTTGATCGTAGCGTTTCTTCTTCAACTTAAGACATCATAGGAAGTTTAAAAACATATATACTAATTATAAGATCTGTACACTGCGTTGGATTACAGAATGTTGTGATGATGAGGAACGGTGAAACTTTGTGCTTTAAAGGATGAAATATTATATTTTGCAGTTATAAAATGTGAGCCAGTGAAGGGAAACTTTCTTAGCAGTCTTTGAGAACACAAGCCTCTTGTACCAGTAAAAATCGTGTATAAATGATAAAATATACTCAAGAGTTGATAGTAACTTTGAAAAGAAATCGAAGTATTTCTTTATATTTTATCTCTATCTAATACAACTCAAATCTTCAGTTTACAAAATGATGCTTTTTGGAGCATGTTTCATCGTCTTTCTGTTCAAATTGTCTGCTGGAAAAGTTGTTTTGGAAAATCCAAAATTTCATTGTTCCCTTCATCATGGCACACTCTTTTCAGATCCGCACCTAAATCAACCAACTTGCTATGTCGCTTATTTTCATCTCAATATTCGTTTTGTCTTCATCTCGTCCACCCGAATTTCATTCTTTTTTCTTTTCATAGATAAAATTCCAAAATTACTGTGATCTAGGTCTTGTAAAGAAAGTTTGTTGTAATGCATGTCTGTGTAGGCAACAAGATCATGCAAGTTCTGGCAAGATTGTGTAAATGATCTTGTCTAGATCTTACAACATTTTTTCTTGCTCTTTTCAAGAGGTTACCATGATCCTACCTAGATCTAACAAAGATCATGCAAGAACTTTCTTGATCATGTATGATCTTGCAACATTTTGTGCTTGTTATTGTTGTATGGAATCATCTTTTTGAAACGTCGTTCATGTCGTCATTTTGAAATGACGTGTATATCGTTATTTTGAAATATCGTTCATGTCGTCTTTTGGAAATATGGTTCATGTATTCTTTTCGAAATGTCGTTCTATTCGTTTTTCGGAAATGTTGTTCATGTCGTCTCTTTAAAATGTCGTTCATGTCCTCTTTTTGAAATGTTGTTCATGTCATCTTTTTAAATGTTTTTAATTTTTTCTCTTCGTCATTTATGTCGTTCATATCGTCTTATTGAGTTGATGTTTATGTCGTCTATATCAAATTTTAATATTCTGGAGTGGAGGTTTAATTCTTGGTCGTATAATTACTGTTAACAACTCACAAAAACCGACAATTAACGAATGTAAACTATAGATAGACATAAAGGTAGACCAAAGGTAAACAAAAAAAACTTAAAGGTAAACACAAAGAGAGATTTAAAGGTACTCATAAAGGTAGACAAAAAATGGACATAAAGTTAGACACAAAGGTGGACATAAAGGTGGACACAAAGGTAGACACAAAGGTAGACACAAAGGTACACACAAAGGTAGACTTTAAGGTAGACATAAAGGTAGACATAAAGGTAAATTTAAACGTACACACAAAGGTAGACTTTAAGGTAGACATAAAGGTACACACAAAGGTAGACATAAAGGTAAACTTAAACGTAGACACAAAGGTAGACATAAAGGTACACACAGAGGTAGACTTTAAGGTAGACATAAAGGTAGACATAAAGGTAAATGCGTCGTACATGCATGTCGTCTTTTTTAAATGTCGTTGAAGTTGTCTTTCAAAATGTTGTTTTGTCTCTTTTTTTAAATGTTGTTTATGTCGTCTTTTTGAGATGTCGTTTATGTGTCTTTTTATCAAATTTCCATATTCTTATGCGGAATTGTACTTGTTGGTCGTATATAATTACCTTAAACAACCCAGAAAAACGGATAACCAGCGAAACTTAACCGGTAGACAGAAAGGTAAACATTAAAGTAAAATAAAATAAAGGTAGACATGCATTAAGGTAAACATCAGAGGCGAAGAAAGCAAGTGAAATTTGGGGGGAGGGCACAAGTTTTTTGGGGCAGTTTCGGGGAAACGTTCCCCTCTATCCCCCCTTCCTATCCTACTGGTAAACATAAAATTAAACACAAAGGTATACTTCAAGGTAAACTTAAAGGTAAACATAAAGGTGGACATTAAGGTAGCCAAAAAGATAGACACAAATGTAAAGAACGTCAAACTAATAACTCACTCATGAAATGATGACTCTTAAAAATGACTTTTTAATCTAATGTTGTCTCTTTGAAGTGTTGTTTATGTCGTCTTTTTAAAATGTCGTTCATGTCGTCCTTTCGAAATGTTGTACAAGTCGTCTTTTTGAAATGTCGTGTGTGTCGTATTTTTGAAAACTCGTTCATGTCGTTTTTTGAAAGGTCGTTCGGTTGTCTTCGCTTGAAATGTCGTTCATGTCGTCCCTCTGAAATGTCGTTCGTGTCGTCTTTCTGAAATTTCGTTCATGTCATTTTTTTGAAACTCGTTCATGTCGTCTTTATGAAATGTTGTTCATGTTCTCCTTTTGAAATGTTGTTAATGTCGTCTTTTTGAAATGTTGTTCATGTTCTCCTTTTGAAATGTTGTTCATGTTCTCCTTTTGAAGTGTTGTTCATGTCGTCTTTTTGAAATGTTGTTCATGTTCTCCTTTTGAAATGTTGTTCATGTTCTCCTTTTGAAGTGTTGTTCATGTCGTCTTTTTGAAATGTTGTTCATGTTCTCCTTTTGAAGTGTTGTTCATGTTCTCCTTTTGAAATGTTGTTCATGTTGTCTTTTTGAAATGTTGTTCATGTTCTCCTTTTGAAGTGTTGTTCATGTTCTCCTTTTGAAATGTTGTTCATGTTGTCTTTTTGAAATGTTGTTCATGTTCTCCTTTTGAAGTGTTGTTAATGTCGTCTTTTTGAAATGTTGTTCATGTTCTCCTTTTGAAATGTTGTTCATGTCGTCTCTATTAAATTTCAATATTCTGGAATGGAGGTATAATTGTTGATCGCATAAATACCGTCAACAACCCACAAAAACCGACAATTACCAAAGTAAACATATAGGAAAACATAAAGGTAGAGATAAAGGTACACATGAAGGTAGATATAAAAATAGACATAAAGGTAGACAAGGAGGTAGACAGAAAATATACAATAAGGTTGAAAAAAATGTTGACACAAATATAAGAAAGAAAAAATTACGCATGTGATAATACAATAATACAGCCAGTCAACTGTCTTTTTGTGGACCTATAGAAATTCTGACATTGGTAACATTATTTTTTATTCTTAAACAATAGTGCTGTTTCAAAAGAATACTTTATTATTTATTCTTTTAAATGAAAATCAATTCACTTTAAAAATAGCGGTATATCAAAGCACAGGTACGGAATGTGGTATTGTAGGATTGATCTGTGTTCGGCTGCGTATATTTAATAAAGCACAAAAGCACATATAAGTGCAACCAAAAAAAACAAGATCAAATGTGAACAGAAACAACAACAACAGCAAATGTAATGGCATAGCAATGAAGTAAATAAATTTGACAAAGGGAGTATTGTCGAAAACTATATGGTATAAACTAGTGTTAAACAGCAAGATGTTTACATAGAAGATAACGTGCTGGGCAACACACGTCGAGTTTGATGTTGAGACTGTTGACAAAGAATAAGCTGCTGACCTGAAGCTTAGCAATAAAGATTGTAAGAAAAACTGAGTTTTATCAACGTCTACAAGAATAACCATTTCACAGTGGAGATCATTGTCATATTTTAGATGAAAATATCACACCGATTGGTAGCGAAGCGCATCAGACAATTTATTGGTAGAAAGCCGTTCGAATATACACAGTGGTTTTTTAAACAACTGATTTACACTAAAGCCCTGGGAAGAAACACATTTGGACAGATAGGGAATAATGGCTGTCGTCAAATATGTCGTCGACAGGACAAATATATAAAATATGGTTAATCACCAGTTTTAGGTGTCATATACCATAATATTGGAATATGTGTCATGACTCAACACCTCAAGAATAAAGAAATGTACAATCTCTTATTCTATGAAAGCCCATCAATCCATTGAGGAGCAGATGAGGAAACTCATAGCACCATGCAAAGATGATCTTTACTGCACCTTCCTGAAAATTTAACAGCTACTGTAAAGCTTGCTGGACTAACATTGAATCTTTAACGTGTCAATCTTATATTTAACTACGACAAGAAACTATTAATGACATGAAACTATTAATGACCGCACCCGATAAAGCAAATCAGACATCTTAGGAGAGAACTATGTATAATTTTATTTCGACACAGACACTATATTTATTCTGCGCTTTCACTCTTTTTTAAATACATATTTCTTGCACGCCTTTACTTTTACAGAATGACTTTCTAACTTGTTGCATTATACTTTGGAATTATCTTCTTTAATCATTGTAATAAACCTGTTCGATGCAATTAAATACTACAAAGCAGGAATGGTACATTAAATTTTTCATTTACCATCAACGCACTCAATGGTCGAGTGTGTAGACGCGGAGGTTTCTCAGGCTGAGGTATAAGGTTCGCATCCTTCAAGGGTTAGTTGTGTGTGGTTGCTTCGAATGTTGTGCATCAGAACTGCATGCATTAGACTTGCAATAAATGAAGGCCGTAAATGAAATGAAGATAAAGTTAGAATAGTTAATGATATTGATAATGTACACAGTGTTGGAAACAGCAATTCTCTTGCTGAGTTTTTAGAAAATGGAATGTGACACTATATTTTCAGAAAAATATTCGCAAATAAAAAAAGAAACAGGTCTGTTGCACAAATTTTTGCCTAAAAAAACTAAGTCTTTTGATCAAATTTTTCTATGACTCCCTACCAGCGTAGAGAGTCAATTTTTTATAGTCAGGAATTTTGAGGGCAAACAGACCTCGCACCAGCACACAATCTTCAATCTACAACCCCATACCGAGAGTGACACCGGGACGAACCAAGGACCTCGTGCATCGGAGGTCAGTGATGGTTAGTCGAACTATGCGCTCAACATCGAATGCTACCTGTTTTTAGAAGTATTTGCCAAATTTTTTCTCCTTAGATCAAGAGAAAAAAGTCAGTCTCGAACCTGAGAAGAAGCAATTACAACAACTATGACTGCGACACTCTTTACTCAACAATTTTCAAATCGAAAAATGAGAAAGAAAACGAACATTCTTAAAATCTTGACGATGAGATCGTAGCACTGTCAACCAAACAACTCCGCAAGAGCAGTCACGTACAACTCGCATGACAACATATTAAGTGATCAAGTAAAAACAACATTTGTTACCTATAATTTCATGTGGTTAAACAATATATAGCTAATATGTTGGGCACATGCTTATTCGCCATGATATCAAACTTCACCATTCATGAGGGAAGCTTACTTTGTTTTCCTGTCGATAATGCTTGGTACTTATGTTATTACCTGTGAGGAAGAAGACGAATAAAGTATCCATAATGTCGTGCACTGCCATGTGGTAAATCAGTTCGTATCAGTGGCGTAGGGATTATTTGACCTATCTGTTTGGACTCAGTCAACAAATTTCTGCTATCGTTCATAAAATTATTGTAATAACTTTTACCAAATCATAAGATTCCTGATACACACAGTAATTATGTAGTTATGTAAGTCCATCCTGTAAATAATGTTTTATCACTACGTAAGTTTATAATGACGCATGATATTCAATGATACCACAGTTTACTTTTCCATTTTCTTCATGATACCATGGTCTTCTTTTGTTTACATTAAACTTAGTATGACATTTTCTAATCAGGACTAAACTAATGCCTTTACTATGGTCTTCTTTTTGTCTACATTCAACTTGGTATGACGTTGTCTATTCTGGACTACGACAGCACAATGAATAAAAGTGAAGATGAATTTTCCCCCTTTTCTTGCAATATGGATACGTACACAAAAAGCAATGGTTATCTACTTAAGCAACGGTGTCCTACAGGTAAGAAAGACTCAGAAGATAACAATACACTTCTAATTATTATACAAATTAATGCGTGTTAATCAAGTCATTTTCTAACATTCATCCGATTCAAATTAACAGTGGATGCAGAATTTCATTTAGAAAGGAGTACATCATTTCAACATGTCTTTATACCTAAACATTTTAATATTCCAGCTCATAGGGGAGTCGGTACACCTCTTGCATTACCCTTTTAGGTCTTCCAATTCTAATCACATGGCGTATTGTTTACTTGTCCTTTATTTGGCCTGATCTTCGAAACTAATAAATATGCATTTAAACAAAAGATATCTGTTTTGCTTATATACACTACCTAAGTACAGGGATTGTAAAGCTCGCTCAAAAGGCGAGGGGAATACCACACAGAAAATTTAGACCAGCTCTCAGCTCTGTACAAAGGTCGTTGAATTTCATCAAATTAATGTTTTTCCTTGGAAAAAGGGGTCGGGGCATGCCTCACAAAACCCCATGCTTCATGGTCTCCGACCTAAACACAAAAACCATTATATATTTATATTTTCAAACATATTTTGTTAACAGTGCCTGACGAAAAAATGTTTTTGCCTCAAAGTTTTAGTAATAACATTCGTTTATTTAACATTATTTCTTTAACAGGTAAATTTTTTTGGTGACCACACTAAAATTATTCTCTACCCTGGCCGTGGAGAGGAGCTTATAACGTTCAAAATGGCTGCTCTCAGAGTGTCGCTACGAGATTAGAGTATTGTAAAATTATTTTAAGGAAACTAAGTGGTTTTGGGTCGAGCGACACATGAAGCTGGCGATATATATGGTTGTAGAATCCTCAGCCTTGATTAGATTGATTAGATTTAAATGATTCTTACTGTTGTAAATAGTCTTAATGGTAATGCAATAACAGCTTTTAGGAAGGATATTTTCATATCAATAAATAGACCGTGCAAAATTATATTTTCAAGATAGTTGCCGAGTATAATATTGTTGCTTTTAATACACTTGGCTATTACAAATAAAAAAATAATTCGGTGAAAATCAACAGAAAAGCTCCTTCCACGCTTTTGCATTCAAATGGAAGTCACAATAATTATTATGACTCACTGTTGTAGTGTATGTATTTTATTTAATTATTAGTAAAATCTATAAGTATAAATTTATAAAGTTTAGGATCAGGATCCGAATAAAAATTGAAGTAAGAAGTCAACATATACCAGGAACTTGCCACTTCACATTCCAGATTATTACTAATTTGCCAGCAATCATTGGAGAAACCAGGGGCGTATATCCTAATGAAGTTAATTATATGTTGTACCTTCTGTTATGTTCACAGCATGCTATCGTTTAGCGCTGCTCTTCAAACTTTGCTAAAACTTTATCAATATTCTCTTCTATCATATACTTCATTTCATCTTCCATTTCTTTCAGTTTATCCATCAAGGCGGAACGAAGATTTTCAAGCTTCATATTCATTGCATTCTCAATATGATCCTCCAACGCCACCTCAAATTCACGATTATAGTGATTATCTTTATCTTCAAGTTCAACATCGTCCAGTTCAATGTCGGAAAAAATAATTTTATCCAAAACGTCCTGAGTCAAATCCTCTTTTTGTCTTGAAAATTCAACGAGACACTGATCGTCCTTGGAGCTAAAGTACGGTATTTTATTCAGAGCTCTCTCAAGACTAATGACAAAGTTTGCCTACGAAGAAGAAATAAAAATGGAAAAATGTAATGCTCTGAGGATAAATACTTTATGTTTTAAAGTTTGTTACTTTTTGCCAAGCAAAAACATAAGCAATGCTCATTGCTGACAAAAGTTATCATGATACAGAGGGATAATTTACTACGGCTTTGAACTAAAACATATAGTACACTTGAGGTGGCCACGTGAAAATTAGGCTGTTTTTGTGTTTGATCTGTTGCCTGTTAATTAGTTGTCAAAATGGAGTACATCATGAATTTTTCTGGATACTTGGGGATCTGTCTGCATATCTTTCAATAAAAACAAACAAATAAAACGTAGCTACTCTGAAACTGTGTGTCCAAAAAAAAATCTCGAAGAAGTTATCGTGCATTTTATGAACGACGCATCATTGCATGCAAGTTGTTACAAAAGCAAAAGTCAACGTTGTCATTAGAGCTATTTTTGTCGATGATGAATGATCTATCGAAGATCAGTTAAATAGTGCTATCTCATTACTGATATACAATTTGATTTCTTCCCTACGTAAACTCGGGGAGCATCAAAATAAAAATCGAGAATATGGCTGCCATAAGGTTTCCTAGAACTGTAAGTTATGAACTTACTCGTCTCTTAAGTTTACCAAAGGTTGCCAACTTCATAACTTCATGGGTATCACCAACAGCTAAGCCAATAAGCACATTTTGAACCACAATAGACATTATCAGCAAAAACAAGAGAAGAACAAAGAGTTTTATGTGAAATAACTGAGGATACATTCCCTTTTTTAAAAACAAATCATTGTTCTCAAAGCCATTCATCATAGCAACGAATGTTGAGAAGAACGATATGTACATGTTCCCAAATGAATGGTCTTCTGCGAGGAGAATGTAAAATGTGGTGGAATAGGTCAGTATATACACAACAACAACAGCAAAAATCTACAGAAGAAAAAATCAAAATATGTAGAACTTTTTTAACTGTTTTTGAGTTAAGATACGATAGTGTTTAGGACCTTTCATTCTCTCGATATTGAAGGCCTAAATTACTTTGAATCACTGATATCTTCGTGTGAAATTTATTATCTTTAATGGACAACAAAGTAGTTTTTCAACTAACACAGCACTTAGCAAATTTTGCTGCAAGTCATTACAAATATAATATGGTTTTTCCTGTGAACTGAAAGGCCTTGTTGAATAAGGTTGCATTGAAATTGTAAGGGTATACCACAAAATGATTCGTTTCGTCGTATGTATTGTTTTTTGCTCATCTTTTTTAGAAAGATTAGCCAAAGCACCGGTACAAATTTGCATGCGTATAGAGTGGCTAGAAAAATTTTACTAATCATGTGAAAATTTACTCCCAACCTTCATAAGAGTCCAGACAACCTTTTCAATGAGATTAAGGTATAAGCCAAAAATAGGAGTCAGTTTCAAGACTTGCATGAAGTTTGTCCACGAGAACAAACAAATTATGGCACCAAAGCCAATTTCGCTAGTAGTCAACTCTTGCCTCAATGGTAGTATGTAAAAAATCACACACAGAATGAGCACAAGCCTTAGCCAATGATAAAAATCCTTGAAATAGTTGAAGCGCTCCACAAAAATCTAAATCAAAAATGCAAAAGAAAGTATTAGAGTAATTTTCTTGTTAAATTCTCCACAAAACAAACATTATATCGAATGTATGTCAAGTAAACAAGTATATTTATGAAGTATTTTGATTCGTTAAAATCGCAATCACGTCAGTCACTTGGTCTATACCAAAATAAGCGAAAGAGCAAAACACGATGTTGATTTAGAATGCATCGATTTCATCCCAATCAAAAATGAGGACATATTGTAGTGTAGATAAAGTATGTTCCGGTCTCAACATAAATGTTCATTTACAAACTGCAGTCCATACTTAATCAGAGGCAGCGAAAATATTAATTTAAAAAAAGTCGTACGTGCGCCTTGAACATGTGCCATTATCACAAACGTTTGGAAGCAAACTAAAAAATAGCTAAGACAACCACATGACAGATTACCATTTGTATTGTGTATTGTGGTTTATCAGACGTTTGTTGATTTAATCATTTACCTGAACTAATTCTTTTGTTAAAGAGGCAAATGTTATTATCAACATTATCACACGAAGGAAGATCATGGCAGATGCATTCAGTGGTTGACTCCTACGTTTGTTTTCTGTCATCGTTGTATTTTTCCCTCCGGTACCTAGTGTAAAACAGAATCTGTTTACGCATGCATCACTAGAATCATAATATTTCACTAAAAAGTAACATTCTATTAAAAGGTCGCTCTATTCGAATGAACTGTTCGTTCGTGTTAAAAAGCGGTGGTAACTATTTTCTTTCTTCATGCAAATTATAATCTTTTTACATTGGGAAAATATGAAATAGCCACTTTAGCTAAGTTTTCTTTCCCTAGATTTGCTTCTCAGTAGCAGCTTAAGTTGACTTGGTTCATACTTAAGCAATGGCAGTTACTCTGGTCTAGTTGAAGGTGAAAAGGTGAGCTCTATTCTTCGCATTTTCTTGGACAAAATATGTCTTGAAATTTACCACAGTACCAGTTTACCACATACATAATATTTTCGATGGACTAACTAAAATGTCTGTTTTTGAATCCATCTAATTAAGTACTAATATGTAAAGTTACCCATGTTTAGTAAATTTCATTGATAACATAGATAATCATGGATAACTATGGATCATAAGATCAAATTTCAATCTCTTGTTCGACAACAAATAAATTACGTGTGGCCAATTTTTTCTATATCGACTACTTTTTCTCTCAGAAACAATTAAATCATTCTGGGACCATAACTTGACAAGAATCAACTGACAAAACGAATGTTTTGCTTAAAGATGTTTCAATAAAAACGTGCACAAGTGTATAATTTTTACTAACGGTTAATGTGCTTGTACGAATGAAACCCGCCAATAATTTCGGTAGTATAAACAAGAAATAATATGTGAAAAACCAAATCGAATATCAGTAAGCTGACAAAATATTTAAAACCACGTCTCTTCCACTTTACATTGACATATTTCTTTGAAACTGGATGCTGTAGACAGATCTCGCAAGCCTGTTTTGTCATCATTTCCAGTGCTGCAAACTTTGGCCATGCACCATTATTGTCTATTAAGTATGAAAATGTTGACACAAGTTGTCGTTATATTGATAATGTTCAAAACAGGCATTAAATACGAAGTAGCTTAGAATATAAAATCGGTATATTTTAAAAATTTCCTGTAATGAAAATGACTTCATAGCTAGATAACAGGAAAAAAACCAAGGATTTTATTTACGTAAGGTTTCTATGAAACCAAGTTTTTTATGAAAGCAAGCTTTTTATACAACAAAAGTTTCTATGCAACCAAGGTTTCTGAGCAACCAAGAATTCTGTGTAAAAAGGTTTCTGTGCAACCAAGGTTTCTATGCAAGCACTGTTTCTATTCACTCTATACAACAAAAATGTAAATGCAAGCAAAGCTTTTATACAGCCAAGTTCAAGGTATCTATGCAACCAAGGGTTTTACGCAACCAAGGCTATATTTGTGCAACCATGTTTTCTATCCAGCCATACTTTTTATACAACCAAAGTTTTCATGCAGCCAAAGTTTCTTTATTAAGTTAATCTACATCATGTAGTTCTGAATCATCCTTTAATAACTAATATTGCAGGAAAAAAGATGATCTCTTTAGATATAGACTTACCTTTTGATTCAAGACAAAAGAAATCATACGTTACCATGCAACCATTTCCACGATTTTCTTTAGTTTCAATACATTTATCCAAAAGCAACTTGGCCATCTCTGGCATACCTGCGATCATTACGCACAGAGAATTTTCGGGACCATTCTTTGACTCTTTCAAAATCTTTTAAATTTCAAAAGACATTGAAAACCATTTAAGAAAAAAAGCAAAAGAGCGTCTTCATCAGAACAAACTTGACATTTACCATGATGAGGGAAAATTTTTAAAATATGTTTCGTAATCACAAATGGTAAATGGCAAAATGCATATTTTTAACTCTCCCCCCACCCCCCAGAACTGTAGATCGATTGTGGTGTCATCGCTCAAACCCTCTCCAATCCATACATTTGTACTTCTTTCGTTGTTGATGTTGCAATAAATCTTTCAAATTAAATAAAGCCTTAATACTCTAGCTTGTTTTAATGAATTGCCATACAATTATTTTATGTGTTTTCATCAAGAACTACTTTTCCAGTAAAAAAGTGGCCTTGTTGTGTTGATGTCTCCAACGTGAACTAAAAAACAAAAAATATGTCACAAATATCTTACCTCTTTCCAGTTGGCTGTATTTTGAAATGATTCAACAATTGCAGGCAAGTTGCGTTGCAAAGCCCAATCAAAGGCCGTAAAATCAATTTTGTCTTTCAGAGAAAAATCAGCTTTGCTTGCAAGTAAATAAGAGACAATCTTTGGAAAACCATATTTAGCTGCAAGTATCAATGGTGTTTGAGCAGAATGATCAATCAAATCGATTGTGTCAGGATGTTCTTGCACAAGTAGCTGGACGTTCTTCAAGAATCCCTTGCTGCAGGCAATATGCAACGGTATTTGATCATTGGTATCTCTGTTTAAATTAAAATAATATTTCTTAACAGGTTATACCATTCTATTAGTGACAATTAGTCATAACAGACACTTACATCAAGGTAGAATCACATCCGTAAGATAACAAAAGTTCCAAGACATTAGATTGCTTGAATGCAGCTGCGTAATGAACAGGCGATTGAAACAAATTGTCAACAGCATTGACCAATTTGGGATCCTCTTTAAGAATACACGTTAGAATGTATTTTACAACAAGAAGTGACCTTGATTTCACAGCTGAATGAAGTACAGATTCATTTCCTTTCGTTGTTCTTAACAACATTAGTGTCGTGTCGTGACCATAGAGCATTTCTAAGGACTTAAAACAAGCAGCAATATCAAATATTGTGTCATCCATATAATGATTAAAAATACAGAATAAAGGAATGGAAAATTTTTAAGATTTTCTATCTGAAAAAGAAAAGTAAACTTTGTGAATCATGTTTTTAAAACATAAATTTCTCTACTTTTGTCATCGTTTGTGCATGTTTATTGAAAATATTGAAACGTGAAATTTGTCTCAGATGCTTGCATGCACTGACAAAGAGTTATATCCTACTATCAATCAACTAACAACACAAGTCAGAATGATTAATGTTAAATTGTAAGCAAATGCTGTATATAGTATTTGCTTATAACTTGTGCAGCCACAGAGAAAATTAAAAAATTCTTCCAAAGAATGCATGACAGCTTTATTTCAAAAGAAATTTGTACATCCACTAATAAAGTACATTAGATCCGTTATCAATTAAGGATGCAACAGCGCACAAATTTTACAAGAATTTGGCAACAAGACCTGACAATAGCCAAATCGCAGAATTAAACACTTCAATATATTTCGTACCTCAGTGTTACCCAGTACAGCTGCCCGATGGATTGGTAACTCTCCCACTTTATCTGCCTCGCGTAGAGCTTCAGAAATACGAGCATCCTAAAAAATATAACTTAAAATTCATTTTCAAAGCAATGCTTTCATTCAAAGCTACAAACGCTTTACAAAAAACTTGTGCGCAAATAAAAATTTGAAATTAAAATTCTTGCACAAAAAAGTGAGCTTGAAGAAACAGTTATGTTTTACTCACCCAAAAAGAGACCTAGAATATTTTACTAAAATAAAGTTTCAAATGTGACGAATGTATTTGTTGTTTGATCTGTAATACAATACTATCAATATGAGTTTGATGAAATTTTGCCTCTCGATGTCTGTTGATATGGTACTAATTAGAGTCTGTTTAAACGGTGCCACCACATGTCTGTTGAATTTGCTTTAAATTTACAATTGGGAACTGCTAAAATTTGTCAATTTTTTTAGAATACACTTTTGTTTATGAGGAATGTCGTTTTTAAGGAATGAAAACGCCATATCGTTACCATGAGATTCAACAGTTTGACTTGGATTAACATATCAAACGAATAGTTCTCATGTTCACAATCTCCGTGACTGCCATGTCATGCATAAGCTCAATGTTTGAGCTTTTTTTTGAAGTGGTGTAAGAGCAACAAATTATTGCATTTTTCTTTTGTACCTACATCTTTAAACACTTTTAGAATTTCTTTTAAGGTATTGGGTTTAGATACAGCATGATGGAGGATATTTCGTTGAAAATCGTCAGTTTCCGTTATATCCATGTCTTGAAGTTCTTCCTCCTCAATACACACAAACCTCACCGATGAACCACGTTGAACCTTTCTAAAAAACGCCATTAGAGAAAGTGTTATATTCTATCCGTTTTTCATATTTCTTGAAAAGTCTGCTCAAAACTAAAATTAAACTCAGGAGTTGCGTTGCAAGACATAGTCCAGCTTTGTAAATTTTTTGAGTTCACTTCCTGGGAAAACGGATTTCTTAATGTGGCAATAACAAAACTTTGCTGGCTTTCTACTCCACTAAAAGCAAACTGTACCTAATCACATGCATCACAAATGACTCATCCCATAATGCACTATTGAGTGCACTTAAGCAGCCGGAGGAAATACAAAACATATTATGAACTTCACAATAAAGATTTAAGCATTTGATAACGAACTTAACAAACGTCTATAACGTCTTTTTTAAACCTTTGTCAAAATTTAACTATACTGTTACGATTTACTGTTGCGTGAAAGGATCCTTAAACTATTCGGAAGGTTAGGTGATTGAAATTGTCTGGAAAAATAATCTGCGCAGCAAAGTATTTTTTAATCTACCTTATAAAAGATTTTATTCGTCCATTATGAGATCTAAGGGACGCTGTGACCCAAGCTTTCTGTTTCCTACTTTTGCCATTATTCTCCTTATAATCGGATTCATCATCATGCTCAAAACTTTCGCTCAAGACTTCTCTCTCGTTCTTCGACATAATTCCTTAAAAAAATATTAGTGTGCTGGGTGTTGAGTAGAGATACTTTGGATGCAGAATGTTTGACAAATGACGCAATAAAAAGTTTTTCAAATAGACAAAAACATTGAAGAATATATTAGTGCGCTAGCTAAAGTCGAATCTTCTAAAACTACGAAATTAAAACTGATTTACTTGGGATTCGACTATGGCAACCATTATAGTAAGTGGAGAGGTGTATCACTCCCCAACCTTTTGTGAAAGTCCAGAAGACGTTTTTATATCAAGTACAGATATAGCAAAAGACAATTGCAGAACATGTTCTACAAATTTGCGTGTTTCTAGAACAAAAGATTATCCTGCCCCAAAAAGCACAATTCATGTATTGGTTTGCTTGTATTAAAATGCAATCCTTTTGCAGAACAATGAGCAAGCTAAAAACTTGTACTTAATTCAACTCTATTATTGCTAGACTCAATATAAATGTAATATAACAAAATAAAACAAATTCTGAATATAGGGACATCTCGCTTTTTTGATATTCAAGACAATATAAGAGTTGAAATACGGAGTAGGTGATATTTCGCCTTTATTCCAAAGACATCGTCAGCTTGCATTGTATCTATTGGTCTGACGATGTCTTTGGATAGAGACGAAATATCACCAACTCTGTATTTCAATTCTTGTATTGTCTTAAATATCAAGAAAACAAGACGTCTCTATTGGGAATTTGTTTTATTTTGTTTTATTTCAAATTGCCTGCTTGCCCTGGTTAAATGTAATATATAGCATGCAATTCTTTTCAAAGAATATGAAAGCGACAACTGTGTAGTATAATGTCATCCGACGTTCTGAAAGTTTAAGATTCAGCAGTATTTGACCTCCTTCCTAAAATCCCTGACGCAGATGAAAGGAATTTCATGCTTGGTTGGTCGGCCAAAATTTTTGGTTTTTCTATCAAAAACATATACAACAAAAGTCATTTCCTGAAAATAAAACACTTCTTCCATTTTTCTAAAGGCGTGTGGGATTCTGGATTCGAAGGACGCAGACATTTATGGATTATTGGGGATCAATTACTACCGAATCATACAAATTCTAATTTCACTGAACAATTTCATTCCGATAATTAAAGACCGTTATAAAAGACTCACCTTGAGCTGCGGATAATCCAGTAACTTAATATAGAAATTATTGCTTCTTATAAATTTCAACAAACAATGCTGGGACAGACAATCTGATTTGTATCAAACAACTAGAAAGCGTCGCGATGTGAGTACATGCAAAGTACATTTGTCAACCCGACGACGGTGAAAATGTCAAGACAGACAGCAAATATTGTGAATCAATATGACTTTCGATTTTTGAAGTACTCTTTCAATTTATACAATATTATCAGGGGCGGATCTAGGGTATGTCAAATCAGTCACGTACAGTGGCCCATTAGTGACACGTTCATTCTATAGAAAATCGTGCTTTCATTTTGTAAATTAATTGATTCAATAATAAAAAGGCAGTTTGCTTTACAAAAGTAGTCAATTTCAGTGAAACAACCGTATTCCACTAATAACAAAGAACAGTTTTCAATTTTAGTTACGTGTTCCTTTGGTTCACAGCCTTCTAGTTGTTTGATACAAATAAGACCTAGGTTGGCTTGGTATTGATAAACCATAAAATCGTTGTCTGTCCCAGCATTGTTTGTTGAATTTTATAAGAAGCAATAGTTTCTATATTAAGATACTGGATTATCCGCAGCTCAAGGTGAGTCGTTTAAGACGGTCTTTAATTATCGGAATGAAATTGTTCATAGTCATACACGTGTGTTAACACATACAAAGATTGTCAGATCGCGCATAAAACTGGATTCGCTCGAAGTGTCATTGCTTGAAGATGTACGTGTTATGTTGTGATTATGAATTCCTTCTTTGTTGTTTATCGTATTAAAGCACGATTTTCTATAGAATGAACGTGTCACTAATGGGCCACCGTAGTCACGCGACGTATGTTTATAGTTGAAAAATTCTTTATCAAATTTAATGATTACAATTGTTTTTGATCATTAAATTTTCGTTCTGTAATCGTTTGGATATCATCGTCAAAATCCGTTTTATGTATAAAATCTTATACAAATACCACCTTAGTAAACTGATCAGTTGATAAAAACATATCTAGAATTGTATTAAAGTGCTTATCTCACAATTTTTTTTTCGAATTTTCTGATTGAGGTAAAAAAATCATTGTAAAAGTTACTTTACAATTTTCTGATTGATGGCTTCATTTATGAGATAAATGCGTTTCTTTTCTCAAAATCGGCAATAATGGAGAAAATTGCTGCGCGTTCAATTTGCTTCATGAGAGCCTGAATCGAGAAGTATGTGACGTAACATAAGGACAGGAAGTTTTTCTGAAGTGTGACTTTGCTATAATTTCTACTTTATTTACTACGGCTCTGCATCAAAATGCCTGATAGATGTGCAGTTTTCGGCTGTTCAAACCGAGCAGAATTTGCTCGGAATAATCTCGACCGATAAGCAGGGTGGCCGGACCTATAAGAGCGTCCAATTGCTATTGTGTAATTGGTTCGTTTAAATTTTTGTCTTACTGTGATTGGTTTGACCGATTTTGACTGATAGCCAACTGAACTAACATAGTCAAGCTCACTGTCTGAATTGAATGTTTAATCGTTTCATAGTAATTTTCTAAAGCATGATAGAAACTAAACTACAATCAAATGGAATTTATGGAAATCTTTTACAAATTCATATATTGACATAAATGCTGCTGTCCAAACTGTGAATTTTTTCAAGAAGGTGAAAAATTTATGGATGAATTGTAAATGCTTGGCAAAGACGATCTCGCGAGCGACATTTCAGTCATTGATGTTCAAAGCAAGCCAACATTGTTTTGAGTTTTATCAGCAGAAATTTACATCCGAAATCGTAAATAAAGGACAACTGAAGTGTATGCGTGAATGTAAAATATCAAAGTCAATTTATGCGAGTATGTGATGCGATTTATGTCAATATGACGTATGGTAAGCAGATTGATGCTTTTAAAATTGTTACATGTTTGTGAATGTAGATCGTCCAGGTTGGTATAGTCCTGAGAAGGACTGTTTTTGTTGTTGTTGACTGACGTTTCGATAACCTTAGCGGTAGTCATCTTCAGAGTGAAATGAGGAGTAAACGTCAGGTTAGCCGTATTTGTTATCTGGTTCTTACGTCATTGTATTGTGTGTACAGGAAATGTGTATTGTCATTGTGAATTAGTGTGAAGTGAAATATTTTTAGTTTTAGTTGTAATGTGTGGGTGTCAATTGTGTACTGTCATTGTGAATTAGTGTGAAGTGTAATGTTTTTAGTTGATCGTTTGTTTTTATTGTGAATAAGTCGTTTGTAAGGTGCCGGTAATTGCTGTGATCTGTCCAGGGCGGTTTGTTCCAAGTTGGTATACCAACTTTCTAATGTAAGCCGTTGTCTATAGTCAGTACTGTAAGTAATGCATTTTGCTAAGTCCCAGTCAATGTTGTGCTTTGTGATTCGGTGATGTTGCCGAACATCACATTGCCGAACATCACCGAATCACAAAGCACAACATTGACTGGGACTCGGCAAAATGCATTACTTACAGTACTGACTATAGATTAAAGGCATGTTGGTTACATTCTGTTTGTATTGGCAAATACAATTCTACTAGTGATTGCTATATAGCACACCTTGCATATACTTAAAGAAGATAATAGTCTAGTGAAATGTCTATGGCATTAAGTTGTCCTTAACTGCAAATTTTCACTCTGATAATTTTTGCTTAATCTTTGGCAGAAAAAAATTTTGAGTTTTTTCTCAAAAAGTGAATTTGCTGGCACTGATGCGGAGATGGGTAAAGGGTTACAATAAACTTGCATGGTTTGAAGTCTGAGCTTTTCTGTATCTATGAACTGTCACTTGTAGTAACAAAATTTCTAACTTAACTCATTACATAGAGGTTTGAATGGGGGTCTCTAGGGGGGTCTATGCCTGACAACTTGGAAGAAATTATACATGCTATTCATGAACAGACTATATCTGTTTTTGAATAGCATTATTGTAAAATAAATTTTACGTTCTTAGACATGCTAATGAGCCATATATTTGGCGTGATAATGAGCCTAAATATTTGTAAAAACATTCAAGTATTATTCACTTCAGTTTTTTTGGAAAAAACGTAAGCAAAATGTGTTGTTTTTACGCATAAAAGATGCCCACAAAATACATTTTGTATTGCTCTAAAACGCTGAAAATGGCATTTCCAAGGTTCTTAAATTCAAGATTTCTCAGGGAGAATGCCTCGGACCCCCATATGCGGAGCGCCTCCAACGTTTTATGACTGATGTTTGAAAAATCGTAGATCCGCCCCTACGGTAGGGAGTCAAAAAAAATTTGATCAAAAGACTTAGTTTTTTTAGGCAAAAGTTTGTGCAACGAACTCCTTTCTTTTTCTGATTTGCGAAAATTTTTCTGTGTTGCATTCCATTCTCCAAAAACTCAGCAAGAGAATTGCTGTTTGCACACATTGTGTTCATTATCACTATCACTAACTATTCTAACTTCATCTTCATTTCATTTACGGCCTTCATTTATTGCAAGTCTATGTTGTTTATCTTTGTGTCTACCGTTTTGTATACCTTTTTGTCTATCTGTCTGACATTTTGCTTGCCTTTTTGTTTACCTTTTTCTATTTTTGTGTTTATCTTTATGTCTACCCCTTGTCTACCGTTTGTCAACCTTTTTGCCTAGCTTTGTGCCTACTTTTTTTGTCTTGACAACACTTGCGTTTAACTTTTTTCAACCATTTTCCCACATTTTGTTAACCATTTTCCAATTTTTTTATTTTTGTCCCTTTCTTTTTATCTTTTTCTTTTTCCATTTTTCATCCATTTTTGTCTTCTTTGTTTCTTCCTTTTCATTCTTTTCCACTGTTTCTGTGTTTTCTTTCCTTGTTTCTATTTTTCTTCCTTTGTCTATTTTTGTTCTACAGTATTTTCAAAATTCTACTTTTGTCAAACATTTTTGTCTATCTTTTTGCATAAGTTTCTTTTACCTTAGTCTATATCCTGCCTTTTCTGTGTATGCCTCCGTTCATGTCCTCTTTTGGAATTTAAATATCATCATTTTCAAAATGTCGTTCATGTTAAAATGTCGTTCATGTCCTCTTTTCTATAAATGTCGTTCATGTCCTCTTTTTGAAATGTCGTTGGGTCATCTTTTCAAAATGAAAATTTTGAAATAACGTTCATGTCATCTCTTCGTCGTCCGTGTCGTTTTTTTGAAATGTCGTTTATGTCGTTTTTTTGAAATGTCTTTCATGTCATCTTTTTGAAATAACGTTTATGTCGTCTATTCGAAATGTCGTTCATGTCGTCTTTTTGAAATGACGTTCATGTCGTCTCTTCGTCATTCATGCGGTGATGTTTTGCAGTGGGAACGCGGGGGAATGGCGTTCCCCAACTATTTTGACAAGGGGGACAGCGTTCCCTTTTTGAAAAATCACTCGGTCTCCCATTGCAAACATTACTCCTTCGACAGTGAACTAATTTTAATACCCTTGCTCTAACCCGTAACAAACTATGAAAGCTTCCTTTAAAAGGAGGTATTTAAAATGACAAAGACAGAGTTCATCAAGCCTATTCCATAAAAAACATTGTTTTAAAGAATTTACTGCGGGTAACATGGCCATCCTTATTTTAAAGTGAGCAGGTACTCAGGATAATATTGGTTGTCTTGGAATATGACGAAAATATTTGGATTCACTAAATTATCAACAACTGAGTCATATCGTAGACCAGGATTGAAAGGATCATTTTTTGAAGGAGGTGCTTTCAATCCAGGAGCTCCTTTAGTGTACAACCCAACGAGAACTTTGGCAAGGTACATTTTTGAAGATGTCGACATTCCTCTTTTGGCGTATCGCATTGAATATGAGGCATTACGAGCAAAATATACACCATTACCATACGCAACACCTAAAAAATGATGTTTGAGAAGGATAAAACATTTGGTTCATTTTGCATTGACAGTTCTGAAACATCTACAAGATGAAAACCAAATAACGTCTTAGAGATGAAGGTGTTAGGCACTATGTAACTTCATAAGGCAATGGGCCTCGTCACGAAGAGTAAGATTCCACAACTTTAGGAGAGCAAATTCCGCAAAAATACACCAACATATCTAAGACGTCTAAAAAGCCACGTAATTATGATAAAGTACTAAAGACAGAGTATTTTAAGAAAATGAAGGTAAGGATAAAGGTAGAAAAGACAAAGGGTTATATAACTAAGATCAAGGATTACGTAACTTATAATTGAGACTTAAGGGATTTTTTTCAAAAAAAATAGTTCATACAAATTGTTAGCAGCCAAAACTTTGCACAAATGAAGCTCCGCTTATGAAAATTCAATGTGGAAAGTTTTGACCAAATAATGTATGCGGAAGTTTGGAAACCAAGACAACGATCGTATCGACTCAAATTATGACGTCATAAATACAACACAAGCGACTATCAAAGTGTGTAAAAACTTCGTACAGTCATTTTTCATTTGTGGAGCTTCATTTGTGCAAAGTTTTGGCTGCAAAAAACATATATGAACGATTTTTTAAAAATACTCGCATAAACATTCAAGTACCTAAGTGTATACTCATACATATGCTCACATATATTTAAGTACAGGATCCCTGGGACTATGGCTTTTACAGGACATGGAATCATTATCAAATTTTATACACTATTGTCGTGGAGCAGAATACAGTATTTATTATTGCACTAAAGTGCAATATGAATGTGGTTGTTTTCCCCTAAAAATTGGATTGTTTTTGCCAGAACGATAAACTAATGTTGTTTACATCACTGTTTGTTATTTAACCCTATATACACCTCACTATACATACTTGATCTTTCAAATACTAACTATCAAATGCTCTTCTATAAGAAAGCTGATATAGCATACTACCTAATAAAATATAATACCGCTGCTTATCAACATAATAGATTGTCTTGCCAATAATTCATTTAAATGATTCTCATTTAAAAATCATTCTTGCTCTTACCATTGACACCGGCAAAGCTTCGGTTTAAATTAGATACGTTTATTGATTCAATATTGGCTGCATCAGTACCGTGGTAGAGTCGCTTTTCGTTTGGTTGAGTTTTCATGGTTTTTTTGAAAGTCATATACCTCGAGTAAAGTTGAGGGTTTTGGATTCTTTCCACTTTTTGAAGTTGCGATTGATGTCCACCATTGTGAACAAAATGACTTAGCACTTCAAGGTACTCAGGACTTGATGGTAGTAATTGCACAAGTTTAACAAACTCGTGGCTTTGTTGATAATCCCAATGGGGAGGCAATGATTCTAAAGACAAAAAAATTAAGACATATCATTTGGCTTCATTTGATGTGTATCGCGCATATAAGAATTAAAATCAGCCGAAAATAAATAAATTCTTATTGATTGAACTCAAATGCGGTAAAATGTCTCCTAAGAAAACGCTGATACTGTACCAACTTAACAAAATAGCAGGCCAAACGCTGGTGCAAAAAAAGTTGATTTTCAAACCACCCAAAACTGACATTTAAACAAGCACTGCATCCTATCCATACAAGACAAATTCAACTATTTTATTTCGAATCCTAAAATACAATGTGCTGAGTGCATTCCTAAAATATCATTGACATAGTGCAAGTCCCTAATGAGATCTTATGTTTTAGACGTAGTGCAAATCCCAAAATATGATGAAACCCAATTTTCAAGACATTTGTTACTGACATGGCTGACAATCAAAGAAGCACCACCTCATATCTACTTGACACTCTTCAACTCTTTAGTTTAACTCCTAGAAGACAATGTGCTGAATCTATCCTGAAGATTTCATTGGTATAGTGTAAGTCACTTACGAGATTTCATATTTTGGGCGTAGAGTAAATCCCACAACTTGACAAAAAAGCAAATGTCATACAATCGCTGTTGATATTTACACAAGCGCCGTTTCGTATTTACTTTTTCAAATTCTGGTAGAATTTCTTCAAAATCCAGGGATTTAAACAACAAATACAAACGACTCTTAGATTTTTTTTTAAAAAAACCCAACCATGTTTGAAATCTTATTTCTTGCATTCAAAACGTTGATGCAGAAAGTCAGTGCATGCAGAGAATGACCAATCTCTATGCAAAGACACGTCAATTTGCAAGATTTACAAACAATTAAATAAACGAACGAAACTGAAAGTATCTCATTCGAGTTTATGATCTTTCTTGGGGCATTAATAATTCTCGATCACAGAACATACCTGTTTCATTATTATCCTTTATTGACTTTTCATGTTTGGCAATGTTGTAATCATGAATCATTGCGGCTACTTTATCGTTGGCTGTCATTACGTTTTTCGTTAGTCCCTCGATTGAAACAGATGACTCGTTTTCACACACAATACCTACTTCATTGTCCTTAGCCAAACGCTTTAATTTAGACATGTTTTCGTTCACGATTTTTCCGAGATCTTCGTGCTCAACAAACTTTGACGTTATGTTTTCGTTGACAAATTCTTCAATTTTGCCAATAGCTGTAGATATGTCTTGTTTCGAACGGGCGTAGATTTGAAATTTCACATTTTGAACGGAATTCTCACCCAATGATATCGGATAACGTTTCGGTTGGTTTGTGTACAATTTCGAGACTATGAAAAGAAAAGTTCCATTATGGAAACACTTCAAGAATGATCTATACTAGAAGCCTTCTAATTACTCAACATCAACATGTCAGTGCTCCGAAGAAACAAAACTTGCATTTCCACAAATAAAATACCAATAGAAAATACTAGAAGTCACTATTTGAGAACATTTACGGTATTTTAGTATGTTTTTTACATGTCAGGATCTTCAACTTAACTTGACACTAAACTTTACTGTTATGTATTTAAAAAAAAGTAACTTCATTGATAGGCTCGTGTGCTACGAGTGCTTCCCCTATAGATTTGAAAATAGCTTTAAATTTTGCTGTCACGAGAACTCGAAGTATTTCTATTGTTTAAGGTTTAATACCATTCAAACCAGGGAGCAAAAAGTCCGATAACTGTGGGGTGTGTGCTCATATTTATAAATGCATGTTGCACTTCCTAGAAAACAATGCATTTTAAATGAACTTAATACACCGCATCATGCATATATGAGTAATACCCCTCATTCCACCCCCAATTATTAACTTATTTAATACGCTCAGATCAACAAGGTTTTTTTCAACAATGCAAACTTGCTTTCGGTCAGTGTGTATGAAAAATGAACTCTATATTAGTTTCAATATTTTCAGTGATAAAAGTGAGTGAAACAAAATAAATGTTTTGATATTATAATCAAACAATATTTCTCACGTCTTATAAGCACGAAAGTTGTCGCGAGGGTAGCAACACTGACGACTAAACTCAAATTTCACCTCACTAGAACATTGCGCACATATACAGATTTTAAGTAAATGATAACAAAGCAATTTAAAAGAGTTTTCATTCGCACCTATGCTCTTTCTCAATCCAAGGGCATCCCTCGTAAAATTTCTACTTGTTTCTTGATTGTTTCGGACAAACCTAATCAGTCTGATTTCCTTCAATGTGGTAGGTGGAAAAGAAGAGCTAAATTGAATAAATGAGTCTCTCATACTGCGTAAAACAACATCTTCTGGAAACTTGTGTTTTCCAGTTCCAATCAAAGGCATTGCCAAAGATTTCACAGAGAGTCGACGACATTCCAGTAAAATTTTCATTATAAGATTAGGTAGGAACTATAACGAAACAAAACAATAAAAAAGACAGTTGTGAACGTCTTATTTTTTGTAAAAAATGTATGTGTTAAATCAAAAACAGAACACACAGCTTATCGTGATTACTGATGAAAAAAAATGCAAAAACATAGAAAGACTAAATTTGAGTCACACTACGGTAAAAAACTGCTCAATAGCTGTTAATACTGCTAAATATTAGAATGCATTTTGTCAATCTTCGGAAACGATATATCAAATACAATATATGTAAAATTTTTGCGACGTTTAAAATTTGAGAGGCATTCCTCTAGCCATTATCTTGGCTTCGACATGCGTGGTATGAAAGCTATGAATTTTCTAAAGTTATCAAGAGGGAGTTCTCTCCAAGGAAGGACACTGTCTCACAGTTCTTCATTGTTGATTGGATTTTTGGCAATTCGACATCTAGCGACTGGACTGACCATGATAGTAATTTGTGAAGCATAAGCCGACTCGTTTCTAAAGATGACTTTTAACCACTGTTCTGCTGTCCAGTTTCTGTGCCGCTTCGCAAATTGAAGACGTGTTTGCTTGCTTTTAGTGAAAGGTAAGATGTGGCTTTTTCTTTGGGTCGCAGCCACTAACACCACGCAGCTTCTCTAAATCCTCGTTGTGTGGTGGATCATTGAGCTCTGCCCTTTCAAACCACGAGGCTGTCTCTTCTTGTTGTAATTTGTTTACTGCCAAGTGTTAATCTTTGACGCAGCCAGTCAGCTTCTTCTTGAATATACTGATTTGGCTACAGCCAACTTTTGCTAGAAAACTTGCGTTGGGAGTCCCCATTATTTTGATAATTTCAACGCCATTTCGAAAATGTTCAAGACTGATTCTTGGCTTTGGACATATAAATCTGGACATGTAAGGGACAAGCTTCTCTTAGCCCTCGTTGAGCGTTGGATCACTGAGCTCTGCCTTTTCAAATCGCGTGTCTTTTCTTCTTATAATCTCTCGTTTTTTTCCAAATGTATTGCAATCTTTGAAGCTGTCATGCAAACTTGCGTTGGGACATAATCTCAACGCCATTTCGAGCACAACTGAATACATGAAGATATACCCCCATCCCTATATAGCTTTCTAGCAAGGGCCCTATACATAAATACTAAATCTTCGTTCACTAATTTGTTGTAGAATGAACTCCGACTGTACTTAAAACGTTTATACACATCAAACATCTTGGTGACGATTGTAGGACATTAATGGAAACCAAATGTTCAATAATTTACTACCAGCCAACAGTTCTGTCTAAGTATGAAATACCAATTTGAGCAGGGTTTTTTTTATCCCCAGTGTATAATGAAACGTTAGTTAAAAATAGTAATACAGGAGTGATGGATATGAAACAACTGTACAGATCACTGGCAAAAGTCCTATTTCTCATTAACTAAGTCTAAGAAACTGATATTTAACACCAAAGAATGCATCTTATGTTTGAAAATGCAACTTATGGAAGTACACTTTCTGGAAAATGTCCAAAAATTTCTTTCCTACAGAGTGTTATAGATTTTACATGTTATTTGGACTAACGCTTCAGATTACTCGTACCAAAGATTGACAACTAACCTCACCATCTCCATGTTGATATCTCCAGTCACAGCACACAGCATGTATAACATATTTACAACGTAAATCACCTCCACTTGTCGTAACGATGTCACCAGCAGCAACATTGCGATGTCTACTACATTCCAACTGATACGTCATTCCCCCAACAGAAAATAATGCACGGCCGATCTGGGTAAGGTTTGTTAAATCAGATGTAGCAGAATTTACCAAAATGTCAGCCTACAAAAGAATAGTGACGGTTAAGAACGACTTGTCATTATCAGTCACTTATGTGATCTAGGACGTGATCAGCGAAGACTTATTTTTTCCGGGTAACTCAATTTTTTGCAGTAGTGAGGAATTATTTGAAGTCCCATAATTGTTTATGAAACTAACCTAAGCCTACAACTAGTTAAGACCAAGGATGCGACCTTAATTACTTTGGAAATAGAAGAGATTTTTCTTTTACTACATTTTCAAGAAAATAGTAAAATAAAAGACATCCAAAACAAAAAATCGAATGTATTATGTAGCTGTTCAATGCTTTTCATGTGGATGTACAAAAAACGATGAAGTTATGTTTAGTCTACGTTTGTGTCTTTGTCAATGAAAGCTTTCAAAAGAATTTAGTTTCCAAAGGAAATGAATTCAGTCAAAGGAAGTGTTAAAGTTTAAATGGTATAACATCCCCAGCTTCGGGGATACAACGCAGATTTAAAACTATCTCCTTGAGACTTGTGCAGTTGTTAAATCACTGCGTTTTTAACTCGGGATTACCAAAATAACATTTTTGAACAAGAATTTTCACACACGCGCAATGGAACTACAAGTTACACGTAAAGTTACACGTAAAGTTACACGTAAAGATACAACAACATTCAAAATATTGGAAAGATTTATTTTCTCTTAGATATCATCTAATTACGTCTAAGTCATTGTTTTCTTAGTGGAATCAAGTCTTCGCGCTCAAAATACAATGTGCTCTTTCAGACAAAATAGGTCAGCGTAATTAGGAGTTGGCATAACAACTTTGTGTTATATGATTGTAAATGCTTTCTTGATATTTATCGACAGCTTCAAAAAAGTCTTTGTTTTACATGCGAAATTATATTTTGAGATAAATTGTAAAATATTGATTAGCCATCAAAAAACGAATTCAAAGAATATTTCAGAAAACAAACATCAATATAAAAGGCATGAGCAGATTGGTTGTCCCTGGTTTTTGCTAATGCACAATCGTTTTTTGATGGAATAGTTATTTTACATAGCCAGATCTACTCTCAAATTCTTACATACCCTTTCCTCGGCAATATTTCCATACTTCCATGACACGTTAAGACCTTCTTTCGTGATGAATTTACAAACATCAAAAGGATCTACTGGGTTTGACACAGCACTCGCAGTCATTGACGTCATGTTTTCATTTTTGATACCTTCATCTCGGGCTGAGTCCGCCAATTCTATAACTTCTATCACCACATTAGTTTCATCTTCGATGCCTTTCACATTCCTTTTACCGTTCTCACCAAACATCAAAGTACTGAGACGAACACGGGACATGTCTTTTGATTCTGATAAAATCTTATTTTCTAATTTACGGATCTTTAGATACCCTTCTAAAACTCCTTCTTTTGTGCCAACTAAATCACACTCATGACCAACAATTTCAATTTTTAAATGTTCATCTTTAAAATGAGTCTGTATCGTGTCAATCTCAGTGGTCATCTTCTCTTTTATGAAACGAGCAACGCCAGGCAGTAAACTCTTCTTTTTGCTTTCTAAAGTAAGAGAGCTGATAAGACGTCGAATCTTTCTGCTGTATTCGTTTACAACATGTTTTGCACCATATAAATGTATTTGCGCTTTATCAACACGTTCAACTTTGTAGTCAATTGGCTTCTCTTCCTCTATAGACTTCAACAAATCACACCACTGTTTTGAGGATAAAATGTGTTCGTGTAGAGCAGGAAAGTCGATGCTTTCCATATAGATGCTTTTACACAAAAGATCTCGAACTACTTTGTATTCTTCAGCGGAGCGTGTAATTATTTTGACGGTATCTTTCGACGTCACTAAAATATGATAAGCAACGTCTTCTTTCGAGAAAAGTGTATCAAGATATTCCACACCAGATTTTTTCGACATAAAACATACAACCTCTTTTGATAATCCTAACTCGCGGACCTCGACATTTTTCATAAAATCATCGAACCTTTCAATTCCATCACTTGTTGCTTCATTAGAACCCACGAAACATACTTTCGTTCTTGATTTGTCGTCCGCAAAATTTACCTCAACCAAACCAGGATTATTTTCTTTAATCGTTCTCAGGAATTGTTGTTTTTCAAGGAAATCAGCATGATCAGAAGATGGAACGTCAGCATACCTAACGACTTGCTTTGGTTTTTCGTGTTCTTCTGTCGTCATTCTTATAATGTTTTCAACCAATTTAATAACGGAATCAACGTTTTTTTTCAGTCCAACTATAACGATTTCTTCTTTTTCCAGGATAAACCAACAATCAATTTGATCGGAGCGGATTGAATCTATCATACCTTCAACTTTCTTAGAAACAGCGTTCTCAGCTCCTGCGCTAATTTTAAATCTTTCTACACGAAATTGATCAAAAAACTTCTTTGCCGTATTCTCGCACTTTTCAGGCCAATTTTTAACGCTGCCCGTATCTGATTGGACGATCTTTAAGAAAGCATTACCCTCTTCAAATGGTTGGAACTCAGCCTTAAAGTTTTTCAGTCTTGCGGCGAGGTCGCACGAAAAAAATTTACGGTTCATCACAAATTTCAGAACATCACAATCAACCTCGACAGTGACGGCTAGAAAGAAAAAAATCGATTAAAAAAGGAAAATCACATATTCGTACAATGCAAGAGTATAGCTAGAGTATGGCAACGAAATTCAAGAACTTCTCAAGGACTTTCATATAGCTAGAGTATGGCAATGAAATTCAAGAACTTCTCAAGGACTTTCATTTAGCTAGAGTATGGCAATGAAATTCAAGAACTTCTCAAGGACTTTCATATAGCTAGAGTAAGGCAATGAAATTCAAGAACTTCACAAGGACTTTCATATAGCTACGGTATGGCAATGAAATTTAAGAACTTCTCAAGGACTTTCAAGAACACGGTATTTAAATAAGACGTTAAAAATTACATCGAATCAATGAATTAGAAACCATCTTTTTTTCATTAAAACCAAGGAACTTCTACAAATCAATTGATAAAAAATGTTTTGGTAAGATGCTTAAAAGTTATAGGCTTCAAGATTAAAATTTCATCTTCAACATTAGAAAAAGAATATTTGTGAACTAGCTGTAGACAATCAAGGCCTTGAATTATTATTTTCAATCACAAAACAAGTCAAGGATATTACGGTGTTTCAAAAATGGATGTGCCTGCAGAAGTCGAAATATCAACAAACGCATGAACTCTGACATTGAAAAGTCCAGCCGTTATACCTGCTAATTTCAGACGTCCCAGAAAGGCATTGACAGTTTTTAAAGCATGGCTGAAGTCGCTTTTCAAGCCAACGACAACAAGTTCTTTTTCGTTTAACGTTATTTTATGGGACTTTAGACTTTCTTGAAGCTGAGGTAATTCTTTCACGATGGAATCGCTAATGCAATCGTCAACTTCAAAGCTCTTCTTCGAAAACATGTTAGCTTTACGAACGAATTCATCGACATCTTTGACATTCTGATCAAAATTTGTGACATTACCAACAAGAATCAACTTTTCCTCATCAAGCCAACAAGCCGCTCCGGATGACGAAACTTTATTTTGAATGGTTATCAACGGTTCACACATCGACTCTTGTGTTTCATTGTCAAATGGAAAAGATTTCTTTTGAAAAGAGTCTAAAATGTTTTTATGGAGTCATTACACTTTCTTCTCCAATCTTTTACACGAGAAGCACTTCCTTTGGTCATCTTTATCATTCCATCAAGAAACTCAAACTTAATATCCATACTCGACGACAATTTCTTTAACTGTTCCATGTACTTTTTCCTCTTTTTCAGAAACTTTACTACATCATTGTCAATTTTGAGGACCAAATCTCTGGACTGCGAAACATCTTCAAGAGATTTTCCCTCAGGACCAAAAAACCTAAAGAATACATGTGTACATTAAATGCTTGAATTTAAAAGTCTTAATCCCACTAGCAACATGAACACACAATAAATGTAAACCAATTTTTCTTCACATATGCCCGATAAAATGCATAAGACAGATAATCATTAGCTATCTTTTTACTATTAATACAGGACATTCAATACACGAAACATGTAAATCACTTATACCAATCAAATATATACTACATGTATAAACAACAAATACATATACAACAAATACATATACATATACATACACTACATATCACTTACCTTTGTTTTTAAGAAAGGTTCTCACAATATCCAGAACATGTTCTAATTCGCCACGTTCAGTCATCACAGCCAACTTTTTATTACCATCTTCAATCCAGTAAGCAGCATAGGTAGAACGCAATTTACCACCAAGTTTCGGCAAATCTTTCCGCAAACGTCCCGAATCTTTGATATCGAAACACTTTTTTGAAAAACGATCACAAAACGTTCTAACCATGCTGGCAGAACAATTACCCCAGTTCTTGATAAACTTCGAACCACGTTTCTTTGTCACAACAATCAGACTTTTTTGGGGGAACAGTTCAACATCAGCTGACAATGTTTTTAGTTTTTCTCGTAGCTGCAAAGAGAAAGCGTTTCGCTTTGATATAAATTTAACAATTTCCTTTTTTATTTTGACTTTTTTTTGTAGTTGTTTTTGCTTTCCATCGTCATCATCGTCAACATTATCATCGCTATCAAAGCACACGGAGCTAACAACACTTTGTGTATCGTCGTCAGAATATAGCTCTGCGGAGGACTCGTTTGTTGAAGATGATGTTGAAAGTTGAGAATCATATTGAAAACCTACAACATAAACAGACATTTCTCAATACAATAAAGAAGCAAGTATCGGTCTTCTAAAAAAATGTTTTGTATCTACATGAATAGGATTACAAGAAAATCGATTTACAGTTTACATATCTATTCAATGTTGAGCAAATCTGATGCCAAAGACTGATATCAATTCAATTTTATTAATGTACAGATTTACTTTAATAAGGCTCAACTTTATAGAGCAAATCATTCAAGAAAACATGATAAGATTGGAATTGGTAAACCTGGTTTGATCATGATAAGATTTACCTAAGCTATTACGCATTAAGTACCACTATAATCTTATCAGATCTATTGAATCAATTTGTCTAATCTGTTCATAGACTTTAAAACACTGGCAATAAAAATGACATTATTCACCAGCATTACTAGTTCGAACAGTGAAGCAGGTACAACATCCAAGGTTTCACTAACACCATACAAAATCTACATTATCAATCATCAAGACATAAATAAAAGCCTGAAGACAGGATAAGATTCCTGCTAAGCTACAGAGGGCCTTAATTACACTTTATGAATCTTTAATCAAAATTTACAACAGTGTGTAAATTGCACGCTGTTGACTTTTACTTATCTAATATGATGGAACAATAAAGAGAAAGAGAATGAAATTTAGAATTTATAACCTAATTATACACTATTCATTCCTCATTGATCAGGTAAAATAAAAGAATTGCCCGCACAATTTACCATTTTCTTTATATAGAGACAAGGATTATTGTGGTTGTGGCAAAGCCAGCCTAATTGTTTACCCCAACAATGCAAATTTTTCTGCAAAATTATTATTCATTTCTTCAGAAAATTGATTCCATTCATTGTTTTTTTCAATGGTTGAGCAAAAAAATATTTGCATTGTAGAAGTAAAAATGGGCTGGCTTTGCTACTGATTGTGATATGTAGGACCACTTTGCTGTGCAACTGGCTGCTGTTGGCCATATCGTCAATCCTATTGGTCACACAATCCAATTTAGTGGCTGTCAATATGGTAATCACATGCGTAATAAGATATGCATGGCATGAAAAAATTGAACGGAGTGGACCTACTGCATGTTCTCTATGCTGTGATGACATACTAAATGTACGCAGTGTGCGAATTAACGGTGTGCAATGTGCAATTTGCACATCGTTTTAGCTAAAATGAAAACAATTGCACATCATTTTTCAAACAATGTGCAAATAAAAGTAAAAAAACAATACCTAAAGTAAAGATAACTTTTACCACACGTTATATCACCAAATACAACCTCATATTACCAAATATTCCTCACGTCAAAGCATTATACAAGACAAAATGACAACTGATATATATAAAATTTGTTATAAAAGTTGAAAAAAACAAACCAGTGCCCTGACTTTGTCCAGCCACATCAACACGAATACGCCTTCCCTTTAAAGTCTAAAATTTATAAAGTCTATTGGTAAAGCCAAAATATTTTTCTGCATCTTTACTTATATTTAACAAAAAAAAAGTTTGTGTGATGTTAAATGCATGTTTCTAGTAAGGTTAACATGCAGCAAAACACTTGTAATGGCTAACGAGAAAAAAATGTTTTCAATAAAAACACTAAAAAACAATGAAAATATACAACAGTATGTAGCCAAGAAAATGTAATAATGTAGATTCTTAATAAAAAATACATGCAGGTACACACACACAGGGAAAAATGCAGTTAAGCTGGTATAAATGCAGGTAAACACACAGGGTAAACGCGAATATACACAAGCAGCAACAGACGCTGGTTAAAATGAAAGTACACATGCAGGTAAACACACAGGTAAACACACAAGTAAACACACAGATACAAATGCACATAGACTACAAATGTTGTTTATACCCGATCATCAAATTCCAAAGCTTTTAAAAAGACATGCATTTCATCAAACTCTGCATAACCAAAACCCTTCAACCTTCCATTTTCTGATTCTCGAGGCAAACGAACATCTTTCACCTAAAAATTTAACATTACAAAACTTTACTTCTTAAGCAGGGATTATGAAAAATAGTATGTTATGTAACAAATAGATTCTATACAAAGGCAAGCAGCTCACTTTTAAATATGAATTGATATTATAAACATGCTAATAGTTTATCTGGCTACTGTATGGACAGAGCTGGATGAAACAGAGAAAGGAAGGCTACATAAAACCTGATAACCAAGAAAGAACAGATTCTTAACTGGTTAAAGATGTCCCCAAGAGCTGGGTGATTAAAATTTTAGAAGAGTTACGAGTCTTACTAAATGATGATTTTCACTTCGCGTAGGAGATCTAACACTAAAGAATATTTTATCAATGCAGTGTGGGAATTAGTTCAGAAAAAACGATGTGCAATTTTTTTGACAAAAGTTTTTCTTAATATGCATAATCAAATCGATGTTACGTTAATTATTATATAGCGCTAATTGCTAAATTAATATTTTTAAACTTGAAGAAATTCATATGATTTACGACAGTGTTTTTCGTTAAAACCGCTGATTTTTGCACATCGTTTGAAAAAGTGATGTGCAATTGTTTTCATTTTAGCTAAACGATGTGCAAATTGCACATTGCACACCGTTAATTCGCACACTGTCAATGCCATTGTGGGTTCCAGCCAGCGTGGGCAGTGATTATTGTTTGTTAAATCTAATAAAATTGGTTTCAAATCAACAATCATCAAATCTGATTTATGAAATAATTATAAATTTAGATAGTAAGATAGTTGCAGTGAATTTGTAACGAACTGGTAAATTTCTTTTCGAAAAGATAAATACGTAAACTCTAAGCATAAAAAAAGAATTACCTGTACACATTGGAAAAAGTGAAAAATATCATCTTCATCCACATCGTATGGTAAATTACCAAGAAAAGCTGTGTATGGTGGACCCTTAGGTATGGAAGATATATCAATATTACCAGCCCTCGCAGATCGTGGAGCAGTAGGTAAGACAAAACGCTGTAATTCTTTAGGTTCAGCATAAGGATCAGTCCAGGAAACATTTCCTTCAACAGTAAAATAATTTTTATCAATACACATGTTTAATGTTTTAATATATAATGTAAAATAAAGAGTTGCTTACTAACTGGAAATTATGCATTAACTAGATTTTACTTGACATTAAGGCTACAGAATTTTAGACTAAAAATGATATTTAAATGCTCACTATGAAAAGCAGGTGACTTGCAACTGTCAAATTTAAATTATTTCCACCTCTATAAAGTGTCAAGGCAAATTTTGAAGGTGGGTTTTGCAAACAGGAAATTTTTATCATAGCATACAAGAAAATATTTCTCAATTCTGATTGGTTAAGAGCAGTGCAATTTTTCCAAAATACGAGTGAAAAAATACAAAACACCAGTGCAAATTTCTTTTTTAGTCAAACTAAGAAGTAATATAAAAGCAAAACAACATAAAATATTTCAAAGGCAGGAAAGTTTCATTATTGTAAACAAAGCAATTAAAATGGCTGGCATAAGTTTTAAGTAGATTTTTTTTGGCGACCAAGTCAACAGTTCATCATTTGCAAGAAGTTTCTGGACAAAAATAAAAACACTACTAAAACAAGATACCTTGTTCTAGCTGCATGAGTGAAAGCTATGGTGTTGTGAAAAATATTATCTGAACAAATTTAAAAATATGAGCCAGTCCATATTAATAACTGGCCAGCTGACATGTACATATGCTGAAATTAAAAATCAAGGGAATTAAAAAGCAAGAAGCAAGTATTAGTTTTCTAAAAAAATATTTTGTATCTACATGAATAGGATTGCAACAAAATCGATTTACAGTTTACATATCTATTCAATGTTGTGCAAATTTGTTGCCAAAGACTGATATTAATTCAATTTTATTAATGTACAGATTTACTTTAATAACGCTCAACTTTATAGAGCAAATCATTCAAGAAAACATGATAAGATTGGAATTGGTAAACCTGGTTTGATCATGATAAGATTTACTTAAGCTATTACGCATTAAGTACCACTATAATCTTATCAGATCTATTGAATCAATTTGTCTAATCTGTTCATAGACTTTAAAACACCGGCAATAAAAATGACATTATTCACCAGCATTACTAGTTCGAACAGTGAAGCAGGTGCAACATCCAAGGTTTCACTGACACCATACAAAATCTACATTATTAATCATCAAGACATAAATAAAAGCCTGAAGACAGGATAAGATTCCTGCTAAGCTACAGAGGGCCTTAATTACACATTATGAATCTATAATCAAAATTTACAACAGTGTGTAAATTGCACGCTGTTGACTTTTACTTATCTAATATGATGGAACAATAAAGAGAAAGAGAATGAAATTTAGAATTTATAACCTAACTATACACTATTCATTCCTCATTGATCAGGTAAAATAAAAGAATTGCCCGAACAATTTACCATTTTCTTTATATAGAGACAAGGATTATTGTGGTTGTGGCAAAGCCAGCTCAATTGTTTACCCCAACAATGCAAATTTTTCTGCAAAATTATTATTCATTTCTTCAGAAAATTGATTCCATTCATTGTTTTATCAATGGTTGAGCAAAAAAATATTTGCATTGTAGAAGTAAAAATGGGCTGGCTTTGCTACTGATTGTGATATGTAGGGCCAATTTGCTGTGCAACTGGCTGCTGTTGGCCATATCGTCAATCCTATTGGTCACACAATGCAATTTACTGGCTGTCAATATGGTAATCACACTCGTAATAAGATATGCACAGAATGAAATAATTCATGGGAGTGGACCTAATGCATGTTCTCTATGCTGAGATGACATACTAAATATATGTATAAGATTAATAAATCTCCACACAAAACCTGTAGCCATTTCAGATCAAATATTTTTCCTTGAATTGTCAAATAAATTCTTGTCTAATTTCTTCTTCAGCACATGATTTATTTTCTTATCATCCACCACACTTTGTATTCTGCAAAGTGGAAGAATTTTAAATTTCTGTCAGTGGACAGTCATCGTTTTGATAAACGTTGTTGCATCTTTCACACATTATTAATTATTAAGGTTATAGTGCATAAAATTTATTAATAGAGCCTTCAAGATGATACAAATTGCCAGAACTCATGTTCATTGTCTTCTAACAAGTAGTACTATGGACATGTTAGATGACTTGCCTTGTTTACGTTTTGCTGGTAGGCAGATTAATCCCAAGAAAGGTTGACGCTTGTTGCTAGTGTTGTTCAAAACCACTAGACAAAATCTGCCTGCCAGCAAAATGTAAACAAGGCAAGTCGTCTAAAGCTCTCAAAGCACAAAACAAGTCATTTCCTTAATGTTAACAGACAATATAAATATAATCATTGTAACATATTTGAATACATGATGGTGGCAACGTTACTCATGAGTTATTTGCCAAGAAAAACATAACTAGTGTTTTATAGCTCAGCAAGTAAAATAAAACAATTATGAGATCATTCAGAGATCATTCAGAACATATATGTACTCACTCAGTCACGGAAAACACTACAGCCAAAAATCAAATTACCCAGCTTTCGTTTGTGTTTTATTAAAAGTAAGTTGACATCATCGAGATCATATAACTTTAGTTTAGTATGTATAACAATTAACAAAATAGAAAACAAATAAATATCGAGAGACAAAATGAATCATTTGTATACCGGAAGTGTTTAAGTATTCAAGATTCTATATCATAATCACGTAGAAACATTAAGAATATTGTTCACGATTTTGCAATAAAAACACATCACATCATGAATTAGTCAGTCTATCTTTCAGTTTAAGAAAATCAAAATGCTAAAAAGTAAATTCGCACGTGCACAGTTTTGCAAAGCACAAAGTTCAGGGAAATTTACGAATATTGACTAAAAAGCACAATTCTATATTCCACAGACCTTGAAAATTATTGTCATTCTTTCACATCAATACGTTGACTTTATTATCGCAGCAAGTTTGAATAGAATTTCTCGAACCGAAATGATGAACAAGTGCAATATATTCTCGCTATTCTGGGAATAAATTAGTCACACGTCATACGTGACGTCACGCTACGGTCTACAACAATATAGACTGGGTTCTATTTTTCAATTTCTCACTAGATAAATCATGTGTCATATACTGAGTTACATTCAAAAATCTTTTCCCTCAGTCTGAAAGTGCCTGAACCCATTCCTGATGTGTCAAATGGCTTGTATTTTATCGGTGATTCGACAATTCCAAGACACCCAAATGTTGACGAAAGACTTGCCTAATGTTGTTTAAACACAAATACACAGCTAATCCCATTTTGTTGCAGTTTGTCCTAACCTGAAAATCAATACGATTTTCAAACTATTTCCATAAAGATAAAGATACAGTTTTCTTTATCAAACTTACTTGTTCTACGTGAAGAGCAGCACTTTTCATAGTTCTTCATAGAACTTCATGAAGCCAGAGTAATCAGCGTACTCATATATTAATTCTCGAGCATTAAAAATTTCAATAAGTACATCCAAATAATGAGCGACAATCTTCAAATGAAGGACAAGTTAAACACAGGGCCAGATTGAGTCGTGGGCCAAAAGGGCCGGGGCCACCCACCAAAAGCAGCTGAATGGGGCCACCCACCAAAAGCAGCTGAATGGGGCCACCCACCCATTCAGTCAAATTCCTTTCACAAAAAAATACTCTGCTAATCAAAGCAGACACACTCTTCATCTAAAGGGAATTGGAGGTAAAAGTATACTCATTTTAACTCACCCTATTTTCAGCGTTGAGATTTCAGGAAAATCTAGCCGACTTAAACGATGTATCAAGTATTAACTAAGAAAACTCCGCTTTAGCATGGATGAAGCATTCAGTATGCTGTAATTGAGGCTTTAAAATTTGATGAAAATGAACAACAACAAAAAGAAAACTCTTGTCATCGCAAGTTTTTAGGATATTTAATTAGCTTCCCTTAAATTTCTACAACTATGCTATTGCATTTTATGCCTCTTTGAAAGAACTTTTTAAAAAATTACAGAATCAGATGCAAAGATTCCCCCTCCCCAATCATCTCCTCAAAACGTCGTGACAGGGGCTGTTCAAGGTGCAAAGTAAGCCAGCAGTTACCAAAAATAAGCTAGATTCAATGTTAGTAAGTACTCAGGATAATATTGATTATCTTGAAATATTACGTAAATTCTTGGCTGCTTAACATTATCAACTACTGAGTCATACCGTAAGCCAGGGTTTGTGGGATCATTTTTCAAAGGTGGTGCTTTCATCTCTGTTGTTCCTAGTGTATAATCACCGACAAGAACTTTTGCCAGGTACATTTTACATGATGAACCACGTCTTTTTCTGGAGTAATTAATTGAGTAGGAGGCATCATGCGCAAAATATACTCCATGACCATACAGAACTCCTGCAAAAATAAGTTAAACATAAATAACCAATTAATGCGATAGATTTCGAATGTGTTATACAACCCCATTGTCAGATGCTGCGCATAAGGATATCTGAGGTCATGGATAGCCTCATACAATAAATAAACGCTCGGTTTTTTTGCAAGGATTTCTTATGAGAGGAGAGAACAGAAAATTACTTACCATTGACACCGGCAAAGCTTCGGCTTAAATTAGATACGTTTATTGATTCAATATTGGCTGCATCAGTACCGTGGTAGAGTCGCTTTTCGTTTGGTTGAGTTTTCATGGTTTTTTTGAAAGTCATATACCTCGAGTAAAGTTGAGGGTTTTGGATTCTTTCCACTTTTTGAAGTTGTGATTGAAGTCCACCATTATCCATGAAATGACGGAGAACTTCTTGATACTCAGGTGTTGAAGATGAGACACTCACCAGTTTTACCAGTTGATCACTTGGTTGAGATTCCCAGTGCGCGGGTAATGGAGGTTCTTTTTCTGAAAAGTAAAAGTGATCAAAGTATGAAACATGGGAAAACTACAGCCATCACACGAGGAAAAAATACATGAAACAAGGAAACGACAGGGCGTATCCAACGCCTTAAGCAACTTAAATTGCTACAGCTTATGGATTAATAAGATTTTATTTATTAAAAAATTTATAACTAAGGGCATTTTATAGAGGTAATTTGAATTTAAAATTAGAGGTCACAATTTATTTTGCCGAACTTTGAATCCTAACTGAGAAACAAAGAGAGTGGCTAATCTCGCTTTGGCATAAATATATAAATAAATAAATAAATAAATTGTCTTCCCAATAGATCAAAAAGTTCAAAACAACTGCAATCTGTGCTTCCTAAATCTCTAACTTGCTAAAGGCAATTTCAAGAAAATGATATAACCAAGCAATGAAATTTGAGATTATATAAAAATATCATATGTTGTATAAGTTAGTGCTCATGGTCGAAAGTTTAGCTGAAATACCAATCAAACAATCGGTACGAAGAAAGAACTTTTTACCCAATTAATAATTCCACCGTAACATCATTTAGTGTTGTTAACATAAAGTCTTCTTAACTTTAATTCAACTACCTTCAACTACCAGCACACGTGGCTTTTCCTGATCATCACCAAGACCAACTACCGCCTTTATGAAATCTAAAATTCCCTTTTTACCCTGCTGTTGATCACAATAATTGCCAATCATAACCGTTAATTTATCAATAGTTTCCATAACGTTTTTAAGGGCTCCTTCGATTGAAACAGACGAAGGGTTTTGACATGTAATTTTCACTTGCTTTTCTGCAGCCAAACGCTTCAATTCGGTCATGCTTTCACGAACAATCTTTCCAAGATTTTGGTGCTCCACAAATTTACACGTTATATTGTTCTCGATAAACTCCTCGATCTTTCCTACAACGGTACTTATATCTTGATCAAAAAGTGCGTAGAATTGAAATCGTACATTTTCCACAAAATTTTCTCCCATTATGATTGGATAGCGTTCTGCCAAGGTTGCATTATTGTCTGCATCTATTTGAAAAAGAAATATAAGTAAGAAAATTGCATCACAAGACAAATATTTTAAACCCTATTGTTAACTATTAGGCTGTTTATCCGTTTTCTTACCGAGGACTTGACCATTTTGAACGCGTGCCATCGTAAGTTTTAATGTTAACTAGTAAGTTGATCAACACAAAACACAAAAAATAGACTGCAGCGGGGCTTTTGAAAAGCTTCAAGAAAGGATAACAATCAGAGAAATAAGTTTGGTTCGATAACACTTTCCCGCAAACTACCTTTATGCAATTTAAAAGAAGACTTGTTTTTTTTTACTTCTTAAATGACAAAATGCTGCAAATACAGTTATTCTTTTTCTTCCAAAGGATCATTGCAAAATTGATTGTTTCTTTAACTCAAGTAGAAATTTTTCTATTTCAGGTCACGATCTTTAGTGGAAAAGTCATATTTTAGACGTCAGTTTGATTTAAAAGAAAACAAAACTTTATGAACAGAATTTGAAAACAGTAGCTAAATTGCTTTTATTGCACGGGTGTATTTACTAACCTTTTGATTTTACATACGCTTTTGAACGTTCACTTTTGTCAAATCTAATCAACCGAATTTCCTTCAATGTGCTATTTGAATAAGAAGAGCTGAACTGAATAAATGTTTCTCTCATACTGCGTAAAACAACATCTTCTGGAAACTTGTGTTTTCCACTTCCAATCAAAGGCATTGCCAAAGATTTCACAGAAAGTCGGAGACATTCCATTAAAATTTTCATTATAAGACGAGGTAAAAACTAGAAAATGGAAAATAGCCAATAAAAGATTGACAATTGACATGCCCTATATGGCACTGAATAAGAAGTCAGGTACAATGAGCGCGTTCCTGTACTTTCTGTTAAGTGTTATAAACTTCATCACTCGATATTTTGATGAATGTTTAGACAATGAAAATTAGTTCAAAATTACCAATATGTTGAGTGTCAAATTGAGGAAAGATTCCACGTTTATTCAATGCTGAAGTAGCACTTTCAACTTACACGGTGTACTTTGTAACCATTGATTTTATGATTTCCACTTTAGCTTTTATAATTAAATCAAGTTTATGTTTTACGTTTTTGTCACTTAGATTGGGTATCAAAATCAAGAAAAGCATTTTTAGAGAGCTATTTGCCTAGTAGTAACTTCAATATAGACTACATCGAGAACAATTTTATTATATATGAATACCCTCCCAAGTATCGAGGCTAGCTACGACCATGACAACGTTTAAAGGTACTTACATTCTCATCTCGATCTTTACTGTTCCAGTCACAACACACCGCATGTATAACATATTTACAGCTTAAGTTCCCACCAATTGTCGTGACGATTTCACCATTTGGAATGTTGGAATTACTTTTACATTCAGCCTTATATAATGATCCACCAACATCATTTAATGCACGACCTATCTCGGTGGGATTGTTGAGATCAGATGTCGCAGAATTTACCAGAACGTCGGCCTAAACAAATATAGAAACAAAGATACTTTTTCAGTCACATTTTGCACTGTTCATGGTCAAGAGTGAAGCCATCACGAGAAACTTAAATTAAGACACAGCATAATAGGTTGCAAAGATAAAGTCCGATAAAAAACTGCAAGGCCCAAACAATTTATTTTTTGAATTTTATGTTATAAAACTTAACATATTACGGCCGTTGATTGCAAGCACACTTTAAATACCAAAGACAACATGAACATAATATGTTCTTCAGATTTTATCACGCTACATATTTCTAAGATGAGTTTTTCAAAAAGAAACAAACGGAAAGCAAGAGGTATTTCCTATTTTCGAAATTTTCTGTAGACAAGATGAGCCATCTTTTGGCTAATAATATAATTTATCGAAAAATCACATTCATTCCATATTTTTACCTTCTCCTCGGCAATATTCCCATACTTCCATAAGACATACAGACCTTCTTTGGTTATGAAATCGCAAACATTGAAAAGATCTGATGGGTTTGATGAACCACTCGCGCTGGTTGATGGGATATTTTTCTTTTGATTTGCTGTGACTTCTTGTATACTCTTAATTTCAATGAGTACATTCGTTTCATTTTCGATACCTCTTAAATTTCGCTGACCATTCTCTGAAAAAATCAGCGTTCTAAGACCAACACGGGAAATATCATTTAATTTTATCACAACTTTATCTTTCATTTCAAAAAGCCTGCTACAAGCGCCTTCAACTCCATTTTTTGTTCCTTTGATAACACATTCTCCATCTCGAATGTCAATATTCACTTGCTGGTCGTTCTTTAAAGCATCAATCTCATCTGTCATAAGTTTCTTCATGAAAAGAGCAACACCTTTACTTAAGTTCTGCCTTCTGCTGACTAATTTGTGCGTTCTGATAAGACGTCGAATTTTATAAGAGTAACTTTTAACAAGATTTTCAGCGCCGTATAAATGTATTTGACATAGCATGTCATCAGCATCATTGAAAATGAGTTGTTCAGCTTTCATGGATCTCGACAAATCACACCATTCTTTTGAAGAAAATATGTGTTCATTTCCAGCAGGCAAAGGTATGGTTTCTCTGTCTATTCTCAAATAAAAACACGTTTTTACCGCTTCACATTCTTTGGAAGAAGAAGCAACAATCCTGACACTGCAATTCGATGAAATCGAATAATGATAAGCGATATTCTTCTTTGATAAAAATGTGTCGACATACTTTTGTCCAGCAGTCTCCGATATAAAGCTTACGAACTCCTTAGGCAATCTTGTTTCGAACACTTGAAGGCTACATAACAGCTGATCTAACTGTTGTGCCCCATCGCGTATTGCTATCTCTGTCCCAACAAAACAAACTTTTTCTCTTGAATCAATAACAGTTGCTTCGACCAATCCAGGATTTGCTTGCTTAATTTTTCGTAAGATTTGGTTCTTTTCAACGAAATTAACAAAATCTACAGATTTGACGTCCACATATTTCACGAGCTGTTTTGGTTTTTCATGCTCTCCGGACTTTGGTTCCTTAGTAATTGTCTGACCAATGTTAGGTTCGCTATCCTGGTTTTTTTGGTGTTTGCAAGCAATAGAAAAACCTTCAGAAAGATGACGATTATGTTCACTCTTTGACGGAAAGGTGGCTAGCAAAGATAAAATATTAAAATATGAAGAAAATAATTGTGAGTGCTAACGTAGACGTTGTCACTTCAAAAAGATTTACAACTGACGTTCTTGACAAACGTCAGTATCCTTGCACATTTTGATAAAACAAGATCCAGTTTGGTGAAATCAATGAATCATCATTGTAGTTAAATGCAAGCATATTACGACCAAGCATACTCATATCTCATAGCTCTCAACCTTGCAAGAATTTCTCAAAATCCTCATCGTAATCAGCAAGGTCAGCATTGGACCAAAACTCTGTAGGTCTAAAAAACAACTTTGCTTTTAATGGCGAGAAATAAGACGATTGTGCGGCAATCGATAAAAGCTAGTAGAGAATCGCTAAATTATTAAATGTTATCCTTTATAAAGCTGATATGAAGTTTAAGTGAAAAGGATTTTTAAAAATGAAAACCAGAAGAAAATTTAAAGGTTGTTTATAAGAAGTTTCCTCTTTGTCAGAATAATGAGTCAACAGAATAAAAGCCCTGGTTGTTTACAGTTATATATCCATAGGAAATCCATCTTAACAAAGATACATCCTGCAATTGTTATCTTAGTTTTGATGCAAACTATTTTCATCTGGAATCTAAGTAACACTTGAGAATCAAAACTTACGGGTAAGGTACGAGGTATTGTTCCAGGTACATCTGCTGGTATAAAAGTTCTTCATCATTTTCATACGCATTCTCGTCGTAAACTTCTTGAGCGCCGCTATCGATCGCAAAGTCGTTCCACTCGTCTAAAATAAGAAAGAACTACATAACACTGTAATATGAAATTAGAGTACATTTTGATCCCCTATAATCTTCTTTTCTTAATCTTTTCTGTCTGTATCTGCGAACCTTGAAAAAATGATCTAGTTACTAATATACCATTTAATGGAAATGTTTTTTTCACACATCTGTTTATCATTCACAAACTTACTTCTAACCATATAACGTTTAGCATTCAAAACTACAATGCACTCTCTTCGAACGGAGACAAATTTTTGAAGCGTTGAAAACGTTGTGGTCCTAGACTGTCAGTTTGAAGCTAAATACCACTATTTAGATAACGAAAACGAGACATGTAATCTGCAACGTTATTAACATTACCTTCATTTAGTACAGGTATGTCACTTTCTTGTTCCTCTTCTAACATTCCCCTTATGTTCTAAACATTAAACGTTCAAATTCAGTAACATAAAAGCGGCCATAAATGATAGTGAAACATGCAAGAGCATAATTACAATATAATGTGCTGCCTGAAGGTATTGAAGTTCCAATCGATTGCAGTAGATCGCTAAGTTATTTTAGCGGCATAATTATTTGTATGTAATAATTATTTAAGACCAAATGATTATAAATTATATGAACGTGTACAATTTTATCCCAATTGCAACAATACTCAATGAAAAAATGTAATTACTGGAATGAAAATGGAGGTTTCTTGTGTAGCAAACAAATCTGATACTGATACTGAAGCTTCCGCGAGACCCCAGTTGGCTTCTTTCAACTCACAAACACGATGAAATAACACTCGAGCAGTACTGAAATTCAAAAAACCAAAATAAATTTTCGCATCATATCACGTTTTTCAACCCTAAATTCTCTCTAACGCAGCAACCACATCAGATATGCCAATTTTGTAGCTTTGGCAAACTAAGACTTCAACGTCATCATAAAGAAAACACGATTAGTTTTCAGTTTCAAATTTTGCCAATTAAAGCCGTATAATACAAATAGGAGCATACTTTACGTTAGTTTAAGACAGTGGCAAAGCCAGCCCGATTGTTTAGTCTATGCAGCCACGTAAATTTTTGTGTGTTCGCACCATTGAACTAAAATACAAGGAAGGCTACCTGAAGCACCTAATTGAAGCCTAATCTTACACCCAGACACGCGTGTTTAGTGTTCCGAGATTCCCTCGCCTAGTGACAATTGATTGAACTACACACACGTGTCTGGGTGTAGTCTCGCGTGGTCGGGTGTAAGATTTGGCTTCAAAAAATTATTAGGCTTTTGTATTACAGGTAGCGTTCCATGTATTTTAGTTCAATGGTCGCACACTGTGAAAACAATATGGTGATAATAATCTGATATCAACATAGCATGCAGGACCAAAACTTGCCGGTTGGTTTCGCTACTGGAGTAAGGGGCACACCTGTCAACAAGTTCATCAACTGCCAACTGTTTTACAGAATGAAATAACTCGTTCCCTTGATCAAGCAAGCCTCCAGTCAACTTAAGAAATAAAGAAAACTCACATAAGTTTTATGTCTTGCACCTTGTCAAGTTTATGCGTACAAAACGGTTGGGTGCAATTGAACAAAGTACGTAACACAGAGATTAGATAGCAGATAAAATATGGCAGCATGTTGATTTGATCGTATAAAACGTACGAGCAGTCACAACAACATTTAAAATGTCGTTTCGTTTCATTAACGTAACGTAACGTAACGTTTCATTAGCGCTCAAAAGTTTTCAAATGCATTCATTTCCGGCGGTTTATTTAAGAGGCGATAATATTAAGAATTTAATCATAAATGCAAACAATGGCAAAAGATGGGCGGTGCATTTTAGAGCATAAAAAATCATCTTTTCTAAACATGGCAAATCAGATATCCATTGAAGTATAACTTGATGAGATTTGCACAAGCAGAGTTGTCAAATGGTTGTTTTTTTCGTTAGTAACGTCATTTTCTCAACCTACATGAGCACACATCAAGTCATCTTCCTGATTTGAACAAACACCCAGTCATCCTCTTAACCTTCACGAAAACACATCTTATCATCTTCTTAGTCAGGACACAATCAAGTCATACTTACTCCTAACTGAATAAAAATCAAGTAATCCTCTCAAACTGAACAAACATCTAGTCATCTTCCAAAACTGAACACAGCTCCAATCATTCTCCTACTCTGAACATAGATCTAGCAATCCTTTTCTGAACACATAACAGATGATCTTCCTAATACGAACACACAATGCACTAATCTTAAAACATTCAAAGCTTCAGCACACAGTACAACGTGACTCATATACAGAAAGACTAATAAAAACAAATAACTCCAAACTTCGAAGGCACCTCAGCATGAACGACATGTGTGAAATCAATTCTCTGGACAAATGAACAAGGAGACGATTATTCTAGTTTGTGCAGCTAAATATTCGCAACATTTTTTAAAGAAAAATAATTACGTGTTTGGTAAACAACTAACCTATCAAATATACTAGATCAAATGCTTTTCGCTCATCAAAAAGAAAAATCAAGACGAACATTAGAGGAGTTCACGACAGCTTAAATAAAACTTACAGTAGCTTCCCTACCTTTAAAAGTTTTCCAGCGGTTATGAGAAGCTTCGAATTGCTACAGCTTAAGAGTTTTTTTAACAAATCTGTGACAACACATAATAATCTACCAGTAGTCTTGTCGTTCTTGTCCTGGATGACAAAAGACAAAAACGAATATGGTGAACAGAAAAAGGATAAACATATGTAAAGTTGAATTTTGACTAAAAATGAAACTGAAATTTCATGGTGATCAAACTTCAAGTTAAAAAATTCTCATGTTGTGTATTTCAGCATTTGTGAACGTTGTGTGACAATACACATACTGAAGTTGCTACTAGAGTAACTTGACGACTACAAATAGTTATTGATATTGTACCTAAAATCGCTCAACATACAATATGTTCGATTCAAGTCCCCTGCCCTCAATGACCTCTAAGTAATTTGAATAGTATATTTTAAATGAATTTTAAAAGGTTACATGCCTCAGATCAGATGAAAAGGATCGAATGCGATCTTTACGTATGCAAACCTTGTAATTTCGAAGCAATTCACTCATAAGAAGCGCAAAATTACATGCTCTTTCTGGATCGCTTTCAATTGTGTTGTCAAACATGGTATTTTCTTTACTACACCTAAAAAATTAAACAGCCTTGCATGTACATTCTTGCATGTAAATGGTTAATGAGGTTCTTTATGTACGTATATGATCATCAGGATGTTATATTTTTTCACAATACGCATTTAGAAAAGTTCATTTTTATCTACAGTAATTACCTACAAGCATAATATAACATCAATGGACTATATTTTAATGGACTGTTTCCATTTAAAGAACAAAAAAAAAACACGTTTGAGTGTATCTGCCGTAACAAACTGGTTAAAAACGTGAAGGAAGTCAATTTTAACAATTATTTCGATAAATTAGGAAAAAATTAAGGCTAAATGAATCAATTCAATATTTGATAAAGTTAAACACAAACGTCCATTTGACATTTTTAAAAACAATGGAATATAACAATAAAATAGCGCACACAAAAATGACATTAAAACTCTAGTTATAGCACAGTTTCGTTGAGCCATGCAAAGAAATGCCAAAAAAGAAGTTTAAATGAAAAATGAAAATAGTTCAAAGTGCTACAGAGTGCAGGTTTACCTTTTCAAAAAAAAATTTCGAAATGGAATCGAGTCCATTGCGTTGACCACCAAGTATCTATCCATATGTGCAGCCAATCTTGATCCAGTATATTGAAAATGACGGTATGCTACACACTATACCCAACATATATTACATATTTATAATGCTCTAAGCTATATACAATCCATTACAAAATGAAACAGCGAGAATTCTTACCTTTTCAAAGAGTATATCTGACACCAATGTCATGTCGTTTTCATCTTTTAAATGCAATAACAAATAGCTAACAGTAGCTTCTGCAATTTCATCAAACAAACCAGGATCTTCAGTAAGTTGTTTTACTTTAATAGTCATAAAGTTTACAATGGTATTCGATCTTTCCTCAGCGGTTTCTTTGTGTACTGGAAAACGTCTTCCAGGAATAAATTCGGGAGCATTAACAGCTGTAACAAGTGTATTTGAAGGTCTAGCCTGTACTTGCTGAGATTTTGGAACAAATTCAGGATTATTAACAGATTTCCACAAATCACTTCCTTGTATTTCAGTTTGATGATCTTGTTCTTTGATTTCTTTTACGTCTAGGAGAGGGAAATATACAAACACCTTATATATTATGGTATGGTAGTGGAGAGGGGTGCCATTGGTTGGTGTCTTATGAGTTGCTATTGAAAAATGTGCACATGCTCAAATTCATTGCAGATCATGTGTTTAATGAGTGATAAAGCAAATTCATAATGGTACAAATTAGCAAAAATTAGGTCAAAGAAGCATTGTTGCAATGGTGCCAAATCTGAGATAATTACTGTTTGTAAAATAACTCATTGTCAAAGAATACAAAATATATAATCAAATTTCCAAGCAACTTCTGGTTTTTCTTTTAAAGCAAGTTTCATGTAGCTACAGTTAGTGTAGTAAAAAAGATTTGTTAACATTTAGTTTTTTAATTTCTAAATTAAAAATGACTTTTTGCATACGTTGAAACTATTAGTGCATATAAATGACTTTGCTTGTAAACCACTTTTGCATACAAACCACTTTCATATACAAACAACTTTTGTATACAAACAACTTGCACACGTAAAGGTAATAGGGCAACATATGAAGTTTGGTTTTAATGTATTAGCCAAAAACATTTTTCATTACAGCAAAGTTTCTAGGAGAAGATTCAATGAGGTAAAGTTTCATTAATTATTTAATTTATTTCTTGCCCTCGACTTTCTACAATTTTTGTAACAATGTTTGATTAGCTGAAAAAGATATAATGTTGTTGCATTTTCACCTAAAATAATGAAAATTGCATAAACCTGATAGTTCTTCAATAAAGGATAGGGGATTTAATTTGTTAAAGAACTGACTTCCATTGAAAAAACAGTTGTAAGCCGTTTTCATGTAAAGTTGTCAATGGAAGGACAGTTGATTGTGGGAATCAATCACTTCAATTTGGAAAAAGTATCAATTTTTCATTGTTGTTTATTTCTCAAGAGATTTCCCAAAAACTTAAAAAATAGTTTCATTTTAGCAAATACTTTGCAGAATCATTTTGGTATTGGGTTCTAAATGATACGTAAATATCAAAACCAGGCTATATGACAAATGTTGTTGAGGTATGTCTGATCATTCTGATGATACAAAAAAACTTAGTAACTTGAACAAAAATGATAAACTTAGTTTGTTAAAGACGTCATGTTTCAAAAATTTTAAGGATTTCTAAGCAAATATACGTAAGTAATAAATTCTTGCAGAAGCTTTTTTAATGAAACCTTTTGCTAAATACAAGACCATTTGTTGTAATTACATTATAAAAACAAAAAATAATGCCAAAAATTATTGCAACAGCTCTGAGAGTTGCGCTGTTTAATGCATTCTTGTAAACTCATAATTGATCAGTGGGTAATAGTCATAAATATTTCGATAAATCATAAGAGTAAGACTTTCGTGATTGATGGTGATTCAACGATAAAACTCATGCACAATTTAACTAATTTTAATAAATACTGACCGGCCAAAGGCTCCAAGCTCAGACTGCTGTCGTCCTTTGCAGATTGCTGTACTGTTGAAACAGGTGGTTTTTCATCTTTAGGACTAAGAGTACTATCTTCCAAATTCAGATTTTTAGAAGTAATAATGAATTCACCAGGTTTTCTCAAAGGCCCATGTGGTTTCTTTCCTCCTCTTCCACTTTCACGACCACGACCACGACCACGACCAGCAGACAAACTCATTGCTGATATTTTACTAGCATTATTTCCAACAATAATATCCGTTTCTCAAGTGGAGTTGACGAAGCTCTGAAACTAAAAGTTGCCATACTGAATTCAAATAAATCAAATTCCAAACAATGCAAATTTTGTACTTGTTATATCCACTTTTATCCTTCTGTATCCCTTCCCCCATTGCATTTAAGCACAGCATACCCAAGAAAACTTTCACAATGGGTGAAATACTACAAAAAAATAAAACAGGGACTGCAGAGCTAGTTCAAGATGGGAGGGAGGAAGTAGGTCGCTATATTTCAAAAAAGAAATAGCTTGTTCATAAGAGAGGGCACGGGCATCGACGCGTCTCTGGTCAAGGATGGCTGTTAATAAGGAAAACAGGCTTCAAACTTTTATGCTCCTTGGTACAACCTTCATTTTTCAATAAATTTGTAAAACGTTGCCCAATAAAACGTCATCCTTATAAATGATTACTTTTCATTAAACAGAGACAACATTGTGCCTGTCACCTGACGTCACAATTTATTGTGGGTTTATACATTATTTAATAAAGCCGTGTGGTTGCCGGCTTAGAATTGCGCCAACGTATCCTCTGCGTGTCGTAAAAGACGACTAAAAGGGGTTGGTGTAAGGAAGGGCATCCTACCGTAAAACTTTTGCTCCAACAAAAATTCATGAACTTTGGAAAAGAAGACATGGCCCCCAGTTCCCGGCAGCTCTACATTGGGCAGGGGGTGCGAAGAATCTCCGGATCGAATGTTGGTGGAAGTGTCACCCTTCGGGTAAGCACAGTGAACGTTGGGACAATGAAGGGAAGGAGTGCAGAAGTGGCGGACATGTTGAAGAGAAGGAAAGTTGATGTGTGTGGGTTTCAGGAGGTAAGGTTTAAAGGTGAAGGTACGAGAGTCATAAAGGGTGAAGATAATGGAGCGAGATTTAAGTGGTTTTGGAAGGGAAACGGAAGTGGCACGAATGGTGTTGGCTTTGCGATAAGAGAGGATTGGGCGAAGTCGGTTGTAGCAGTGAAGAGAGTTTCGGACAGAGTCCTGAGAGTTGATGTAGTTATTGAGGCCGAAGTTGTGAGTTTCGTTGTGGTGTATGCTCTGCAGGTTGGACGAAGCGCGGAGAAGGAAAACTACGACAGCGTGTATGCAGTGAGAGCAGACATTAGAGGGCGATGTGTGATGCTTGGTGATTGGAACGGTCATGTGGGAAGCGTAAGAAAAGGATACTGTGCGCATGGAGGTTTTGGAGTTGGTGATATGAATGCTGAAGGCGAGGCGATACTGGAGTTAGCAGCGAGTTGTGGGATGGTGGTAGTGAATACGTGGTTTATAAAAAGAAAGCAAGCTTGTGACGTATGAATCTGGTGACAGTAGGACGGTGGTGGATTATATACTGGTGAATGAAGAAGAGGGAAAACGTGAAGGATGCAAAAGTGATTGCAGGAGAAGAATGTGTGACCAGCACAAGCTGCTGGTCATGGACTGGAGAATCAGGAAGGTGAGAGAAAGGTTGAGGGTAAAGGTAGGCTTAAGCCATGGAAGTTACGATCGAATGAAGGGAAGCAGTGTTTCCGTGACGAAATTGCGACATTGAATGTTGAGGTGAGACGGTGGAGGAGCGATGGACGTGCTGGAGAAGGGTGTTTTAAAGGCAGCGGAGAAGGTATGTTGTAGAAGTAAAGGCGGTGTAGTAAAAGAACAGGCATGGTGGTGGGATCAACGAGTCAGCGAAGTGATTGGCGCGAAGAAGTTGGCATTTAAAAGGTGGAGAAAGTCGCGGACTGAAGCAGATAGGATCGATTACATCCGGTTCAAGAAAAAGGCGCGAAAGGAGGTGGCTAAAGCGATAGAAAGGCATCAGAAAGAGCTTCTCGTAAAAATGCAGGAGAATGGACGAAAAGCGTTGTTTAGAACGGCTAGAAGCAAGAAGGAGAGGAACGATATTTTGGTGCTCCGGCGTGCAGAACCACGATGGGGAGTTGAAGGTGGAAGACAGGTTAGAAGTGTGGAGGGCGTACTGTGACCGTTTGATGAATGTAGAGAATGAGTGGAATGGAGAAGTTGAAGCGGATGAAGTTTTGGGGCCGTGGGAAACAGTGACTGTTGATGAGGTGGCGGCGGCTCTGCGCAAGATGAAGAAAGGAAAGGCGACGGGACCGAGTGAAGTGGGTAGCGAAATGTTGGACAATGAACTATGCGTGAGAGTTGTGTAATGTAGCGAACGAGGTTTTGAGGGGCTCAAAGATGCCGAGTACATGGAGAAAGAGTCTAGTGGTCCCGCTGTACAAAGGAAAAGGAGCAGCGACGGTATGTGGGAATTACAGGACTATTAAGCTGATGGAGCATGCGTTGAAGATAGTAGAGAGAGTGTTTGAAAGAAGGTTGAGGGAAGTTGTTCGGATGGGGAAGAGCAGTATGGATTCATACCGGGGAGGAACGACGGATGCGTGTTTTGTGTTGAGGCAGCTGCAGGAGAAATTTTGGAGAAGGACAGAGAATTGTATATGGTGTTTGTAGATTTGGAGAAGGCGTTTGATAGAGTTCCGAGAAAGGTGATCGAGTACGCGCTGCGTAAGAAAGGTGTGACAGAGAATATGGTTCGGGCAGTTATGGAGACTTATGAAGGTGTAGAGGCGGTGGTTACGGAGGAAGGTGTTAGATCTGGTGTTTTTGAGGTAAAAGTTGGTGTTCATCAAGGTTCAGTCTTGTCGCCGTTACTGTTTGCTTGTGTGATGGATGTACTGACAGAGGAAGTGAGAAGAAAAGAAGGATGCTGGTGTTTGTTGTATGCAGATGACATTGTCTTGGTGGCGGAGTCGAAGCAGAAAGTCATGGAATGGTACCGAGAATGGAAAACGGCAATAGAAGTCAAGGGACTGAAAGTGAATGAGGCAAAGACGAAGGGCATGAGATGCTCGAGGCAGGTGGAGGTGAAGGACAGTGATAAATGGCCATGTGGTGTGTGGGAAAAGAGTTGGAGTGAATTCGATAATGTGTGGGAAATGCAGTAAGTGGGTTCATGGAAGATGTTCAGGTGTCCGTGGTGCATTGACAAAAGTAACTGATTTTGAGTGCGGGACGTGTCGAAGTGGTGGGCGAGTCGCGATTGAACGGTTTGAACTGGGTGACGTGAGTTTGGAAGGTGTATCGGAGTTTAAATATCTGGGCGATGTGTTAAATGATGGTGGAGGGTGCGAGCAAGCGGTGAGGAACAGAGTTCAAGCAGCGTGGTGGAGTTTAGAGAGTTGTCGGGAATGTTGTGCGGAAAGTCGACTTCGTTGAAGCAGAAGGGAGAATTGTACAAGGCATGTGTTAGAAGTGTTTTGGGATATGGAGCAGAGTGTTGGGCGCCGAAAGCAGAGGACCTGAGAAGATTGGCGTCGACGGAAAGGAGAATGCTTGGGATGATGTGTGGTGTAACGTTGATGGATAGGATTCGAAGTGAAGAGATTAGAAAGAGTTGGTGTTGAGTGTATCGAGAATTGGGTAAGGCGCCAGCGTTTGAGGTGGTTTGGGCATGTGGAAAGGAGGGAAGAAAGTGCTGAAATTCGTAGAACGTTGCATATGAATGTTGATGGAGTCCGCAAACGAGGTAGACCGAGAAAGAGATGGATGGATGCTGTGAACAGTGATATGAAGGCGATGGGTATAACGAGAGATATGGCGAGAGATAGAGACGTTTGGCGTAGAAAAGTTCATGGACCGGTCAACCCCCCTGGCGGGGATTAATACTGGCCGGAATACAAATGTTGTTTGTTTGTTTGTATACATTATTTAATAATCGATAAATTGTAAGTCAACTTTCACCTAAATGGGCGTTTGATCATAACAAACGATATCAATTTATATCCTAGCAATAGCTGCATAGGCAAGGCTGCATTTTTATTATATAGAAACAAGGATTATTGCGGTTGTGGCAAAGCCAGCCCAATTGTTTACCCCAACAATGCAAATTTTTCAGCAAAATTGTTATATATTTCTTCAGAAAATTGATTCCATTCATTGTTTTTTTTCAATGGTTAAGCAAATGCAACAGTAAATGCAAAGTTTTCGAAAACTTTATAGTTATATTTGCGTACGTAGATGAAATCAAACTATATTGAAACCTTATACGAGAATATTGAGAAAATGATACGGGTAAGACACGAGAACGACATGCGTATAAAATAAAACGATACGCGTATGATACGAGAGCGATACGCGTATGATACGAGAACGATACACGTATGATACGAGAACGATACGCATATGATACGAGAACGATACGCGTATCATACGCAAAATTATGTTAACAAATACGTGAGCGGTACTGTACTGCATGTTCTCTATACTGTGATGACGTACTAAATGTACGTTATAAGATTAATAAATCTCCACACAAAACCTTTAGCCATCTCAGATCAAATATTTTTCCTTGAATTGTCAAATGAATCCTTGTCTAATTTCTTCTTCAGCACATGATTTCTTTTCATAATCATCCACATCACTCTATTCTGCGAAGTGGAAGAATTTTAAATTTCTGTAAGTGGACAGTCATCGTTTTGATAAAAGTTGTTGCATCTTTCACACATTATTAATTATTAAGGTTATAGTGCATAAAATTTATTAATAGAGCCTTCAAGATGATACAAATTGCCAGAACTCATGTTCATTGTCTTCTAACAAGTAGTATTATGGACATGTTAGATGACTTGCCTTGTTTACGTTTTGCTGGCAGGCAGATTAATCCCAAGAAAGGTTGACCATTGTTGCTAGTGTTGTTCAAAACCACTAGACCAAATCTGTCTGCCAGCAAAATGTTAACAAGGCAAGTCGTCTGTAGCTCCCAAAGCACAAAAAAGTCATTTCCTTAATGTTAACAGACTATATAAATATAATAATTGTAACATATTTGAATACATGATGGTGACATCGTTACTTATGAGTTATTTGTCAAGAAAAACACAACTAGTGTTTTATAGCTCAGCAAGTAAAATAAAACAATTATGAGTTCATTCATAGAGATCATTCATAGAGATCATTCAGAACATATATGTACTCACCCGAAAATAAAATTACCCAGCTTTCGTTTGTGTTTTATTAAAAGTAAGTTGACATCATCGAGATCATATAACTTTAGTTTAGTATGTATAACAATTAACAAAATAGAAAACAAATAAATATCGAGAGACAAAATGAATCATTTGTATACCGGAAGTGTTTAAGTATTCAAGATTCTATATCATAATCACGTAGAAACATTAAGAATATTGTTCACGATTTTGCAATAAAAACACATCACATCATGAATTAGTCAGTCTATCTTTCAGTTTAAGAAAATCAAAATGCTAAAAAGTAAATTCGCACGTGCACAGTTTTGCAAAGCACAAAGTTCAGGGAAATTTACGAATATTAACCAAAAAGCACAATTCTATATTCAACAGACCTTGAAAATTATTGTCATTTTTTCACATCAATACGTTGACTTTATTATCGCAGCAAGTTTGAATAGAATTTCTTGAATCGAAATGATGAACAAGTGCAATATATTCTCGCTATTCTGGGAATAAATTAGTCACACGTCATACGTGACGTCACGCCTACGGTCTACATCATGATAGACTGGGTTCTATTTTTCAATTTCTCACTAGATAATTCATGTGTCATATACTAAGTTACATTCAAAAATCTTTTCCCTCAGTCTGAAAGTGCCTGAACCCATTCCTGATGTGTCATGACTTAATTGACTTGTATTTTATCGGTGATTCGACAATTCCAAGACACCCAAATGTTGACGAAAGACTTGCCTAATGTTGTTTAAACACAAATACACAGCTAATCCCATTTCGTTGCAGTTTGTCCTAACCTGAAAATCAATATGATTTTCAAACTATTTCCATAAAGATAAAGATACAGTTTTCTTTATCAAACTTACTTGTTCTACGTGAAGAGCAGCACTTTTCATAGTTCTCATAAAATTCGATTTGTAAAAGCTTCGAGAACTTTATGAAGTCAGAGTAATCAGCGTACTCATATATTAATTCTCGAGCATTAAAAATTTCAATAAGTACATCCAAATAATGAGCGACAATCTTCAAATGAAGGACAAGTTAAACACAGGTCCAGATTGAGTCGTGGGCCAAAAGGGCCCGGGCAACCACCACAAGCAGCTGAATGGGGCTACCTTCAACTATCAGTACACGTGGCTTTTCCTGATCATCACCAAGACCAACTACCGCTTTTATGAAATCTAAAATTCCCTTTTTACTCTGCTGTTGATCACAATAATTGCCAATCTTAACCGTTAATTTATCAATAGTTTCCATAACGTCTTTCAGGGTTCCCTCGATTGAAACAGACGAAGGGTTTTGACATGTAATTTTCACTTTCTTTTCTGCAGCCAAACGCTTCAATTCGGTCATGCTTTCACGAACAATCTTTCCAAGGTTTTGGTGCTCAACAAATTTACACGTTATATTGTTCTCGATAAACTCCTCGATCTTTCCTACAGCGGTACTTATATCTTGATCAGAAAGTGCGTAGAATTGAAATCGTACATTTTCCATAAAATTATCTCCCATTATTATTGGATAGCCTTCTCCAAAGGTTGAATTATTGTCTGCATCTATTTGAAAAAGAAATATAATAGAGAAAATTGCATCACAAGACAAATATTTTAAACCCTATTGTTAACTATTAGGCTGTTTATCCGTTTTCTTACCGAGGACTTGACCATTTTGAACGCGTGCCATCTTAAGTTTTAATGTTAACTAGTAAGTTGATCAACACAAAACAAAAAATAAACTGCAGTAGGGCTTTTGAAAAGCTTTAAGAAAGAATGACGATCAGTGAAACAAGTTTGGTTCGATAACACTTTCCCGCAAACTACCTTTATGTAATTTAGAAAAAGACTTGTTTTTTTTACTTCTTAAATGACAAAATGCTGCAAATACAGTTATTCTTTTTCTTCCAAAGGATCATTGCAAAATTAATTGTTCCTTTAACTCAAGTACAAATTTTTCTATTTCAGGTCACGATCTTTAGTGGAAAGGTCATATGTTAGAGGTCAGTTTGATTTAAAAGAAAACAAAATTTATGAACAGAATTTGAAAATAGTAGCTAAATTTCTTTTATTCCACGGCTGTATTTACTAACCTTTTGACTTTACAGACGCTTTTGAATGTTCACTCTTGTCAAACCTAATCAACCGAATTTCCTTCAATGTGCTATTTGGATAAGAAGCGCTGAAACTGAATAAACGTTTCTCTCATACTGCATAAAACAACATCTTCTGGAAACTTGTGTTTTCCACTTCCAATCAAAGGCATTGCCAAAGATTTCACAGAGCGTCGACGACATTCCAGTAAAATTTTCATTATAAGACGAGGTAAAAACTAGAAAATGGAAAATAGCCAATAAAAGATTGACAATTGACATGCCCTACATGGCACTGAATAAGAAGTCAGGTACAATGAGCGCGTTCCTGTACTTTCTGTTAAGTGTTATAAACTTCAACACTCGATATTCTGATCAATGTTTAGACAATGGAAATTAATTCAAAATTACCTATATGTTAAGTGTCAAATTGAGGAAACGTTCCACGTTTATTCAATACTGAAGTAGCACTTTCAACTTACACGGTGTACTTTGTAACCTTGGATTTTATGATTTCCACTTTAGCTTTTATAAGTAAATCAAGTTTACGTTTTACATTTTTGTCACTTAGATTAGATATCAAAATCAAGAAAAGCATTTTTAGAGAACTATTTGCCTAGTAGTAACTTTAATATAGACTACATCGAGAAAAATTTTACTATGTTGGTATGGCGCTGGATTAATTTTATCTGCACTTGCATTCTATGATCAATGAAAAGCCATTTGACGTAGGACGTACAATGACGTAACCACTCGATAATAGGGGAAAGATTCATACATTAACGTTTTGCCGTAACTTGCATATATGTATATCCCCCCAATTATTGAGGCTAGCTACGACCATGACAACGTTTAAAGGTACTTACATTCTCATCTCGATCTTTACTGTTCCAGTCACAACACACCGCATGTATTACATATTTACAGCTTAATTTCCCACCAATTGTCGTGACGATGTCACCATTTGGAATGTTGCAATTAGTTCTACATTCAGCCTTATATAATGATCCACCAACATCATTTAATGCACGACCTATCTCGGTGGGATTGTTGAGATCAGATGTCGCAGAATTTACCAAAACGTCGGCCTAAACAAATATAGAAACAAAGATACTTTCTCAGCTACATTTTGCATTGTTCATAGTCGAGAGCGGAGCCATCACGAGAAACTTAAATTAAGACACAGCATAATAGGTTGCAAAGATAAAGTCCGATAAAAAACTACAAGGCCCAAACAATTTATTTTTTGAATTCTATGTTATAAAACATAACATATTACGGCCGTTGATTGCAAGCACACTTTAAATAACAAAGACAACATGAACATAATATGTTCTTTAGATTTTATCAGGCTACATATTTCTAAGATGAGTTTTTTCAAATAGAAACAAACGAAAGCAAGAGGTATTTCCAATTTTCGAAATTTTCAATTGACAAGATGAGCCATCTTTTGGCTAATAATATAATTTATCGAAAAATCACATTCATTCCATGTCTTTACCTTCTCCTCGGCAATATTCCCATACTTCCATAAGACATACAGGCCTTCTTTGCTTATGAAATGGCAAACATTGAAAGGATCTGATGGGTTTGATGAGTCACTCGCGCTGGTTGATGGGATATTTTGCTTTTGATTTGCTGTGACTTCTTGTACACTCCTAATTTTAATGAGTACATTTGTTTCATTTTCGATGCCTCTTAAATTTCGCAGACCGTTCTCTGAAGACATCAGCGTTCTAAGACCAACACGGGAAATATCATTTAATTTTATCACAACTTTATCTTTAATTTCAAAAAGCCTGCTACAAGCGCCTTCAACTCCATTTTTTGTTCCTTTGATAACACATTCTCCATCTCGAATGTCAATATCCACTTGCTGATCGTTCGCTAAAGCATAAATCTCATCTGTCATAAGGATTTTCATGAAAAGAGCAACACCTTCACTTAAGTTCTGCCTTCTGCTGACTAATTTGTGTGTACTGATAAGACGTCGAATTTTACAAGAGTAACGTTCAACAAGATTTTCAGCGCCGTATAAATGTATTTGACAGAGCCTGTCATCAGCATCATGGAAAATGAGTTGTTCAGCTTTCATGGATCTCGACAAATCAGACCATTCTTTTGAAGAAAATATATGTTCATTTCCAGCAGGCAAAGGTATGGTTTCTCTGTCTATTCTCAAATAAAAACACGTTTTTACCGCTTCACATTCTTTGGAAGAAGAAGCAACAATCCTGACACTGCAATTCGATAAAATCGAATAATGATAAGCGATATTCTTCTTTGATAAAAATGTGTCGACATACTTTTGTCCAGCAGTCTCCGATATAAAGCTTACGAACTCCTTAGGCAATCTTGTTTCGAGCACTTGAAGGCTACATAACAGCTGATCTAACTGTTCTGCTCCATCGCATATTGCTATTCTGTCCAACAAAACAAACTTTTTCTCTTGAATCAACAACAGTTGCCAACAGTTCGACCAATCCAGGATTTGCTTGCTTAATTTTTCGTAAGATTTGGTTCTTTTCAACGAAATTAACAACATCTACAGAGTTGACGTCGACATATTTCACGAGGTGTTTTGGTTTTTCGTGTTCTTCGGACTTTGGTTCCTTAGTAATTGTCTGACCATTGTTAATTTCGCTGTCCGCAAACTTTACCTTAACCAAACCAGGATTGTTTTCTTTAATCGTTCTCAGGAATTGTTGTTTTTCAAGGAAATCATCATGATCAGAAGATGGAACGTCAGCATACCTAACGACTTGCTTTGGTTTTTCGTGTTCTTCTGTCGTCATTCTTATAATGTTTTCAACCAATTTAATAACGGAATCAACATTTTTTTTTCAGTCCAACTACAACGATTTCTTCTTTCTCATGGATAAACCAACAATCAATTTGATCGGAGCGGATTGAATCTATCATACCTTCAACTTTCTTAGAAACAGCGTTCTCAGCTCCTGTGCTAATTTTGAATCTTTTTACACGAAATTGATCAAAAAACTTTTTTGACGTATTCTTGCACTTTTCGGGCCAATTTTTAACGCTGCCCGTATCTGATTGGACGATCTTTACGAAAGCATTACCCTCTGCAAATGGTTGGAGCTCAGCCTTAAAGTTTTTCAGTCTTGCGGCGAGGTCGCACGAAAAAAATTTACGGTTCATCACAAATTTCAAAACATCACAATCAACCTCGACAGTGACGGCTAGAAAAAAAAATCGATTAAAAAAGGAAAATCACATATTCGTACAATGCAAGAGTGTAGCTAGAGTATGGCAATTAAATTCAAGAACTTCTCAAGGACTTTCATATAGCTAGAGTATGGCAACGAAATTCAAGAAATTCTCAAGGACTTTCATATAGCTAGAGTATGGCAATGAAATTCTAGAGCTTCTCAAGGACTTTCAAGAACACGGTATTTGAATAAGACGTTAAATTACATCGAATCAACGAATTCGTAACCATCTTTTTTTTTTATTAAAACCAAGGAACTTTTACAAATCAATTGATAAAAAATGTTTAGGTAAGATGCTTAAAAGTTATAGGCATCAAGATTAAAATTTCATCTTCAACATTAACAAAAGAATATTTGTGAACTAGCTGTAGGCCTTGAATTATTATTTTCAATCACAAAACAAGTCAAGGATATTACGGTGTTTCAAAAATGGATGTGCCTGCAGAAGTCGAAACATCAACAAACGCATGAACTCTGACATTGAAAAGTCAAGCCGTTATACCTGCTAATTTCAGACTTCCCAGAAAGGCATGGACAGTTTTTAAAGCATGGCTGAAGTCGCTTTTCAAGCCAACGACAACAAGTTCTTTTTCGTTTAACGTTATTTTATGGGACTTTAGACTTTCTTGAAGCTGAGGTAATTCTTTCACGATGGAATCGCTAATGCAATCGTCAACTTCAAAGCTCTTCTTCGAAAACATGTTAGCTTTACGAACGAATTCATCGACATCTTTGACATTCTGATCAAAATTTGTCACATTACCAACAAGAATCAACTTTTCCTCATCAAGCCAACAAGCCGCTCCGGATGACGAAACTTTATTTTGAATGGTTATCAACGGTTCACACATCGACTCTTGTGTTTCATTGTCAAATGGAAAAGATTTCTTTTGAAAATAGTCTAGAATGTTTTTATGGAGTCATTACACTTTCTTCTCCAATCTTTTACACGAGAAGCACTTCCTTTGGTCATCTTTATCATTCCATCAAGAAACTCAAACTTAATATCCATACTCGACGACAATTTCTTTAACTGTTCCATGTACTTTTTTCTCTTTTCAGAAACTTTACTACATCATTGTCAATTTTGAGGACCAAATCTCTGGACTGCGAAACATCTTCAAGAGATTTTTCCTCCAGGACCAAAAAACCTAAAGAATACATGTGTACATTAAATGCTTGAATTTAAAAGTCTTAATCCCACTAGCAACATGAACACACAATAAATGTAAACCAGTTTTTCTTCACATATGCCCGATAAAATGCATAAGACAGATAATCATTAGCTATCTTTTTACTATTAATACAGGACATTCAATACACGAAACATGTAAATCACTTATACCAATCAATTATATACTACATATACAAACAACAAATACATATACAACAATTACATATACATATACTACATATCACTTACTTTTGTTTTTAAGAAAGGTTCTCACAATATCCAGAACATGTTCTAATTCGCCACGTTCAGTCATCACAGCCAACTTTTTATTACCATCTTCAATCCAGTAAGCAGCATAGGTAGAACGCAATTTACCACCAAGTTTTGGCAAATCTTTCCGCAAACGTCCCGAATCTTTGATATCCAAACACGTTTTTGCAAAACGATCACAAAACGTTCTAACCATACTGGCAGAACAATTACCCCAGTTCTTGATAAACTTAGAACCAGGTTTCTTTGTCACAACAATCAGACTTTTTGGGGGTACAGTTCAACATCAGCTGACAATGTTTTTAGTTTTTCTCGTAGCTGTAAAGAGAAAGCGTTTCGCTTTGATATAAATTTAACAATTTCCTTTTTTATTTTAACTTTCTTTTGTAGTTGTTTTTGCTTTCCATCGTCATCATCGTCAACATTATCATCGCTATCAAAGCACACGGAGCTAACAACACTTTGTGTATCGTCGTCAGAATATAGCTCTGCAGAGCACTCGTTTGTAGAAGATGATGTTGAAAGTTGAGAATCATATTGAAAACCTACAACATAAACAGACATTTCTCAATACAATAAAGAAGCAAGTGTCGGTTTCTAAAAAAATATTTTGTATCTACGTGAATAGGATTACAAGAAAATCGATTTACAGTTTACATATCTATTCGATGTTGAGCAAATCTGATGCCAAAGACTGATATCAATTCAATTTATTAATGTACAGATTTACTTTAATAAGGCTCAACTTTATAGAGCAAATCATTCAAGAAAACATGATAAGATTGGAATTGGTAAACCTGGTTTGATCATGATAAGATTTACTTAAGCTATTACGCATTAAGTACCACTATAATCTTATCAGATCTATTGAATCAATTTGTTTAATCTGTTCATAGACTTTAAAACACTGGCAATAAAAATGACATTATTCACCAGCATTACTAGTTCGAACAGTGAAGCAGGTGCAACATCCAAGGTTTCACTAACACCATACAAAATCTACATTATCAATCATCAAGACATAAATAAAAGCCTGAAGACAGGATAAGATTCCTGCTAAGCTACAGAGGGCCTTAATTACACTTTATGAATCTTTAATCAAAATTTACAACAGTGTGTAAATTGCACGCTGTTGACTTTTACTTATCTAATATGATGGAACAATAAAGAGAAAGAGAATGAAATTTAGAATTTATAACCTAATTATACACTATTCATTCCTCATTGATCAGGTAAAATAAAAGAATTTCCCGCACAATTTACCATTTCCTTTATATAGAGACAAGGATTATTGTGGTTGTGGCAAAGCCAGCCCAATTGCTTACACCAACAATGCAAATTTTTCTGCAAAATTATTATTCATTTCTTCAGAAAATTGATTTCATTCATTGTTTTTTTCAATGGTTGAGCAAAAACATATTTGCATTGTAGAAGTAAAAATGGGCTGGCTTTGCTACTGATTGTGATATGTAGGACCACTTTGCTGTGCAACTGGCTGCTGTTGGCCATATCGTCAATCCTATTGGTCAGACAATGCAATTTACTGGCTGTCAATATGGTAATCACATGCGTAATAAGATATACATGGCATGAAAAAATTGAACGGAGTGGACCTACTGCATGTTCTCTATGCTGTGATGACATACTAAATGTACGCAGTGTGCGAATTAACGGTGTGCAATGTGCAATTTGCACATCGTTTTAGCTAAAATGAAAACAATTGCACATCATTTTTTCAAACAATGTGCAAATAAAAGTAAAAAAACAATACCTAAAGTAAAGATAACTTTTACCACACGTTATATCACCAAATACAACCTCATATTACCAAATATTCCTCACGTCAAAGCATTATACAAGACAAAATGACAACTGATATAAATAAAATTTGTTATAAAAGTTGAAAAAAACAAACCAGTGCCCTGACTTTGTCCAGCCACATCAACACGAATACGCCTTCCCTTTAAAGTCTAAAATTTATAAAGTTTATTGGTAAAGCCAAAATATTTTTCTGCATCTTTACTTATATTTAACAAAAAAAAGTTTGTGTAATGTTAAATGCATGTTTCTAGTATGGTTAACATGCAGCAAAACACTTGTAATGGCTAACGAGAAAAAAATGTTTTCAATAAAAACACTAAAAAAACAATGAAAATATACAACAGTATGTAGCCAAGAAAATATAATAATGTAGATTCTTAATAAAAAATACATGCAGCGCACACACACACAGGTAAAAATGCAGTTAAGCTGGTATAAATGCAGGTAAACACACAGGGTAAACGCGAATATACACAAGCAGCAACAGACGCTGGTTAAAATTAAAGTACACATGCAGGTAAACACACAGGTAAACACACAAGTAAACACACAGATACAAATGCACATAGACTACAAATGTTGTTTATACCCGATCATCAAATTCCAAAGCTTTTAAAAAAACATGCATTTCATCAAACTCTGCATTACCAAAACCCTTCAACCTTCCATTTCCTGATTCTCGAGGCAAACGAACATCTTTCACCTAAAAATTTAACGTTACAAAACTTTACTTCTTAAGCAGGGATTATGAAAAATAGTATGTTATGTAACAAATAGATTCTATACAAAGGCAAGCAGCTCACTTTTTAAATATGAATTGATATTATAAACATGCTAATAGTTTATCTGGCTACTGTATGGACAGAGCTGGATGAAACAGAGAAAGGAAGGCTACATAAAACCTGATAACCAAGAAAGAACAGATTCTTAACTGGTTAAAGATGTCCCCAAGAGCTGGGTGATTAAAATTTTAGAAGAGTTACGAGTCTTACTAAATGATGATTTTCACTTCAACCACGTAGGAGATCTAACACTAAAGAATATTTTATCAATGCAGTGTGGGAATTAGTTCAGAAAAAACGATGTGCAATTTTTTTAAAAAAGTGTTTCTTAATATGCATAATCAAATCGACATTACGTTAATTATTATATAGCGGTAATTGCTAAATTAATGTTTTTAAACTTGAACAAATTCATATGATTTACGACAGTGTTTTTCGTTAAAACCGCTGATTTTTGCACATCGTTTGAAAAAGTGATGTGCAATTGTTTTCATTTTAGCTAAAACGATGTGCAAATTGCACATTGCACACCGTTAATTCGCACACTGTCAATGCCATTGTGGGTTCCAGCCAGCGTGGGCAGTGATTATTGTTTGTTAAATTTAATAAAATTGGTTTCAAATCAACAATCATCAAATCTGATTTATGAAATAATTATAAATTTAGATAGTAAGATAGTTGCAGTGAATTTGTAAGGAGCTGGTAAATTTCTTTTCGAAAAGATAAATACGTAAACTCTAAGCATAAAAAAAAGAATTACCTGTACACTTTGGAAAAAGTGAAAAATATCATCTTCGTCCACATCGTATGGTAAATTACCAAGAAAAGCTGTGTATGGTGGACCCTTAGGTATGGAAGATATATCAATATTACCAGCCCTCGCAGATCGTGGAGCAGTAGGTAAGACAAAACGCTGTAATTCTTTAGGTTCAGCATAAGGATCAGTCCAGAAAACATTTCCTTCAACAGTAAAATAATTTTTATCAATACACATGTTTAATGTTTTAATATATAATGTAAAAAAAAGAGTTGCTTACTGACTGGAAATTATGCATTAACTAGATTTTACTTAACATTAAGGCTACAGAATTTTAGACTAAAAATGATATTTAAATGCTCACTATGAAAAGCAGGTGACTTGCAACCGTCAAATTTTAATTGCTTTCACCTCTATAAAGTGCCAAGGCAAATTTTGAAGGTGGGTTTTGCAAACAGGAAATTTTTATCATAGCATACAAGAAAATATTTCTCAATTCTGATTGGTTAAGAGCAGTGTAATTTTTCCAAAATACAAGTGAAAAAATACGAAACACCAGTGCAAATTTCTTTTTTAGTCAAACTAAGAAGTAATATAAAAGCAAAACAACATAAAATATTTCAAAGGAAGGAAAGTTTCATTATTGTAAACAAAGCAATTAAAATGGTTGGCATAAGTTTTAAGTAGATTTTCTTTGGCAACCAAGTCAACAGTTCATCATTTGCAAGACGTTTCTGGACAAAAATACAAACACTACTAAAACAAGATACCTTGTTCTAGCTGCATGAGTGAAAGCTATGGTGTTGTGAAAAATATTATCTGAACAAATTTAAAAATATGAGCCAGTCCATATTAATAACTGGCCAGCTGACATGTACATATGCTGAAATTAAAAATCAAGGGAATTAAAAAGCAAGAAGCAAGTATTAGTTTTCTAAAAAAATATTTTGTATCTACATGAATAGGATTGCAAGAAAATCGATTTACAGTTTACATATCTATTCAATGTTGTGCAAATTTGTTGCCAAAGACTGATATCAATTCAATTTTATTAATGTACAGATTTACTTTAATAAGGCTCAACTTTATAGAGCAAATCATTCAAGAAAACATGATAAGATTGGAATTGGTAAACCTGGTTTGATCATGATAAGATTTACTTAAGCTATTACGCATTAAGTACCACTATAATCTTATCAGATCTATTGAATCAATTTGTTTAATCTGTTCATAGACTTTAAAACACTGGCAATAAAAATGACATTATTCACCAGCATTACTAGTTCGAACAGTGAAGCAGGTGCAACATCCAAGGTTTCATTAACACCATACAAAATCTACATTATTAATCATCAAGACATAAATAAAAGCCTGAAGACAGGATAAGATTCCTGCTAAGCTACAGAGGGCCTTAATTACACTTTATGAATTTTTAATCAAAATTTACAACAGTGTGTAAATTGCACGCTGTTGACTTTTATTTATCTAATATGATGGAACAATAAAGAGAAAGAGAATGAAATTTAGAATTTATAACCTAATTATACACTATTCATTCCTCATTGATCAGATAAAATAAAAGAATTGCCCGCACAATTTACCATTTTCTTTATATAGAGACAAGGATTATTGTGGTTGTGGCAAAGCCAGCTCAATTGTTTACCCCAACAATGCAAATTTTTCTGCAAAATTATTATCCATTTCTTCAGAAAATTGATTCCATTCATTGTTTTTTCAATGGTTGAGGAAAAAAATATTTGCATTGTAGAAGTAAAAATGGGCTGGCTTTGCTACTGATTGTGATATGTAAGGCCACTTTGCTGTGCAACTGGCTGCTGTTGGCCATATCGTCAATCCTATTGGTCACACAATGCAATTTACTGGCTGTCAATATGGTAATCACATGCGTAATAAGATATGCATGGCATGAAAAAACTGAACGGAGTGGACCTACTGCATGTTCTCTATGCTGTGATGACATACTAAATGTATGTATAAGAATAATAAATCTCCACACTAAACCTGTAGCCATTTCAGATCAAATATTTTTCCTTGAATTGTCAAATAAATTCTTGTCTAATTTTTCTTCAGCACATGATTTCTTTTTTTATCATCCACCACACTCTGTATTCTGGAAAGTGGAAGAATTTTAAATTTCTGTCAGTGGACAGTCATTGTTTTGATAAAAGTTGTATCATCTTTCACACATTATTAATTATTAAGGTTATAGTGCATAAAATTTATTAATAGAGCCTTTAAGATGATACAAATTGCCAGAACTCATGTTCATTGTCTTCTAACAAGTAGTACTATGGACATGTTAGATGACTTGCCTTGTTTACGATTTGCTGGCAGGCAGATTAATCCCAAGAAAGGTTGACCATTGTTGCTAGTGTTGTTCAAAACCACTAGACCAAATATTCCTGCCAGCAAAATGTAAACAAGGCAAGTCGTCTATAGCTCTCAAAAGCACAAAAAAGTCATTTTCTTAGCGTTAACAGACTATATAAATTAATAATTGTAACATATTTAAATACATGATGGTGGCATCGCTACTTATGAGTTATTTGCCAAGAAAAACATAACTATTGTTTTATAGCACGTATTAATTCGCACGTGCACAGTTTTGCAAAGCACAAAGTTCAGGGAAATTTACGAATATTAACTAAAAAGCACAATTCTATATTCCACATACCTTCAAAATTATTGTCAATTTTTCACATCAATACGTTGACTTTATTATCGCAGCAAGTTTGAATAGAATTTCTTGAATCGAAATGATGAACAAGTGCAGTGATATCTCGCTATTCTGGGAATTAGTCACACGTCATACGTGACGTCACGCCTACGGTCTACGACATGATAGACTGGGTTCTATTTTTCAATTTCTCACTAGATAAATCATGTGTCATATACTGAGTTACATTCAAAAATCTTTTCCCTCAGTCTGAAAGTGCCTGAATCCATTCCTGATGTGTCATGACTTCATTGACTTGTATTTTATTGGTGATTCGATAATTCCAAGACACCCAAATGTTGACGAAAGACTTGCCTAATGTTGTTTAAACACAAATACACAGCTAATCCCATTTCGTTACAGTTTGTCCTAACATGAAAATCAATATGATTTTCAAACTATTTCCATAAAGATAAAGATACAGTTTTCTTTATCAAACTTACCTGTTCTACGTGAAGAGCAGCACTTTTCATAGTTCTCATAAAATTCGATTTGTAAAAGCTTCGAGAACTTCATGAAGCCAGAGTAATCAGTGTACTCATATATTAATTCTCGAGCATTAAAAATTTCAATAAGTACATCCAAAGAATGAGCGACAACCTTCAAATGAAGGACAAGTTAAACACAGGGCCAGATTGAGTCGTGGGCAAAAAGGGCCCGGGCCAGCCACCAAAAGCAGCTGAATGGGGCCACCCAACCATTCAGTCAAATTGCTTTCACAAAAAAATACTCTGCTAATCAGGGCAGACACACTCTTCATCTAAAGGGAATTGGAGGTAAAAGTATACACATTTTAACGCACCCTATTTTCAGCATTGAGATCTCAGGAAAATCTAGCCGACTTAAACGATGTATCAAATATTAACTAAGAAAACTCCGCTTTAGCATGGATGAAGCATTCAGTATGCTGTAATTGAGGCTTTAAAATTTGATGAAAATGAACAACAACAAAGAAAACTCTTGTCATCCCAAGTTTTTAGGATATTTAATTAGCTTCCTTTAAATTTCTACAACTATGCTATTGCATTTTATGCCTCTATGAAAGAACTTTTAAAAATTACAGAATTAGATGAAGAGCCCACCCCAATCATCTCCCAAAACGTCGTGACAGGGGCTGTTCAAGGTGCAAAGTAAGCCAGCAGTTACCAAAAATAACCTAGATTCAATGTTAGTAAGTACTCAGGATAATATTGATTATCTTGAAATATTACGTAAAGTCTTGGCTGCTTAACATTATCAACTACTGAGTCATACCGTAAGCCAGGGTTTGTGGGATCATATTTCAAAGGTGGTGCTTTCATCTCTGTTGTTCCTAGTGTATAATCACCGACAAGAACTTTTGCCAGGTACATTTTACATGATGAACCATGGCTTTTTCTGGAGTATTTAATTGAGTAGGAGGCATCACGCGCAAAATATACTCCATAGCCAAACCGAACTCCTGCAAAAATAAGTTAAACATAAATAACCAATTAATGCGATACATTTTGAATGTGTTATACAACCCCATTGTCAGATGCTGCCCATAAGGATTTCTGAGGTCATGGAGAACCTCACACAATAAATAAACGTTCGATTTTTTTGCAAGGATTTCTTATGAGAGGAGAGAACAGAAAATTACTTACCATTGACACCGGCAAAGCTTCGGCTTAAATTAGATACGTTTATTGATTCAATATTGGCTGCATCAGTACCGTGGTAGAGTCGCTTTTCGTTTGGTTGAGTTTTCATGGTTTTTTTGAAAGTCATATACCTCGAGTAAAGTTGAGGGTTTTGGATTCTTTCCACTTTTTGAAGTTGTGATTGAAGTCCACCATTATCCATGAAATGACGGAGAACTTCTTGATACTCAGGTGTTGAAGATGAAACTCTCACAAGTTTTACGAGTTGATCCCTTGGTTGAGATTCCCAGTGCGAGGGTAATGGAGGTTCTTTTCCTGAAAAGTAAAAGTAATCAAGTATGAAACATGGGAAAAACTCCAGCCATCACACGAAGAAAAAATACATCAAACAAGGAAACGACAGGGCGTATCCAACGCTTTAACCAACTTAAATTGCTAGAGCTTATGGATTAATAAAATTTATTCTTTAAAAAATTCATAACTAAGGGCATTTTATAGAGGCATTTTGAATTTAAAATTAGAGGTTATAATTTATTTTGCCGAACTTTGAATACCAACTGAGAAACAAAGAAAGTGGCCAATCTCGCTTTGGCATAAATATATAAATAAATAAATAAATAAATAGTCTTCCCAATAGATCAAAATTTTAAAATAACTGCAATTTGTGCTTTCTAAATCTCAAACTTGCTAAAGACAACTTCAAGAAAATGATATCACCGAGCAATGAAATTTGAGATTATATAAAAATATCATATGTTGTATAAGTTAGTGCTCGTGGTCGAAAGTTTTGCTGACAAACCAATCAAACAATCGGTACGAAGAAAGAACTTTTTACCAAATTAATAATTCCACCGTAACATCATTTAGTGTTGTTAACAGAAAGTCTGATTAACTTTAATTCAACTACCTTCAACTACCAGCACACGTGGCTTTTCCTGATCATCACCAAGACCAATTACTGCCTTTATGAAATTTAAAATTCCCTTTTTACCCTGCTGTTGATCACAATAATTGCCAATCATAACCGTTAATTTATCAATAGTTTCCGTAACGTTTTTCAGGGTTCCCTCGATTGAAACAGACGAAGGGTTTTGACATGTAACTTTCACATGCTTTTCTGCAGCCAAACGATTCAATTCGGTCATGCTTTCACGAACAATCTTTCCAAGGTTTTGGTGCTCAACAAATTTACACGTTATATTGTTCTCGATAAATTCTTTAAACTTTCGTACAGCGGTACTTATATCTTCATCAGAAAGTGCGTAGAATCGAAATCGTCCATTTTCCATAAAATTTTCTCCTATTATGATTGGATAGCGTTCTCCAAAGGCTGCATTATTGTCTGCATCTATTTGAAAAAGAAATATAACAGAGAAAATTGCATCACAAGACAATTATTTTAAGCCCTATTGTTAACTATTAGGCTGTTTATCCGTTTTCTTACCGAGGACTTGACCATTTTGAACGCGTGCCATCTTAAGTTTTAATGTTAACTAGTAAGTTGATCAACACAAAACACAAAAAATAGACTGCAGCGGGGCTTTTGAAAAGCTTCAAGAAAGGATGACGATCAGTGAAACAAGTTTGGTTCGATAACACTTTCTCGTAAACTACCTTTATGCAATTTAAAAAAAGACTTGTTTTTTTTTTACTTCTTAAATGACAAAATGCTGCAAATACAGTTATTCTTTTTCTTTCAAAGGATCATTGCAAAATTGATTGTTGCTTTGACTCAAGTACAAATTTTTCTATTTCAGGTCACGATCTTTAGTGAAAAGGCCATATTTTAGAGGTCAGTTTGATTTAAAAGAAAACAATATTTTATGAACAGAATTCGAAAACAGTAGCTAAATTGCTTTTATTGCACGGGTGTATTTACTAACCTTTTGACTTTACAGACGCTTTTGAATGTTCACTCTTGTTAAACCTAATCAACCGAATTTCCTTCAATGTGCTATTTGGATAAGAAGCGCTGAACTGAATAAACGTTTCTCTCATACTGCATAAAACAACATCTTCTGGAAACTTGTGTTTTCCACTTCCAATCAAAGGCATTGCCAAAGATTTCACAGAGCGTCGACGACATTCCATTAAAATTTTCATTATAAGACGAGGTAAAAACTAAAAAATGGAAAATAGCCAATAAAAGATTGACAATTGACATGCCTACATGGCACTGAATAAGAAGTCAGGTACAATGAGCGCATTCCTGTACTTTCTGTTAAGTGTTAAACTTCCTCACTCGATAGTTTGATCAATGTTTAGACAATGGAAATTAATTCAAAATTACCAATATGTTGAGTTTCAAATTGAGGAAAGATTCCACGTTTATTCAATACTGAAATAGCACTTTCAACTTACACGGTGTACTTTGTAACCTTGGATTTTATGATTTCCACTTTAGCTTTTATAAGTAAATCAAGTTTACGTTTTACTTCTTGGTCACTTAGATTAGATATTAAAATCAAGAAAAGCATTTTTAAAGAGCAATTTGCCTAGTAGTAACTTTATTATGGACTACATCGAGAAAAATTTTACTATGTTGGCATGGGGCTGGATTAATTTTATCTGCACTTGCATTCTATGATCAATGAAAAACCATTTAACGTAGGAGGTAAAATGACGTAACCAACTCGATAATTAGGGAAGGATTCATACATTAACGTTTTGCCGTAACTTGCATATATGAATACCCCCAATTATCGAGGCTAGCTACGACCATGACAACGTTCAAAGGTACTTACATTTTCATCTCGATCTTTACTGTTCCAGTCACAACACACCGCATGTATAACATATTTACAGCTTAAGTTCCCACCAATTGTCGTAACGATGTCACCATTTGGAATGTTGCAATTACTTCTACATTCAGCCTTATATAATGATCCACCAACATCATTTAATGCACGACCTATCTCGGTGGGATTGTTGAGATCAGATGTCGCAGAATTTACCAAAACGTCGGCCTAAACAAATATAGAAACAAAGATACTTTCTCAGCTACATTTTCCATTGTTCACGGTCGAGAGCGTAGCCATCACGAGAAACTTAAATTAAGACACAGCATAATAGGTTGCAAAGATAAAGTATGATAAAAAACTGCAAGGCCCAAACAATTTATTTTTTGAATTTTATGTTATAAAACATAACATATTACGGCCATTGATTGCAAACACACTTTAAATACCAAAGACAACATGAATATAATATGTTCTTTAGATTTTATCAGACTACATATTTCTAAGATGAGTTTTTCAAAAAGAAATAAACGGAAAGCGAGAGGTATTTCCTATTTTCGAAATTTTCTATTGACAAGATGAGCCATCTTTTTGGCCAATAATATAATTTATCGAAAAATCACATTCATTCTATGTCTTTACCTTCTCCTCGGCAATATTCCCATACTTCCATAAGACATACAGACCTTCTTTGGTTATGAAATGGCAAACATTGAAAGGATCTGATGAGTTTAATGAGTCACTCGCGCTAGTTGATGGGATATTTTCCTTTTGATTTGCTGTGACTTCTTGTATACTCTTAATTTCAATGAGTACATTCGTTTCATTTTGGATGCCTCTTAAATTTCGCAGACCGTTCTCTGAAAAAATCAGCGTTCTAAGACCAACACGGGAAATATCATTTAATTTTATCACAACTTTATCTTTCATTTCAAAAAGCCTGCTACAAGCGCCTTCAACTCCATTTTTTGTTCCTTTGATAACACATTCTTGATATCCAATGTCAATATCCACTTGCTGATCGTTCTTTAAAGCATCAATCTCATCTGTCATAAATTCTTTCATAAAAAGAGCAACACCTTCACCTAAGTTCTGCCTTCTGCTGACTAATTTGTGCGTACTGATAAGACGTCGAATTTTACAAGAGTAACTTTCAACAAGATTTTCAGCGCCGTATAAATGTATTTGACAGAGCCTGTCATCAGCATCATGGAAAATGAGTTGTTCAGCTTTCATGGACCTCGACAAATCAGACCATTCTTTTGAAGAAAATATGTGTTCATTTCCAGCAGGCAAAGGTATGGTTTCTCTGTCTATTCTCAAATAAAAACACGTTTTTATCGCTTCACATTCTTTGGAAGAAGAAGCAACAATCTTGACACTGCAATTCGATGAAATCGAATAATGATAAGCGATATTCTTCTTTGATAAAAATGTGTCGACATACTTTTGTCCAGCAGTCTCCGATATAAAGCTTACGAACTCCTTAGGCAATCTTGTTTCGAGCACTTGAAGGCTACATAACAGCTGATCTAACTGTTGTGCCCCATCGTGTATTGCTATGTCTGTCCCAACAAAACAAACTTTTTCTCTTGAATCAATAACAGTTGCTTCGACCAATCCAGGATTTTTTTGCTTAATTTTTCGTAAGACTTGGTTCTTTTCAACGAAATTAACAAAATCTACAGATTTGACGTCGACATATTTCACGAGCTGTTTTGGTTTTTCGTGTTCTCCGGACTTTGGTTCCTTAGTAATTGTCTGACCATTGTTTCTTTCACTATCCTGCTCTTTCTGGTGTTTGCAAGCGAAAGAAAATCCTTCAGAAGGATTCTTTGATGGAAAGGTGGCTAGCAAAGATAAAATATTAAAATATGAAGAAAATAACGTAGACGTTGTCACTTCAAAAAGATTTACAACTGACATTCTTGACAAACGTCAGTATCCTTGCACATTTTGATAGCTAAAAGTATTTTAACTCAGAGAAAATCTCCGAATATTCATGATAAAATCACTAAGTCCAAACCTTCCAATTTCAGATGATGAAGAAAGTCTTCAACAGTTTTCTCTACATCGCCTGCATCGTTTCTCAAACACACGACGACAAGTTGGTTCTCGTTTATTGAGATTTTACTCGACTTGAGAGTTTCTCTAAGAACGAACAATTCTCTGGAAGTTGAGTTTGTAATACATTCTGCGATTTCAAAACATTTCTTCGCAAACATTTCAGCATTTCGAACAAATTTTATGACTTTTTCAACATTAAGTTCAAACTGTTTCTCATGGCCAACAAGAACAATATTCTGCTCATCAAGCCAACACGTTGCTTCCGACGACGAAACTGCGTTCTGAATTGCTGCAAATGGTTCAATCATTGAAGCTTGGATTTCGTAAACGAAGGAGAAATACTCCTTATGCAAAGAACGAAAAAATTTATTAACAGTTTTGCGGCATTTTTTCCTCCATCTTCTAACAGGACTTGCACTTTTATTACGAATCTTCATAAGTTCATTGTCAAATTGAAACTGAAGTTCGACACATGATAACAGTTGTGTTAACGTCTCCATGTATTCCTTCTTCTCTTGTAGAAATTTCACTTTATCTTTATCAACTTGGATGGACATTTCATTTATCTGTGGATTATGATCTACAGAAGTAACGTCAACAAACTTCAAGGGTTGTTTTGGTGCTGGTGCATCGTTCTCTTCGGATTTTGATACTTGCTCGCTAGTCTGACCATTTTCACACTTGCTTTCTTGCTCTTCATTTATGCAAGGGATGGGAATTCCTTCAAAAGGCTGACGGTTATGCTGACTTATGTTTGACGGATACGTGGCTAGAAAAGATAAAATAATAAAAAATGAAGTAATTGCAATTGATGGGATTACTCAGCGAGACCTGGTAGAAAATAACTGGTCAATGACATTAGTTACAAATCCGAATCTCTAAGCAAGTGTTTCTCAACTTACTGTAACAGCGACAAAACGGCTGCAAGATTTATATATAATTTATGTACAAAAATAACAAACGAAGTCCAAACCTTCCGATTTCAGATGATGAAGGAAGTCTTCAACAGTTTTGTCTACATCGCCTGCATCGTTTCTCAAGCACACGATGACAAGTTGGTTCTCGTTTATCGTGATTCTACTCGACTTGAGAGTTTCTTGAAGGAAAGGCAGTTCCCTGGAAATCGACTCCGCAATGCATGCAGCAATCTCAAAGCATTTCTTGACAAACATTTTAGCGTTATGTACAAACTTGTCGACTTTTTCAACATTAATTTCAAATTGTTTGTCATGGCCAACAAGAACAATGTTCTGCTTATCGAGCCAACATGCCGCTTCCGAAGGCGAAACTGCGTTTTGAATAGTAGCAAATGGTTCAACCATTGAAACTTGGATTTCATCAACGAGGGGGAAATATTTCTTATGTAAAGAGCGAAAAAATTTATTCACTTTCCTGCTGCATTTTTTCGTCCAATCGTCAACAGGGTTTGCCCTCTTGTTACTAATCGTCATAATTTCATCATTAAATTGAAACTGAAGATCGAGACGCGATAGCAATTCCGTTAACTTCACCTTGTATTCCTTCTTCACTTCTAAAAATTTCGCTATATCTTTATCGATTTGGATGGACATTTCGTTTGAGTGCACGTCGACAAGATATCCTAGAAAATGTGTTAATAGCTACTATGGAATGTGTAAATACATTCAAAAACATAATCAAACTTCATTTAGCATGAACAAAAGCAACTCTGTTGCCTTCCACTAAGAGACACAGACCAAAACTTAAAAATGTCGATAAGCTTACCTTCACAAGAAAGAAAATTTCGAACAATCTCCAGGTCACGTTCCAAATTCTCACGTAAAGATATCACAAATAACTTTGCATGGTTAACATCCACCCAGATAGCAGGCCTTAATCTTTCACGAAAAGCCTTACCATAAGTAAGACATAATTTACCATAAAGTTTTTGAAAGTCCCTTTGTAATCGTTCTGCATCTTTAATGAAAAAGCTTTCCTTGACAAAACGATTACAAAACTTTTGAACCAAAGTAACTGAGCGATTATTCCAGTTTTTAATACATTTTGACCCAGGTCTCTTTGTTACGATAATATGTGTTTTATTTGGAACCATTTCAAAATAAGCTGAAAGTGTTTCTAATTCTTGTTGAAGCTGCTTGTAAAAATTATTCCGCTTTGATAAAAATATGCCAATACTACTGTCTACTTTCACTTTTACTTTTTGTTCAACATCATCCTGTGAAAATGCTTCATCATCAACATCTGTTTCATAACACATAGAACTGACAATACTTTGGGTATCATCATCTGAATAAAGCTCCCCTGTGTATGTTGAAGATGATTTGGAAGATCTATCGCCATCAACAAAACCTGAAAATGATAAATGGAAGTTTTTCTAACTGAAAAAGAAATCCAATACATAACTTATTAGCTAAGATGTTTAATTCTTGTTATTTAAGATTGATAAATGTCAAAGTCCAACCTGTCGCCATTCCTTTGGAAAGTAATTCTCAAATATCAAATGTGGGTTTGATAAAACTAGAACAATAGAAATGTATAATATTGATGAAAATGGTCACATTGTATCATTGATGTGAAAGCACTAAGAACTAGTTATGCAACATTTTGCAACATTGGAATAATCTGAATATTCTTTCATAGTTAACATATCAGAAATTACCCGATTTAAGTTTAACCATATTTTTTTATGTCTAATTGTGTGAAAGTACTAAGTACTGATTATGCAACATTCTGCACATTAATTAGCACACTCAGAACACTTCTCTCATAGTTACAATCACAAGAAGCTTCACATCTGTTGCATAATTAGTTCACAAGCTTTGATGGAAAAATATACAAAGCATTTAAAGCACTCAGCTAATCTTCTGTACTTTCATTTCTGTATTAATATCTCACTGAATAACAATAAATGAATGATGCCAATGTGAAATGCTCCGAAATTTTCATGGCAATCATTTAATTACCATAAATATCTAAAATGAAAACATTTCTATTCATGTTGGACAAAAAACTTATGTGAAAACTTATAAAAATATATTCTTGGTGTGCAAGCTACGTCATAGTCGCCATGTTGGAAAATTTAAACAAAGGATTTTCCTTACGCAAATATTAAATATTCAATGGCTTGAGCAGCTACTTATTATTAACGTATAACGACATGACTTACTTTAATATGCTTTTATAGACGTGAAAACCTTGAAGAGATATTAGGGAGCTTTTATGAAGCAATTTACCAACAGTTATGAGTCAACTAAGTTTTGCTAGTTCCCATTCGTCTGATGTTCCGACGGCCAGGTCATGGCTTTTGACCCGCCACACATAACTCAAAAAGAAACAGATTGCAAAAGTCTACTTCACCATAACCGCCAGTGAATCGATGAACTTTATTGAATATTACACATCATTTTTTAACTTTATTAGCATATTTTTCTCGTCAAAAAAAGTAAAATTTGACTATGCCATATTGTATTAAAAATCCGTATTTAAACCAAGCAATTCACAAAAACAACGAAATGTTGCAAACAAAAATTTGAGGGTAGCTGTTCAACTGCTTATCATTACAATAAATTGAAAATATAAATAACTATTCCCTACAACCGTACATGTCAATACGCGATGATAGAATACGAATGCAGAACTTTGCCATCAATGCCATGCGTTCTTGATAGGCTCTTGGTCAAAGGATGACAATTGATAAGTGGAGTCCAGATTTGAGGGTAAAGAATAATTCAAATCACATTAGAGTCCTATTTACGTGGTGACAAGATCGAGATCCGTTATCACTGGTTTTTTTTTGATAGTGTGATACGACTCTTTCTATCCACTTTTCTGACATTCAGGGACGTAGCGAAGTCTATGCTTTGGGGGGGTCTGAGCTTCAAATTTTCCAACAAAGTGGACGTGGTTAGTGACATTTCATCATCTTTATGGCGCAACTGTGCAAAAGACTATAATTAACATACTTACTTTAAAGTGAGTAGGTATTCAGGATAATATTGGTTGTCCTGAAATATAATGAACATTTTTGGAATCAATAAGTTATCAACAACTGAGTCATATCGTAGACCAGGATTGTTAGGATCATTTTTTAAGGGAGGTGCTTTCAATCCAGGGGCTCCTGTTGTGTACTCTCCAACAAGGACTTTTGCCAGATACATTTTTGGTGCTAGTGTCAACTGTCTTTTTGCGTATCGCATTGAGTATGAGGCATTACAAGCAAAATACACACCATTACCATACGCAACACCTAAAAAAATTGTATTTGAGAAGGCGCATATAAAGCTTTGTTGTTTGCATGGACATGTCTCCTAAGAAAATAGTATTCTTATGCTTTTATAATTTATCTAGCTCTTCGAACTGCACAGACCAATCCAGCAAATAATGTGTTTTTCAAACTAATGACAGTTTTATATCAACATTTTGTGATTTATGCAAGCAATTGCCCGTGTTTCCAAGTGAACATGACAAAAATTTTATGAGACGCACCCGCAGCAAAACTAGTTTAAGTGAAGATGATATAGCTTTCAGCAAAATATTGAATACTGAAGCACGTTTATCTCTATCGTTTCTCCCTTACCGTTGACACCTGCAAAGCTCCGACTGAAATTGTGAGCATTAATTGAGTTAATATTTGCTTCATCTGTGCCGTGGAAGAGCCATTTCTCATTACCAATCCCAGATTTTTTTGACGTCATATACAACGAGTACAGTCGCGGGTTTTGAACTCTTTCGACCCGACGAAGGTCATCTTGTTCACCACCATTTTCAACAAAATGATTGAGTACCTTAAGATACTCAGATGAATGCGTTGACAGACGCACTAGTTTGACTTGCAGATCTTCATGTTGGGTTTCCCACTCGATGGGAAATAATCTTTCTATAATTAAGAAAACAGAGTTAATGAAATGAAGATATGATCTTCGCAGTTTACTGGACAATTTAAGCAATCGTCTCAGGAACCTGAAAAAATCAGGTGACTCAACGGGATTCGAACCCATGACCTCTGCGGTGCGGTGCAGTGCTCTGACCAACTGAGCTATGAAATCACACAGTGGTGAGCAGGTCAATATTGTTGGGCTCATGTTTTCTCGTGAAATGTCGTATGAATGTTTTATGCAGTGCGGTGTTTGAAATGAAATGAAGATATGATCTTCGCACTTTGCTGGACAACAAGCAATCGTCTCAGGAACCTGAAAAATCAGGTGACTCAACGGGATTCGAACCCATGACCTCTGCGGTGCCAGTGACTTCATAACTCAGTTGGTCAGAGCACTGCACCGGCACCGCAGAGGTCATGGGTTCGAACCCGCTGAGTCACCTGATTTTTCAGGTTCCTGAGACTTATTGTCAAAATGCGAATATATCTTCATTTCATTTCAAACACGCATGCACATTCATAAACAGAGATAAATCGTCAACGTAACGTATCAGCATTGTGTCTGGTAAAGTATAAAGATGGCTTTCATTTATAATCAATGTTTAAACTTGCATTCAACAATAAACATTTTGCCAATTTACAGTTGAGGTTGCATAGCAGAGCTATGACTTAGTAGGCGGTGCTGAACGGTGCATCTTGATATAAAAGGTGATAATTGTAGAAGTATTCTTTTGAAATGCTAATGCTTTAATATTTCAACAAATTGTACTAAGACAGTCAAATTTTTGATCGTGAACAAATTTTTGTCAAAACATCTATTTGATATTCATCACTTTGTCTCTAACATACCTATTTCTCTAGATCTATGTTCCTGGTCAGCATAGTCAGCATATTCGTTGATCAACTCGAAAACCTTTTCTTTAGTTTCTACAACATCTTCCAACCTTCCTTCGATTGAAAGAGACTCAGCACATTCACAAACAATTTTTACACCGTTCACTATAGCCAGTCGCTTAAATTCATTCAAGTTTCCATCCACAACGTCTCGAAGTTTTTCATTTTCTATCGTTTTTGATGTTATGTGCAACTGAATGAAATTCTCAATTTTGCTCACTGCAGCTGAAATATCATTCAATGATTGAGCGTAAAACTGAAATTTTAAAGTTTCTTCAGAATCTTCACTTAGTACCATTGGATAGGGCGTAGGTATTGTCTTGCGTAGGACGTTTCTCTTGTGTTTTCTTTTAGTATTTTGTCTATCTAGCGAAAGCATTGAACAAAAAGATACCTAAACCCAAAATTTTGTAACTCTCATTCAATAATAAGTGTTTAAATCCATTGTTAAATCCATGCTGCCTCTTAATCTCCACATGTAATCTTCGCATATAATGATAAAATGCGGTTGCACATGCATAAAATATTCCTCAGAAAAATGATAGCATTGGCCTATTATTGCCAGGTAATAATCATATGTTTAAACCTTTCTGTCTTGTAAATACACACGAACAGATTTTTTATTTTACAAAGTAGAAAATGAAGTTACTGAAGCAATATTGTTTCATGTTATCAATTAGCTCTGAAAATGAAACTTTACCTCCTGATAGATAACCATTGGATTTTGATAATAAAGGCTAAACATTGCAACTTTGTCTAAGCCCTCACTAATTGCATTCTTCTGCTGATTTTTCTTAAAAATATTTACAAATTGCTCACCCATGTGACTCATAACTTGATCATTCGATTTTTTCCCTTCGAATCTAATCAGCCTGATTTCTTGCAATGAATTTCTTTTGAAAGTTGAGCTGAACAAAATCACTGCTTCTTTCATTTTATGCAAAACGACATCCTCCGGAAACTTGTGCTTTCCAGCTCCAATTAAAGGCATTGCCACAGACTTTGCTGAGCATTTCTCACATTCGATCAAAATTTTGATGATGAGATCTTTGAGAAACTGTAAAATATTGAACCAATAACCAAGTATGCAGCACATGTTTTAAATAATACGATGCATGCGTGATAAACAAGAGGTCTTAATTGTCAACAATCTATTTTTCATCTTGTTGTCATAAATCTATAACAATTTTGTTTAGCGCATAACTTAAGTTCAAACGATTAACACATGTTTGATGTTTCGTTTGGTGCAAGCAATGGTACCATAACATGAGATAAATCATCTTTTACAGATCAATTATCTGGACCATAAAGCAATTTTAAAAATCTGTAGCAGATGGTAGTAGATCTTAATGAGGGAATTATCTGTGAAACCTGATGAATCCTTTTAAATTATTTGGTGATGATTGAAGTTGGTTTTTGTAGGGTGGCTGCTTCACAGTTAAAGATGATGTTTGTACACTGACATATTTCGACAAGTGCTCCAATTCGAGTCCCTTAAAAAGTCCTAAAAAGTAACTAAAAAGGATTTCTTACTTGCTTACAACGTTCTTCATTTTGCCAGTCACAGCACACTGCATGAACAACATATTTACATCGAAGATTACCTCCACTAGTTGTCACAACGTCTCCATATGCAACATTTGTAAAGTTACTACATTCCGACACATAAAGCGATCCGCCAAATGTATTCATGGCCTTCCCAATCATCGAAGGTGTGTTAAGATTGGATGTAGCTGAATTTACTAAAACATCAGCCTAAAAAACATGCGGTAATTGATATTATGTGGCGTCGCCAGGAAGCAAACTGAGCGGGGCGTAACAACGCAGTAATTCCAAAAACGATGACCAGTTTTTAGAAAATATGACATGAAATGGAGGGGAGTGTGCAATGAATCAAATTTCAAATAGCAATAAAAACAGCTGCTTCCTTTTAACGGTCACAAAGCAAAATTAGTTCAATAAACAGCAACCTTCACGCATCGTTTTCGATAAGATTGGCTTAAACACACTTATTGACACATCTAACAGAAAGCCGTCCGTCCGAAAACGTGTGGCTTATAGATACTTTATAAAACCTGCATGAAAAAATAGCGTCTTCCAGAAAATACAATGAAACATTTTTAACAGGCATGCCTTCAAACGCCTGTTTAAGTCTCACACTTTTGACAGTTGCATCGTCTCCCCTAGTCTGAACAATCGGTCAGCACGCCACTGTAAACAGCAGTTTACATCTAAAATTTAAAAACCTCATACGCATCAGTCTCATTGTTGAATTAAGAAGAAGTAGCTATTTTTCCAACTAAAGTACGCTTTATACCTGAATTACATAAGTCTTTATATAAGGACTTTTTCTGTTATACATGTTGAATAAGTATGAATTTAAAAACGCATAAATTTACTCTTACCCTTTCTCTCTCAATGTTGCCATATTTCCATGAAACGTTGATTCCCTCTGTGGTTTTAAAATTACATACATTAAACGGTTCATTGTCGACCAAACCAGCAGTTTCACGTGTAAAATTCATGACATCTGCCGACGACCCAAAGCCATTCAGAATTTCTATTACTACATTATTTTCAGTTTCAATGCCTTTCAGAATTAGTTTACCGTTTTCACTGGACAATAGCTTGCCCAGACCAAGACTGGAAAACTCTTTAAGTTCAAACATAATTTTACTCTTCAATTCTTCAAACTTTGCGCGAACTTTTACAATTCCTTGCTCTGTACCTTTGATCTCACACTCGCAGTCTCTAATTTCAATTTTAACATTTTCCTTTTTAAAATCAGCTTCAAGAGCATGAATTTCACTTTCCATTACTTCTTTCATAAAACGAGAAATGCTTGGCGCTAAAACCATTTTATTGCAAACAATTTTCAGAGAATGCATTAGGTCCTTCAGTTTTGTGGCGTATTTTACAACCAGTTCTTTGACACCAAAAATGATTACACTACGTCTTAAACTTTTGTCTGACTCAACTTTATATTCAACTAAACTTTCAGCTTCTAAGGATTTCAAAATTTCATGCCATTGACTTGAGAAGAAAATGTGCTCATTCTCATCCGGTAAATGGACGGAAACTTTACTAATGTTTTCACACAAGCAACTTTTCAAGTTTGAACATTCCTCGATAGAGCGTCCAACAATCTTTAAACGATCTTTTGCTATGACAGAAATGACATAAGTGACATTTCGTTTTGACAATAGCGTATCAATGTATTCCAATCCAGCTTTTTGGGACACAAAATTTACAACTTCATTTGGTATTTCCGTGCAATCTAGGACTGCGACACTTTTCATCAAATCTTCCAGTTGTTGCTTTGCTGTAGAAATTGCATCTTCAGAACCAATGAGACATATTTCTGTTCTCGATTCTTTAACGGTCACCTCAACTAAGCCAGGAATCGTTTCCTTTATCTTTTCAGAAACTGTTTCTTCTCAAAAAATCAGTTTGATCAGGAGAAGCAACGCAAAAAAA